AAGACTGGTTGCAAGCTGTGTCTACCATTCATAAAATAAGTTTTCAAGATTGAATTCTAGTAATGATCTTGATATGAATATATGATTTTAATAAATATATCAAAGAGAAGTAAAGAATCAATGTGAAATTAAAAATACTCAAGTAAATAAATAGAAACTAAAGATTTAAAATTCTAACTTATGAAATAAATGTAAATAGAAATCAAAAGAGCGTAATAAAAAAAATTCTTTTTTAAAAAATACTATTATGAAAATAATAAAATAATAAAAATGATAATAGTTTTATTTCTTTAAATCACTAAAATATAAAAAATTGAATCAATTAATACTGATTAAAAATAAATCTCCCTACAATAGTGCCAAAAAGATGATGTGTACTTGTCATTGTGTTTAAATGCACATTATCTAATAATTTTTATAACTTAGACTTAAGAAAATATTAGTATAGAAGTAAGTCTCAAATCAAACACAAGGAGATTGATTAATCTGTTTTGAAAATTAATTAAGTTTATATATAAAGTGATTTTAATATTTTTACTAATATTTAATGAAAATAATAAAATAGAAATATGAGGTGAGAAGAATAAAGAAATGAACTTGCCGATCGTAGAAGACATTGATCAAGCAAAAGGAAGGACGAAATTGATTGTTGTATTTGTAACTACCATTGAGATTTTAAACATAATCGATAATATTTATTTTATTAGATAATAATCAATTATTGTCTTTATATCCCTGACAATGATATGTGCGAGAGCTTAAGTTTTGGGTTTCGTGGTGCTTCGAGAGTCGTAAGATCAAATGTGCTTAGTCACATGACACGTTGAGCGACGCAAGATCAACCTGCCATGAACTGCTGCCGATTGAGAACTTAAGTCTTTAGTACTGTGGTGACTCCTTAGTCATAGGATCATCCTTTAAGGCCACGTGTGTGCTGAGTGACGTCGATTTCACAAACCACTGATGGATCGCTTTATATATCTAATATCATGGTGGCTCTCCCACCGCAGGATCTAACTTATCTGATGACGTGGCTCACTGAATACCATTAGATCACACAAGCACTTCAAATGCTTGAGACATACAAAAATATTTTGTCTCACATTGGATATATTTCGTCACATGAGCCGAATATAAATCAAAGCTACCGTCTCTCATAAGAGATCCCTTCTCTCGAAATAAAATAATACATAGGACCATCTTGGGAGAAGGCAAAAAGGTGGTTCAACCTCATACGCGCAAATGTGTACGAACGCTCCTTGCTCTATGACCTGTTGGCCACCAGGACGTAGCAGGGGAGTGATGCACACATGCGCAGAGCAAGTCCTTTGTCACTCGAGCCCAGCTCGTGGCTCCCCCAATTTGGATCTACTCACTTGACCGTAGCACCCCTCTAGGTAGTTGTCGAGTGCCGACTTATCAATAGATAGAATATTTTTTATATTTTATATTTATATATTTTTAAATAATCTAAAATTATGCTAAGTATTTTAACTTTAGACTTCTAAAATTAACAATATATTTTATATTTATTCTACAAGTTAACAAAACAAAATAAAATAATAAAACTGATTAAAACACAAAAATTTAACTTTAACAAATCTCCTTTGACAAGGTATGTTGATTTCAATTCTCTTCGTAGAGTGATCATTATTTATATCCTTGCTCCTTATAGGAACTGAGTGAATCATATGATACCTCTCTTTGTGTCCTTTATCGGTGATCTTAACACCCTTAGTTAAAACTCTATTTGAACCCTTAAAAGTGTAATTCTTCTCAGATAATTACGATCCTAATTTTTCTAAAATTAGCAGAATTAGCCTACTCATCATCCTCCTTAACTTAGCCAAGGAAAATCTTAAATCCCAACTATCTTTTTGGTACTAATATTTCTCTTTGGTCCCACATCAGGCTCAACGTTTACAAGGTCCACCACAAATGAACCTCAAAGTTAGACCATATGAAAATCTAACACCCAGACAAGATGAAGATTAAGAGGGAAGAGTCCGATCTGACTCTACGTTGTAGATAGATAGATGGGGAAAGGGGAGCAGGAAAAGGTGAGGGGGAGGCCAAAATGTAGAAAAAGTCCAAGCCGAGGATGATTATAGGCTTACCTGAAGCAATCTGACTCTTCCTCTCTCGCCATAACAACATTGATACGAATACCAGCCCACTATGAATGAGTCAACCTTGCATCACCAACCCACTCACCGAACCCAAAACTCTGGTGTCACCAGCAGCCCATCCTTAAGCCCCATCACCTACCTCACCTACAAATTTTCTACTCCCAATATTGCAAATCATTCCCCAAGTGTATGAAAAACTTCATGTGAATAATGTTGGACGGTCATCTTTCTATTAACATCCAATCGGCTTGATAACTACGGAGTCAGTTTGACCCAAGTTTCTCCGAATATGAACCCCACTAGGATCTTTTTGATGGGATCACTAGATCTAATGAAGAATCTTCCACTCAAGAAAGTCAACTCAAGTCAGCGGAGGATGGTCAATTAGAGGCTCAACCTTTGAGGTCAACCCTTCCAAGAAGAAGTGCAAGAATCAGACTTCTTCCACCTCGAAGACTTCACTTCAAAGTCAACCGGCATCTTCCTCCTCTATTAGATCCAACATAAAATATTAGATCAAAGAACAATGAGTCCCTATCAGCAAGCAAGAGGATCCATCCACAAAGGATGGCCCAACAAAAAGAAGAAGAAGAATGGGGAGAAGATGCCATGTCATCCTCATGTCCCTCCTCTCCTTAAATGGGGCGTCGTTTCAACCAAGAGGCACCACATGGCATCTCATGGGAAAGGGTGCCCCTTCAACCCTTCCTTCTCGTTCTCTCTCTATGCCGTGGAAAACCACCGCTCTTTCTTTCTCCTCTATAAATGCTAAGACTCTGCTGTATTTGACACAGTGATTTTACAGAATTAATCAAGAAGTTTATCTTACCTTCTTGGATTAGAAGGTTGTCTCCTTCCCCATCTCGCCCCTTGGACTGGGGGTTCCTCCCCTCCTTTCATCGCCTCTTGGACTAGGGGCTTCCCCTCTTCTTCTCGTCCTCTTGGATTAGGGGGACCTCCATCGCTTCCTCTTCACATCGTTCTCGCCATCTACCCCGTTGCCACCATTCTGGCTCCTTGCCATTCACCCTGACGCCGCGGTTCCTCTTCCACCCCGTCATCGCCGTTCCCCTCCTTGCCATCCGCCCCGTCGCCGCCACTCTGCTTCTCACCAGCCGCCCCGTCGTCATCGTCCCATCTCCTTGTCGTCCACCCCATCACCGCCACTCCCCTTCTCGCCAGCCACCCTGTCGCCGTCATCCAGCCTCCTCGCCGTCCACCCCGTCGCCGCCACTCTGGCTCCTTGCCATCCACCACGTCGCCGCCATTTCATCTCCTCGCCGTCGCAAACCCTGTCCTTTTCTCTCTCCTGCTCCGCCACGAAACCCCCCCGTTTTCCCTCTCCCCTACTGACGCCCTCATTCCGTCACCTTTTTCTCCCTCCACCACAAGAACGCCCCTCTCTCTCTCTCCCGCCACCGCCACATACCCCCTCATCTTCTTTCTCTCTCTCTCCCGCCAATGCCCCTCTCTCTCTCTCTCCCACCGAAACCCTCTTTCTTCTCTCTCCCGTCGTCACCACATACTCCCTCATTTTCTTTCTCTCTTTCTCCCACCGACACCCTCTCATTCTGCCCCTTTTTCTTCTCCCCACTTTTTATTTATTCTCATTATTATTTCATTATATTATTATTACTATTTCTCATTTAAACCTTTTTCACCTCTTATATTTTTAATCATCCAACTACTTCGTAGACCTTAACTGTCCAACCCAAATCGTCCATTCCCTTTGAATCATCACCCATTGAAAATTTCCAACAAGGCCTGTGGATCTCAAGCCAATAGAATCAAGAATCTCCTTTGGCAAAGTACGTTGATTCCAATTCTCTTTGTGGAGTGATCATTATTTTATATCTTTGCTCCTCATAGGAATTGAGTAAACCATAGAATAACTCTCTTTTGTGCTTTTTATTGGTGATTCTTACATCTCTGATTAAATTTATCTGAATCTTTGAAAGTTCAGTTCTTCTCAAGTAATTACAATCTGAATTCTTCTAAAATCAGCAGGATTAGCATACTCATAATTCTCATTAACTTAGTCAAGGACAATCTCAAATCCTAACTTTCTTTCTTTTCGGTATTGATATTTCTCTTTGGTCCCTCATCTCTCTCTCTCTCTCCGCCCCGACAACATTGACATATAGATACCAGCCCACTATGACCTAGTCAACTTTGCACCACCAAACTACCCACCAAGCCCAAAACTCCGGCATACACCAAACAGAGTGAAGGTTCCTTACGCCATGTCACCCGCCTCACCTACAACTATTGCAGTCCCAATATTGCAAATCATTCCTTGAATGTATGAAAAACCTCATGCGAATAATGTTGGAAGGTCATCTTTACCTTAACATCCAATGGGCTTGATAACGACGAAGTTTTTCACCCAAGTTTCTCCGAATATTAAACCCGTTAGGATCTCTCTCTCTCTCTATCCATCTCACATGGCTGATTGATGACTGAATCTGTCGCCAAAGTGGACACCAATTCGGCGGACCGCCAGGCCAATGCTTGTTCGATCCTCTCCTTCTCTCTCTCCCTCTCCCTCCCCTCTCTCTTCTCTCCCTCTCTCTCCCTCTCTCTCCATCTCTAATAACTTCGGCTGGATCATTGGCGTAGACCAAAGTTTTAGGACGGTCTGGCTCAGAGCCTGGCTCTGAGAATTTTTCTGGGACAAGTAAACCACGGAAGATATTTGATTTATTTACTAATCCTCTACTCCAAGTTACGGATCACGCGCACATATATGATAAATATAATATAATATATGTATTAACAAATTCGTGTGATCGAAGCAAGCAAAGAACGGAGAGGACGGCGTAATTTAAAAATAACAGTATAGGACCAGGTCGACCCATTGGAGGACGCCTCTCAGTCCAGAGCGTGGGCGATCTCCTTGAAGATGCTAACCTTGTCGGGATGAAGTGCTACTTGGACATCGACGGCCCCCTTCTCCTCAGAGGAGTCTAAGAGGATGACCAGGCCCTCGATGGGCAGGAAAGTGAGGACCTGAACGGGGGCCCCGCCGCCGAAGTCGAGCTCGTGGTACTGGAAGCTCAGCCAGCTGTCCACCTCCATGTTGGGAGACAGCGAGTTCCCCGCCGACGGCGCCGTCTCCTCCAGCGCCCCCTCGTCCTCCGCCGCCAGCGCCCCGAAGTCAACGAACGATTTGAAGTAGCCGTCGTCGACGGCGGAGACCGCCGCGTGGATGACGTCGGCCACCTTGCCGTAGCTCCCGTTCAGGAGTTCCCCCACGGTCATCCTGGGGTAGGCCCAGAGGACAAGGTTGCCGAAGTACTCCATGGGCACCTTGGGCTTCATCCTCGCCCGGCCGTTGACTGCCACCCTCACCTGCGTGATCTCATCCGCCGCCAGCCCGCGGGCGGTGGCCACCTTCTTCCAGACATGTGCGAGGAGACACTGGAAGGTGCTGTACCGCCGGCCGGGGTTGTCGGAGACGAACCTGGCCTTGAGCTTGGACAAGAAGTCGACGGAGTAGTGGACGACGACGTTCGGCGTCTCCACCGCCTCCGCCGCCGCCGCCGTCTCTGCCGGAGCTTCCACCGCCAATTCTCCGGCGGCGTCTGCTCTGAACTCGATGGCCCGATGGTCGAACTCGCACCGGGGAGGGTTTCTGGGGACAGAGACGGCCTGCCGGTCGTGGTAGGGCAGGGGGTCAGGCTCGTGACCGCGGACCAGCCGGGCCCACGCCGCGAAGAAGTTGCTCATCGACTGGCCGTCAGCGATCCGGTGGTGCGCCGTGAGGCCCACCACGATGCCGCCGCAGGCGAACCAGTTGAGCTGAATCTGCAGCAGCTCCTCCACCCCCTCCGTCGCCGGGTGGAGCTCGCTAGTGGGGAGGAAGGGGAGCTTCTCCTCCAACGTCCACGGGAGCCGCGTCTCGACGACTCGGACGCCGGCGTCATTCAGGTGAATGCTCGGGCAGCCCCGCTCGTCGCAGATCAGCCGCCCGGCGAGGTGGGGGAAGTAGAACAGCGCCTTGGTCAGGCCCTCCACCATGGCGGCGTTCTCCGGCATGAGTGGGCGGTAGACATACAGGATGGGCACATGGATGTTGAAGGCGACCCTGTCGAAGATATTCAGGGGAACATGCTCGTTAAAGAAACGGTGGCGTGCTGGCGACGGCGGCGGAGTGGTGTACGGCCTCTGGATGGTGCTGCTCGTGACTTTGATCCCGCCGCCCGCCATCTTCTTCTCCGGCGACGGAGTCCATTGTTCCACCGCCGAGCCTCCTTCGTTCGTCATTTTGTACTAGAGCCCGGACAATGGTAGCCGTTCAACGGGGAGGCCTCGTTCGCGAGACATATGAAGACTAATTCTGAGGGTGCTCCATTTAACTATGAAGAGTGATTTAAAAGTATGTTAGAAAATATAAGAAAACAATGCAAAATACTAACCTTTTATTAAAAGCATGGAGTATTTTTCAGCCCTCTCCCCTGTCAAGTTAAAGTTCTTTCAAGAGTACTTTACCTGTTATTCATTGTTCAAAAGAGAAAAAGCCCCTAACGGAGAACAACTTCCAAGAGCCCTTTGCGTCAAGCCAGAAATAAACAACTACGTCCATTACTCCCGCTTCCGCTTACGAACCTGAACTTCCCTTCCTTCCCCTTCTTCCCGCACTCGTTAACACCGGAACACGCGTTCGGAGCCTGAAAGCTTTGTCACTCAAAAGCTCTCCCCTGTGAATAATGACAGAAATGTATATAAGGGATTTAATTGATCAAATGTTCTTCCTCTGTAGATCTTTGAGTGACACAGGGATTGAGAGAGGACTATATTTCAGCACTTTATTGCTTTCTTTACATCTTCAATTTACTGTTTTTCCTGTTCGAATCACTTCCTGATTCATCTCCGTGGTGTGAGTGACACACACGACGGAGATGGATTTAATTTCTCTTATTTCTTCTCCTCTTTCCGAGATTGACTTTCACTTCTCTTCGTTCTTCTCCCCTTCTCCATGCACTTTGTCGCTGCTTCCTTCCTACTACTGAAAATGTGGCGGCAGCAATTAAATATACTGGAAAATGAATTTGCATAATTTATTTTGCCCCTTTTTTATTTAATATTAAAATTTTCGTGTTTTAATTCAACGACTAAAATACGATCAGTCACTATCCTCAATGTCATCTATTGAGGTTCCCTTGTTCAAAGCACAACAACAACACTCAAAATGTGAGAAAATTTCCCATAGTATGAGTTCTTGGATATTATAATTATTACATTAGTTTTTAGGAGCATAAGAATTCTATGAGGGCCTTTGAAGTGGGAAATTATAAAATATTGCAATGGTTTACATAAAAAAAATAGATTATATTTGAATAGATCAATACAATCAATACTATTTAATCCAACAAGCATATTTAAGAGTTGACCTCATAAAATTGGTGAATGGTACATAAATTTATGTTGTAAATGAATAATCCTTGAATAATCATATTTTTTATAAGTTGATGCACACTCCCCCAAGAATCATAAGTGTTGATATTTTATTGTTTCCAAATTTAATGTTTTCAGTATTTAGTTTCGTGAGCAGGTCTATCTGTGAAAGATAGTGCCAAATAAAATCAAATATTGTGCGTGTATACGTAAGTAACTTAAATAAATGCTATCGCGATAATGATTATTTCGGAAACCTTAATGTCATCATACCGTTAAGGTGAAACAATAACCCTCACCATATATTTTAAGATATTTACCCTCCCCCCCTCCTCCCTTGGGTGATGATTTACTATAACACCCATAAAGGACCGTAAAGTTTACTAATATTTTCTTGCCTTACTTAGGAAGAGGTGGCCGTCGAAATCGGGAAACGCTGATTTCATTGGAAGTAGCCGTTACCCGGTGACGGTCAGAATCCCCGGCGGGCCGTCCTTCGTGCATGGCCGACCAACGGCCTTCTCTCACCCTAACGCTTCTTTATAACTATCTCCCTTTCCGTCCCCTTTCTCCCTCTCCCCTCCGCAATCGTCTCCTCTTTCCCTCTCCCTGACGCCGGAGAAAATGAGGATGACCGCCCGTCTCTTGACGATACTCGCACTCTCCGCCGTCTTCCTCCGCGCCGCCAACTCCCTCTGCGCGCCGCGGCCCACCACCAACCCCATATACCCCTTCCTGGGCAGCCCCTCGCCGGCAAAGGACGAGAGGGAGGCGGAGCCGGCGCCGCCGCCGCCGCGTTCTTCGTCCGCGGCCACGCCGTCCCCCTCCGTCCTGCCACCGATCTCCGGTGTCTTCGAAAGGTTCGTCAAGGAAGTGTGCAACCATACCGACAACCCCGATCTCTGCTTCTCCTCCGTGCAGCCGTATATCTTCCCCGTCCAGGGAAAACCCGCCAACGCCGCCGCCATCCTCGACATGGAAATAAAAGCCTGCTCCACCAAGACCCAGGAGGCCCGCAACGTCGCCGCCAAGATCGCCGCCGACCCCGCCACGGGGAAGATGATGGCCTCTATCATCCAGACCTGCACGGACAGCTACGATGACGCGATCGACAACCTGGACAGCGCCGGCAAGGCCTTGGCTGCGCGCGACCTCGCAACCCTAAACAGCATGTTGAGCGCCGCCATGACGGACTACTCCACCTGCGAGGAGGGCTTCCAGGAGACGCCGGGGATCAACTCCCCCATGGCCGAATACGATGATCTTCTCACCAAGCTGAGCAGCAACTGCCTCGCTATTGCCGAACTGGTCAAGTGAGACCTGAGCTCCCTACACCCACCCGCCCACTTCTCCGCCCTCCTGAAAGACATGAGAGATCATTAACCGTTAAGTTGTAGAAACGACGCGAGGCTATTCCCACTGCTTCCCGCTTCGCGTGATCTTTCTCCCCAGTCGAATAACCGGATATTACCGAGCGATGAAGATTCGAGGGTGGTAGGATATCAACGAAGATTCGCGGAAGAGAGGATATCAATCGAAGGAACAGTCAAGATTCGATGAAGGTTAGATCGAAGGGAGGAGAGGGTATCAACGAAGGTTCGATGAAGATTCGAGGAGAGGAGGATATCAATCGAAGGAAAATGTAGATAATTCTTGCTTTTTAGAGGGTAACCGCTGTCCTACAAACGAGGTAATACTGTGTTTCTATTTGTGGTAGACCCATCAGCCTCTCTTCACTCTTTCTCCTTCATTGGCCCGTCTCCACCAGACTTCTGGGAGGGAGGGATGGCGAATCAGAAGACAAAGAGGAGCATTTAGCCCTTGTTACATCAGGTCCCTGCTGTCTAAAGAAATAAGGTCAGCATATCTTCATTGTCACAACTAGCAATACAACTAATCATAAGAAAGAGAGAGAATAGTTCTTGTGGGCCAAAATTAATATTTTAAAATATATATATATGTTAAATAAATCAGTGAGACAATATCTTATTTAAAAGATAATAGTTTTCCAATTTTCACAAACTTGGAAGTACAAAATTAAAATAAATAAATATATCAATAATTTTTTTGACTTGTGGAAAGATAAATAAATGTATTGATAGACTTATTATCTAGCTGTCTCACTAGTGTTGTGATACTTATCCTAATTTCATTCATATTAGGTACATTAAATTTCATTTATATTTTTAATGATGCACACATCTTTAAGTGCACTAATGTAAATATACAAATAAAGTTCAAACAAGTCATGTGTCAACCTCAATGCCCTCCCCATGCACACCTAACACACACACCTCCAAGCAATAACTACAATAACCCTAAGATTTGAATTGGTCAATTTTAGACTTCTTATTCATCTGTTTTTGTGAAAGTGGGAACCAAATTTTGTAACAGTTTTATAAATTGTCTTTTATATTTAACATTCTCAAGTGAAATTTTCTCATGTTAATAAAAGCTGTTAAACTTCAAGGTTTTAACTAGTCTCAGTTATATTTAATTGTTCTAGACAACTCATGTTCCTCAAAAACACCTTCTGAATTCATGGCTATAGAGTGATAGGCATGATAGTAAATCTCCAAAAATGAAAATCTCCAAGAAACCAAGCTAAATTAACACCTAGTTAATATATTTAAAATTCATGGCTCTAAAATGCCCTAACTAGATTGGTACTCACCTAAGATCAACTATACTAGCAATATATAATATCTTTTGTATTCATGGCTTTATGCTAGCATGATTGTGTGAAGTACAGATATCAAATTATAGAACCAATCTATTCTGAAATTATTTAGTGTGGATTCATGGCCTCATAATCATATAACCTTTTTTTATGTCCACCCACTTGACTTCTCAATGATTACATAGAAACATTGTTTTTAGAGCCTTAAATCCCCTTGAAATAAGGATGGATTACTCTTTTATTATGCAACCTTCTATTCAATTTTTTGGCTTGTAACATTACAAAAATGTTGATTTGTTTATGGTGCCCAATCACCATTATACCCTTTTGTAGTCTCTTTCCATGTGTTGAGACTTGTCCTCCTAGTAAGTCAACTCACCTCCTTCATATGATATCTTATTCATCTTGAACATTAAAGCTTCTACTTCTCAAGACAGTGGAGTCACTTTCTTCATACAACATGATTATTAAGAGTATTAAGACTACTTATCAAGTTGGTAGACTCACTTTCTTTAGATAAGGTAGTTATTATGAGTAATAAGACTCTTCTTAACAAACAAGTCAACTCAATTCTCTGTAGAAAGTAAAACAGAAACTTTGCAAGAAGCTGATTTCAAATATGTAAGGAACTTTGTCACAAGTTAAAATATTATCTGCTCAATTGATAAAATACTATTGAAGTATAGGTGCGATGTAAAATTACTATTAGACCTCTACATAGTGTTACCATCATAATTTGTAAAAAATCATTTTATCAAATAAGTTAAGACTCGTAAGTCAATTCCTTTCATGAAAGAGGAAGAGACAAATTGGGTATTGCAAATAGACTCAAAATCATATGGTAAAAATAAATAAATCAATATATTTATAAAAACTAAAAAAAATGATAGTTCTAAATTACTATTATTCCCTAAAATGTGTTTTCCCAATACCAAAATTGGACAGAATCTGAAAACCAACACCTCTCTTTTGGCCTCAAGTAGGTTATAGAGAATCCAAGGAATGTAAATTACTGTTTTTATAAATGCACTAAGAATATTAAGTTGCTTAATCATAATGAATCAATTCCACCAATGATATTGAAAAATAAATATTTACTAACTCCATCACACTGAATTATTATAGTTCCTTGACACCAATATGTTAGCTCACCTCAACTTTAGATTCATCACTCAATGGAGGTTTCTAGATACAACAACATTTTAGTTTTCTAGTGTTATCATGCAATTTCTAAGTTCAAAACTCTAGAAAATATTCACTGGTCCTAAACACGGATAATCATTCAACTATAGATGCTCATTTAAGAACATAAATAGAAAACAATTAAAGTGAAACTTATAACTTTAGCATTCTTAACATAGAATATGAGCTTCCTGCAAGTAAATGTGTGAAAAATCTTCCTTCAAGGATGATAAATCACATGCTAATACTTCTATGATATCTTTACCTCCTATTTTTAAGAGCTTAGAGCAGTCAAAAAATGGCCATTCATATTTTGTATAATAAGTAATTGAAAAATGAACAATTAGACTATTTTTTGGTTTTATAGCATGTTTGTTCCTTATTGTGTCAATTAGAAATTACTTTATTACTTTCTTGCTCTTGCTCACATATGGTAAGTAGACTATTTTCTCAAAATAACTTAAGAGAAATCTACATACTTCAATTCCTAATTTTGGGTTGACTCTTTGTAGGGTTAGAATATTATAGAGCCATAATATTTATATAGTAGAAATGTTATGGCATTATGAAATGAGGTCAAACTTTACCTTTTACTTTGTTGTTATCACAACAAGTTTGTCTGGGTAAAAGCCAATACTCATATAGAGCTTATAAGATTATACATCATTCATATCCTATCTTCATGTCCATCAAGGCTTATTAGGCTTTATGGTGGACTCTAATGTCCAACCTTCCTAATGATACTCTATTTTATGTTTCAAAATAAAAATTGAACCCTATTAGTTTTTTTATCAAATCATTAATGACCATAGTATTATGTTTTTGTGGAGGTACTAGGCTGATTATTATTTTTAAAAAAATTAAAAAATCCTCATTATTGGCCCCTTTTATGGAAATTTTCAGCTTGTAATTTTTAATTATGAAAATCTGTCATTATGGAAATTATATTTAATTATTAATTAAAAAAATGATGAAATATTAAGGGACTTCTTTAAAAAACGGAAAGGGCCCCCATCTGGCTGGTAGATTGAATTCATTAACCGGGTTTGGGCCGCATTAATAGGAATGGGCCGGAACACAGGTGGGCCCCCACTACGATCAACCGGTGAACCGGTGAAGCGTCTCGACCCGGTCTGTTCTCCTGGAGGCATATTTTTAGGCCCGTCTTCTTTTGGGGACGAACGAGGAAGCTACCGTTGATCTCTCTCTTCTCCGGCATTCTCCGATCTTCGCTCGACAGCTCCAGATCTGAAGGTGAGCACTGGTGGATCTGGCGATGTCGCACAGCGACACCATCCCCCTTCACCCCTCGTCGCAGTCGGACATCGATGAGATCGAGAACCTGATCAACGCCAGCGTCCAGTCCGGCCCCGCCACTGTCCTTCCGGCTAGACCCCCTAGTCCGCCAAGGGCGTCGATACCCATCTCTTCGTCGCCCTTTATCGCGTCCAACCTTCCCCCGCCGACGTATCAGAAGCCGCCCACAGCTCCTGGACCGACCCCTCCGGCGGTCATCCCTGTCTCCGACTCGCGCCCCCTCCCCTCCGGACCCACTGGATTCGGGTCGCCGCCCAACACGCTGACGGAGCCAGTGTGGGACACTGTGAAGAGGGATTTGTCGAGGATCGTGAGCAACCTGAAACTGGTGGTATTTCCAAACCCTAATCGCGAAGATCCCGGCAAGGCGCTGAGAGATTGGGATCTTTGGGGTCCCTTCTTTTTTATCATTTTCCTGGGGTTGACACTCTCGTGGTCGGCATCTGTGAAGAAGGTTAGGATTTGTTTCCTCTTTTTTTCTCGTGTGTCATGGGCCTTGATGGCCGCATAATCATAATTATGTGGATTTGTTTTTTGGATTACGGCTGGTTTTCGTTTCACTCCTTTTATTGTTACTTTTGGGATATGAATACGTCGATTCTACTGATAAATTCGCAGTGGTTTTCTTTTAGCGTCGAAACACCAGAGCAGAGTTTCGTACTGGGGCCTCAGTTCCTCGATTTAGGTCTTTGAATGCCAAGTATGGTCGAATTACAGCCTATTGACTTTGCATCATGGCATTCAAATGCTGTGGGGGAATCGAAATGCGTAATGCTGAGCATGGTTTCCATTATGCTGGATCTTTGGGATAGTGTCCTAATGATTATAAGAATAGTAAGGGTTGTGGAAAACATATTTTATTTTCCTCATATTGGAATTAATAATAATGATAGAAACCAGAGAAGCATATTTTTTTGAAGCTTTTCTTTCTGGTCGGCTGATTTTTATTATGTTGAAGTACCTAGGAGCATGCCAATTACCTTAGTCATATGGCAGAACTTACTATCCTCGACAGGAATAATGCCTTTTTTTTTATTTAAATAACCTAGATTACACAACCAGAGGGCAGTGATGGTCTCTCAAATCGGTTAAAGAGTTTTTTAGAGGAAAAATGAAAAGAATGGATATAACATAGAGAGATGTAATCTTCTCTTGGGAAATTCTCAACCAAATAGTTAATGGATATAAAACCCTAACTACGTGAATCTCGAACATACTGTCTTTAACCAAATACTACGTTCTTTGAATCAGAAATTAAATGACAGTACGTTCTGAACTCTTTGACTCGCTTTTTAAACCGAACATTGCTTTAGTGTTATCTAGAGAAACAAATATCTACAGGATATTCTATAAATCTTTTGTCAACTTCTAACAGTGATATAACTAGAGGACTAAGTAACATAGGTTGATAGTTTTTAAACTTAAATCTATCAGAAAGAAACAGCTGAACGTTTTGAGTAGAATTGCAGCAGATTGAAGAGATAAAAAATGAGTCGTCAAAATTTCCGTTCCTAATTTGGTGAAAGTCTCGTTGTAGGATTAGTTGGCTGCATCGAGTATCTTGCCTCATATTATGATCATCAGCTGAATTTAATTTCTTTTGACAGAGTGAAAAGGCTGGTTGTGGTATATGCAGATCTTTAGTTCCCAAGGAAGTTTTGTGATATGATAGTCAGCCACTTACCCTTATGGATCATTAACATTTTTTAAAACTTAAACTTTGCCTACTGCTGGTAAGGTTTACGGCTGTTGAAATAAGAATGTGACGTATAGATTTTTGTTCCTTTTTTTCGAGTTTTATCACATAAGTTGCATACTTCATGATCCCTTGGAGTTCAATAACTCCCATCTCAAAAAGAATTAATGGGGACATGTGATTGTTTAATTAATTTATCATAATTATGACATGCATGTACTAACTAAAAAAGAAAAACGAAAACAGTGCTATCAATTTGTGGGTAACATTCCCAATGAGAAACATGTGTTTGGTGCTCACAGATGGAGAAGTGGTCATCATTAATTCTGAATTCATTGTCCTTCCCCAACTAAATGAACACCAATTTCCATTGATCGTGCGTGTCATTCCAAGTAGGGTAATCAGATTGCACGTCAGAATCACCCTTGAGAGAAGCACATAACTTATCCAACTTCTTGATGTATATCCTTTATTTCGCATCATCCTACTAATTAAGTTCTCTTCTTTCAACTATTTCAGTCCGAAGTGTTTGCAGTCGCATTTGCCGTCCTTGCAGCCGGGGCGATCATACTCACACTGAATGTCCTACTTTTGGTAAGTTCCCTTCCTCGTGTCTGTTCCTTTCAGTCTCCCTTCACGGCTTCAATACACACCCTCGTCCCCCTGCAGGGTGGGCACATCATCTTCTTTCAGAGCCTTAGCCTTCTGGGCTACTGTCTATTCCCTCTGGATGTGGGGGCCCTTATCTGTCTTCTCAAGGACAATGCCATCGTCAAGCTCATCGTCGTGACTATCACACTGGTGTGGAGCTCTTGGGCAGCATACCCATTTATGAGCGCAGCAGTTGGCCCCAGGAGGAAAGCCTTGGCCCTCTATCCAGTCTTCCTCATGTATGTCTCTGTTGGCTTCCTCATCATTGCCATCTGACTGAGTTGCTGGGGAGGCGAATTATTGTCAACGCAAGATGCTATATCAGGGACGACAAGATACCCATGTAAATTACTATTTGAGGTAATCGTTGTATCTAGATCTCCTTTACTTTTCTGTGGAGAATGATATATTCTCTGGTTTGACCCGGGTCGTCTTTGAAGCTTGGAGACTGTCATCTAGATTTCATGTTGTTCACTTGCCCATAAAAGTTCCATGAAATTGTTTGACAAAGGAAAAAAATTGAGACCATCATGTGTAATGGAGATGAGTTGACTAGAATCATTACATAAACATGGTTAGTTCGTAATCTTCATTTGCTCATTTCATCGTTGATCCAGTGTTAAATGCGTTGACTTTTTCATTAAAGCTGAGGGTCTATCATCTAGATTCATCGTCATTCTCTTACCCGGAAAACTGATCAACAAAAAAGAAATAACAGCGGATAGCTTCATTTAGTGGCTTTGAGTTGACTAATATTTTTGAGTAAATATGTGTAATTCCATAATCTTCTCCTTGTCAACTTTTTCATTGAATTTTGTCTTTAAAAACTCCTCAACCTCTGGTTGCAATTCACTTATTAGAGCTGAATTGTTCTGTGGATGAAAGATGTCCCGTTTTTGGGAGATTGCTGACTTTCCTTTCCAGCCGAGGTTGACTTTAAACTCGCTGATATCTTTATTAAAGAAAATAGAAGGTGAGAAAAAATAAGAGCGCTAGATCACTAAAACGTGCCCTTGGAATAAAATAAAGTCAACGTTGCGGGCCCCAACGATCACTGTTTTCTAACTTAGGTCCCTCTCAATTCATCGAAATGCAAAAGAGTAATCTTGTCCTTGTCAGATTATGAACAAGGTTCCATGATCAATACGTCACTCTAAGAACATGAATATCCCACAAATATTTTCCACATTACAAATTTCATTTCTTATTAGTTTCTCAAACTAATTATTATATTTGACGTATAATGTTGTTGAAATAAATAAATCACCTGATAATCATATTCCATTCTCTCTCTCTCTCTCTCTCTCTCTCTCTCTCTTCATGGTTGAATAACCGATAAAAAGATTTAAATTTGATGTTTTTAATGAGATCTTGTTAATAATCGTGAATTCTGTGTATAGACAGAAAATTACGCATTGAAAAAACAACCTATGTGGGTTGTCCCCATAGAATTAATAATAATTAGAGAGTATTTTTCGTGAGGATATTGTTCTTCGATTTAATCTTCGAATGGGTGATATTTTTCAATTACAAGAGAGAGAGAGAGAGAGAGAGAGAGCTTACAATCACTTCAAATAAGTTATAGAGTAATTAGGGCCATGCAATTAATTAGAAGGTAAAAGATTAAATCATCCTCATTGAAAAACAGAAAAAAAAGATGGTTGTCAACAACCCAAGAGATTGTGACCACACGCCCGACTAAGAGATCCCATCATCCCCCCTAAACCCTTATCCCTTCACCGGCTCTCCGAGGGAAGATCACATGAAGACGCAGCCACCCCTCGTGTAACTCGTGCCCCCCCCCTCTTCAAAGCCCCTTCCCCGGGCATCTCGAGCTGATCTTCCTCCATCTTTCTTCCCCTTTCTTGCAGAGCAAGAGCTCAACTAACCCAATTAAGTAATTCTGCTCATAGAGCCCTTGGCGATGAGAGAGAGGAGAGAGAGAGAGAGAGAGAAGCTGATGGGTATGAACAATGCGGATGACCTGCAACGAGAAAAGGACTCATTGATCCTGGAGGAGGGGGACAGGCAAGGGGAGGACGATCTTCTCGTCGAAGGAACCGCCGCTCCTGACCCAGCCGGCGGCGGCGGAGGAGACGACGGGGAGCTCCTCCAGCTCGTCGAAGAAGTCGTCCTCCTCCTCCTCCGGCGACTCCGCCGCCGGGCCCGGAGAGTTCCCCTCCTTGTGGACATCGCTGAGAGGGAGCCTGTTCTGCTCTAATTCCCCTTCGGTCCGTTCCGGCGGCGGGGCGGCGGCGTTCAGGTCTCCCTCTCCGGCGCCGGCGAGCTCCTTGGCGCCGCCGTCCCCGGCGGGGCTCCCCGGCGGCGCCGCCGGGCCGGGGTGGTTGTGGTCGGAGGTGTAGGTTATGATGAGCACGGAGGGGTCCGTGCGGCTCCTCTCCACCTGCTTCTTCGCGGAGCAGCCCTTGGAAGTGCTGCACCTGTAGTAACCTCTGAAAGCGAGAAAGAGATGGGATCGGATCGGATCGGATCGGATCGGATCAGACCAGATCAGATCAGATGATTGAATGGTTTTTTTTTTCTCTGAGGATGAGGAGGAAGGAGGTGGAAATTTAGAGTCTTGGCGAGGTGGGTCACCTCGGGTAGGGTGAACCCTTGATGGGCTTCTGCCCGTACTTCCTCCACGACCAGAGATCGGAAGGCGGACCCTCCGCCCCCTTGCTGCTCTTCCCGGCGGCCGTCTCCACCCTCACTGTCACCACCGTCTTCTCCCCTACCTTCCTATAAAAAGAAAAGCATGTCCAGACAGCAACACAGATCGAGCCTTAGCGAGAGAGAGAGAGAGATAGATAGACTGACGGACAGACATGGATAATTGTTGAGAGAGAGACAGACAGACAGACACGGAGAATTGTTGAGTGAGAGAGAGAGAGAGAGAGAGAGACAGACAGACAGACAGAGAATTGTTGGGAGGGAGAGGGGAGAGAACCTCTTCTTGGGGGACTGGGAGTCGGCCTTGGGTGGCTGTGTCTCGTCCATCCTCTCTCTCTCTCTCTCTCTCTCTCTCTCTCTCTCTCTCTCTATTCCAGCTCTCAGTTCCTGCCGTCTCTCACCTGGTTCCTGCGATCACACTGCCCCCTTCAAACAGCCGCCTCCTTTCCCACCTTCCCTGGGAACTAAACCAGCAAGAACAGGCTTCCGAGCAAAAGCTGAAAGGCGGTCGTTACATTCAACACTAGAAACACACGTATAGAGAGAGAGAAAGAGAGAGAGACAGGGAGTGGGAGAAGCAGAAGAAGAGAGAGAGAGAAACGGATATGAATCGGCGTCCAATTAAATATAGGAAAAAGACGGCCTTTGGGAAGTCGCTGTCTCTCTCTCTCCCCCTTCCCTTTCTCTCTCTCTAAATCATTTAATTCAGCCGCGGAAGGCTGCAGATAACCCCCCAGTAGGCGGACGATCCCTTCGGGCCCCCCCCCCCGTTGGGCGGCCCACGTTGGTGCCGTCACGCACGGGCCCAATCAGAGAAAACAATTAATGGGCCGTAATGATGTCACTGCCCATCAATACCCATGGGGCCTCCCCACGTGGCCACCCTGGCCCACTCCTCCGTCCCCTTCCTTGGGTTTTCCGCAAATCTGCCCGCCCATCTGGATCCCCAGATTACCCTCCCATAACTCGTATTCAACGTAATACCCCTCCCCCGCAGGCGGCGGCAGCGGCGGCGGCCTGTGGACGGAGACCGCCGCCTGCCGATTTATTACTAAAAACGCCGGCGTCGCCCGCCGGCCATCGCCAGCGGTGCCGGAATATGACAGGTGGGGCCCACATCTCTCTTTGACGTCAGTCCCCCGTCACCCAAAGAACCCCTCCCATTGTCTGCCTCCCCACGATTCCTTCCGGCTGCTGAATGGCGGCGGAGGCCGCCGCCAATGGAGAAAAAGCTCAGGAGCAGGCCATACGAGGTGATCTTCGGGTCCAAAAATAGCATACGACGAGGATTTTACTTGCCAAAAGAGGAGTCTTATTCTGGGTCAATCCACGAAACCTACCGCCCGATCGTGGGGAAGAACCATAAATGTATTTCGGAACCGACACAAAATTACACTGAAAATCTGTTTCTGCGGTGGCGCCGCCGTACTAGTGCGGCAATAAGACTTCCCGTCCCGCCGCCGCCCACCTTTGAAGGTGGTCCCCTCACCGGCGGAGGACGAGCATCACACGGCGGCCCACGTCATCTTTAGCGAAGCGTGGGGGCTTCACGGCTAAGTACTGAACTGTGCTGCACTGTACACTGTGATCTCGTCACCGCTGCTCCGCCGCTGTTCCTCGCCTCCCTGCCTGCTTGCTTTTTCTGAAGTATAGAATGTAATAAAACATCACATAAATGACTTTCTCTCTCTCTCTCTCTCCCCACGATTTTTCTTGCACCATGCTCGTGAAATCTGTAAGCCAGAGAGCAAGAACAGACCATGAATTTGGTGCTCCTGAGTTGGGTAGCCTGATGAATATCCGTGAAAGTCATGTGATGAAACCTCGTAACTATCATGGGGGCAATGGGATGCTTGATTTGATCCCTTAAAACTTCCATCTGAAAAAGGCCCATAATTCAAGAAAAACAAACGTTTCTATTCAAAGTTTCTTGCTCCCCGTGTCAAATGAAATTGCCACGATAGCAGCTGAACAGAGCTCATGCTAATCTGATAAATAATATAATAAGTTGTTTAAATATTAAGAAAAATAACGAGCAAAAAAAAATGATTATTATGTTTAAATGTCCCTTGCTGGTATTCTCATAGAGCGTAGAACCCTACAATAAGTCGGAGGATGCCGTGGCAAAGATATTATTAGCAGCATGCTCGTATGGTCTGTAAACCGAAGAACAAGAACAGACTAAGAATTTTGGTGCAATAATACTGGATAAATCGAACACTTCAAAGCAACTTGAAAGAAGAGCGCAATCCATACGAGCATGAGCTTTCCCAGCATAATACTATAACAAAAATTTGATTGAATTGCAAAGATATTTCCCTTGTATCATGCTCATAAAATCTGTGATCCAAAGAGCAAGAGCAGACTACGAATTATGTTGCAAAAAAATTGATAATGACTTTACAAGGAGAAACCACGAATAAATGTGCCTATGTTGAAATTCAACACAAACAGAGGATGATTCCAGATACAATATTATTGATGCTCATTAGGTTTAAAACCTCAAACCAATATAACAGAATGACAACACTTGACTGAAATAGTTCATTATACTGTTAATGTCCTCTGCCAGTCTGTCATATAGCTACAATTGCTATAATCTGAATTGAACGACACGGCAAAGTTGTCATTTAGCACCATGCTCGTAATGTCTGTAAACCATAGGACAAGAACAGACAATGAATATAGGTGCCATCATAGTACCAAGATCAATCCAACAGTTGTCCAATACTACATGGAACGAAAGTTGTCATAAAAATCAAGCAAAACAACGGAATTTGATATCTAAAAGATAAGTATGTTACCACATTTCACAGACTATTGAGTATCACGGTTCAATGTACTCGGTGCAGGCAATAACAATGGTAGAACGAAAGGTTTTATTTAACGAGTATCATTCTGACGTAGTTTGCAAATCAAAGAAGAACAGAAAATTAAACTAAGTATACAAATCAAAGAAGAACAGACAATGAAATGAGGTTCATGGTCTAGCCCCCGCACAGATAAAAATTATAGCCGTCAATGGTATAATAGAAAGACTTCGACGTCAAAATATGAACATGTCCATGAATTTTTTACTTATTAGTTCACCACGCAAAGAATCCAACTCCAGGTTGATTGAACGAAAGGCAAAGAACATGACTATGAAAAAGAAATATCCACAACAGGAGCTGAACTGCAACGATTTCACAGATTCAATAAAACATAATGCAATCATGCAGAAAGGCCAAAGACATGAAATTCTGGCGTAAAAGAGGTTTCACACCAGCATGTCACTCCAGGGCAGCAGCTATCAATCCTGAGGATCGTAATCAGAAATGGAAAAAAGATAAAAATCAAACACGGTCATCTCGCATGGATAAGAATCAATAAAATTAAGAATAGGTGAAATGCATGAACAGTAAATTTTGAAAGGCAATACACATAAAATTAGCACATGTGCAACGACTCATGGTGGGGACTTAAAACGGATGCTCTTTGGCTACGAACATCTTCAGATATGGATTCCTTCCCGGATCTCCAAATCAGGACAGTCGAGGTTTTCAAGCTACCCTTCACGTATGTTTTCCTGATAAAATAAGCATCCATATGATTGGAGTAAAAATGCACTTTATGTTAATTCAATTTAAAATATAGGAGAAGCCATAAAAGTTGAATTTATATCATTTTCTTATTCTCCAATTCGGCCAAAAATATAAGAGTTGAAGCAATCCAAAACTAAAGCAGAGGATATCCATGTCCAATGGTAAAAGATGGCAGAGCCCATGTTCTTCTGGAACAACCAGATGTGCCTGAAGAATGTAACTAAGAAATAACAACGCATTTCCAGATATACTGGTCAAAAGAATAAACAAAATAAACCCAACTTATTATAATTTTGAAAATATTTACGCAACTGTAATTAACATACAATTCATTGGGAAGCAAAAATGGATTGAACAGTGCATGTGAGTGATTCTTTCAAAACAGGGAGCAGGAAGAGCTTACACAGTACAACACGAAAAGAAATAAACTAAAATCGATTGGATCTCTGGTGCATGAAGAAACATGATTAAGTGGAAAAATCAAGGCAACCCTTTCATATATCTATACAATATAGTTGGAGGCACTTGCCTCGCATTGGACGAAGAGGGGGCCTATTTTGTACCAAATTACGAGACTATTGAGACAAACTATTAAGTGAACGGAAGATAGTATTATCTAGCCAACTGAATGGGATCCATCGCTGGAATAAAACAAGCATGCATTTTCTCTTCCGTATCTTTTATCTATAATCAGCAACGATCTGAGAGAACCGACTAAATCTACCACTATCTCTATACACAGAATTGAAGGCAATAATGTAGATGGCCTGGACTTCAACCGACGACAGTATTCCTTTGTTCAACACAGCAGGACCCAATATTTTCAGTACTTACGTTCCACAACATTGCATTGAGTTCGACTTTACACAAACCCTGATTCAAACTAGGGAGCATTCCTTTGCACTTAGTCAAGAAAATAAATAAACATATAAACTAGGATGCCCTAAAACATGTATCAGAATCAGGCCACCATTGTAATAATACCACTAGATAACCACTAATGTAAGGGAATGCTCCAAAAAAATAGTTTACGAATTTTCAGATATAAACCCTATTATCGAAGAATCCTGCTCTCAGCGCTTCACATTACCCCGCTGAAAACGAAAAAACGCGCTTACTAAAAAGAGCTCTCAACGACAAGATCAAATCCGCCGCCCATTCTTTCCTTAAAGACGTGAGTGGACGACGTCATTGCAGGAAAGAGGAGCATCAGTGGGAATCCTAGAAACAGAGGCTGACAGAACAATCAAAAGACGCCACAACCCCACATCCAAACACGTCCGAATACAAAATCATCACCAGGCCTCAGTTAGATCGAAGAAATCGCGTCGAAGCAGTGTCAACCACAAGCAGTGCACAACCTCGAGGAGACTAGCGAAATCGTCGACGTCCCTCACCTCCATCTCCTTCTTCCTCAGAATCTCGCTGCGCCCCCCGGATCCCAGGTCGTTCTCCCGCCGTCGGCATTCCTTCAAATGCCACCCCGACCCACTACAGCGAACCAAACCCTAATAAATGAACTTTGGACCGCATCGCCCTGGGTGGGGCCAGAGAGGAGAGAAGGAAGAGAGAGAACGAGAGAAACTGTGACTCCCGCAGATCCATGGTATCTTGGCCGACCGAGAGATCCTCTACAGTCCACCGATTAGTGTATCCTTAACAGGTTGCCAGTGGAGCCGCTGACGTCACCGGCGCCGCCGTCCGGTATCCGTCACCGGCCCCGGCGATGGACGACGCAGACCGCGAGTTAAGGAGCCTGCCACCACCCCTCCTGTCCACTTTCCACCATTGGCGCCGGCGGAAGACTCGCCCGCGTTTGAAGGGCTCTCTGCCTCCGCCGCCGCCGACGGTGCTCCATCTCTCATCGCATCTCACTTTCTCAGTCCCAAGCCTCAGCTCTCCTCCCCCCCCCTCTCTCTCTCTCTCTCTCTCTCTCCCTCTCTCCCCCTCCCTCTTCCTCTCTCTCGCTGTCGGTGGGCCTCCTGCCCATCCCCATCGTAAGCCACAGACTCGCCACAATTTCCACGTTTGTCCGCATGCGGTAGACGACGACGAGGGACAGAGCGAGTGAACACAGTGAGCACCGCAGCCGTCAACTCGGTCCGGGCCCAACGACCCCTGTGGGCCGAGTCCAACGACGCCCCATCGTCTCACCCGTGACTACTCACCCGTCCTAGGTGAGGACGAGAAAGAGAGAGAGAGAGAGAGAGAGAGAGGCGCAGACAGCCGGCATGGGGGGAGGAGAACCCGGGTTCTCCGTGTCGTCTCTCACCTGCTTTGTCTCTCTGCACACGGTGACGTGACATGAGATAAATAGCAAGTTGCATCCAAAGCCACCTAAAAGATAGAAAAATACGTGCCGGATTTCAATTTTAATTTTTCAGTTAATAATCTGTTTGAGATGGGTCATTAAAATCATGCGATTTTTCGTAAAACATCTCATTTCGATTTTATATATATATATATATATATATATATATATATATATATTAAAAATAATATTAATTATTTGGCAATTAGTCACCTTTTTAGAGCTATAATTGGATTTGAAAAAATATGATGCGTCATCATGGTCATTTTTTGTTTAATGTCGTTTGGAAGTGATTTTCAGGTAAATTTCGCTTTAGACTTTTGCGTTGTAAAGTATTCTATTATATTCGATTTTTTTAAAATATACCATTAAATTTTGGTCAAAATCGCCCTCTCTCTCTCTCTAGCTCTTTCTATCTCTCTCACTCAACAAGTGGCTGAGATCAACTACAATCTATCTTAACCTTCTTTACGGACTCTATCAAGAAGCTTATACACAAGACAAAACCAATAGATAGCTCAAGAAGTAGACAAAAAACGAGAGAGAGATAGAGAGAGAAATGTATCTATAAATTGTTACGATGTCCATTTTCCAATGCACCTGAGCATCAGGGCTCAACTTTAGATGATAGAGATTTCGCGAGAAGGTGGATTGTCCCACCGTTGGCTGAGGAGGATCAGAATGGCATCTCAAACATAGTGCAAATAATATACTAGTAAAATATTAAAACAGTATTCATTTATTTATTTTTTCTATTAAGTGAAAATTTTCATTCCCAATAAAAATAGCATTTAAGTGGTTTGGCTTTTTATCATTTCCAGGAATCATATTAGTGTTTTTCAGGAATTATCAGAATTAAAAGTTTAGGTATTTATATCCAATGTCTTGTATAAAGTTGTCTAGATGGCTCCTCCGGGTCTTCGATCCATAGTTTGAGAAATATATCCGTGAAGGACTTCTAAAATAAATCAATTCGAGTAGGTTTTACGAAAGATTATTGTGACATAAATTTTCAGACGAACAGCGAACTAGATCCCGGTGTACTTCTCCGCCATTAAACACGGCTGTTCTAAGATCTCTCTTCCTTCTTCCTTCTGCCTCTTCCACCGGCAACCTCAAAGTATTTGCGAAGCCGCCAGGGACGTCCGCAAAGTTTGCCTCTCTCTCTTCCCTTACTGCCAGTCTCTCTCTCCCTCCTCTCTGCTACAATCTCACTCGCTGTGTCCTACTGGCCCCTCTCTCTCTCTCTCTCTCCGCGCTTCCGAGGAAGGCGTCAGTGTCGCCATTTTCCTTTATAAACCGTCGAAGTGGACTAGATTATCCCTCCCACCTCTCTCTCTCTCTCTCTCTCTCTCTCTCGCTCTCTCTCTCTCTCTAGGGATTCCTGCCTTCTTCTATAATGGAAGACCTCTACAGCATACACCCTGGGATTCCGCCGTTGGAGGAGCTACCGGCCGTAGAGGCCCTGGCCCACTGCGCCATCTCCGCTGACCTTTGGCGCCGGGACTCGTCGTCCGCTGCCGCCGCTGCCGCCACCGCCCTCTCGTCGCCCTCCTCCGCCGCCTCAAACTTCCTCAGACCCCAGATCGCCACCCACCCCCGCTACCCCGCTCTCCTCTCCGCCTACGTCGAATGTCGCAAGGTAGAGAAACCTCCCCCTCTCTCTCTCCCCTTTCTCTCTCTTCGTAGATGATGACCTTTTGAGTTCCTTGTATTTTAATCTCCTGTGGGAAAAGAGAAGGTGGGTGCACCGCCGGAGATGGCAGCGCAGCTGGAGGAAATCCGGCGGGGGGCCTCCCTCGCCGCCGTCTGTGGCGAGATCAGCGACGATCCGGAGCTCGATCATTTCATGGTAATCGCAGCGCCTTCCTCAGGGAGAAATCTCGTCATTCCTCAACCTCTTTCAGAGGATCTTCATCTGAGTCTTTTCTTTTCTTCTCTTCTCTTCTGTTGCATGACGCCACCGCAGGAGTCCTACTGCCACGCGCTCAACCGCTACAAGGAGGAGCTCTCGAAGCCGTTCGACGAGGCCACGTCCTTCCTAAACAGCATCGAGCTGCAGCTCAGCGACCTCTGCAACAGCGGCGCCGCCACGACCGGCGGCTACTCCTCATCCGGTAATCATAATCACTCTCTCCAATCGACCAGAAGAAGTATCAAATTATAAGCAAAAGTTGTAAATCGGGGAGTGAAGACCCGATCTTGCCTCCCGTCGTTCTTGCTGGGTTCGTTCATGGACCACCAGTCTGGATCGGACTGCGGGGCGGGAATCGCGGGCTACGGATGGCAGTCGAGGGGTCAAATCACGCCCATGCAGGTGCCGTGAATGTAGGGTCAGCTCTGCGTGAGAGTTTGAGGTGCGAAGGTTTTTCTCCCCGTCCGATGGTTATTGGCCTGGGAAGAGATATCGCCTGACGAAAAAGGCTGCCTCTCTCTCTCTCTCTCTAGGTCTATACGAGTATGGGTGGGCCGTAGGAGATGGTTTAAGAGAGCTTTGGGGATGCGAAAACGATGGAGTAGCGTGTATTCTCTCCAATACACACTAATATAGTGGGCTGATCCTTATATTCTTTACCGGTTTCATTGTTCCTGGCCTCCGAGTTCGGTTTTGTGGCATAGTTGGTATAGACTTCAGATTCTGATGGCGATAAAGGTCTCTCTCTACTCTCCTCCCGCCCCCCCTCCCCACCCACTCTCTCTCTCTCTCTCTCTCTCTCCCTTGGGCTACTATTGTGACGTGACTGTGGCTCCTAGTTTTGTTTTCAGGAATGGTCGATATTCGACTTTAGTGTTATCCCCTCGCCCCCTCTCTCTCTCCCTCCCTCGGAATAAGCTACTGTTGTGACGTGACTATGATGTGGCTTCGATTCCCAGTTCGGTTTAGAGGAATAGTTGATTAGGCTTCAACTACGTGATCAAGTTCTCCTCCCCCATACTTTCCTCTCTCTCTCTCTCTCTCTCTCCCTCTCTCCACGTGGGCTACTGCTAAGGGTTTTGACCTGGCTGTGATTCCCCCCGGATTTTGAGGGATGGATGGTAGATTTTTTCAGATTATTCTTTGCTGCTGCGGATGATAATGATAAATATTCCAACTTTGTTGGTCTTCCTCATTCTCATATGAGAGGGACTCCTGAAAATTTTATCATATCTTAGATACATGGACCGCATAATAACTTAGTAAAATGTAGATAATCATAAACATCCCAAGTTTGGTAGCATCTATTTGTCACAAGTAGAGGCTCAATGTACTTTTCGATTCACTCCGATGTAAACCTACGAAATTCTTCGACAGCCTAGGCCAACTTGATAGCCTCTACTATCGAGAGAGAAATGATTCCTGTACAAAGCTAGAGATAGCTAGTTAGAGAGGGGAGAGAGAGAGAGAGAGGGGGGGGGGTGGGGAGAGGGAGAGAGGGAAGACAGACAAACTCTACAATGGCTATTCCTCCTGCACTTTTCAATATGGATGATCCGTTCATTATCTGTCTTGATCACTTCAACCAAGGTGGAATAGATTAACACTAAATTCCGTCAAAATATGAAGAAATTTGTCTATTCTTTGGTCATTTATTTTCGTAAACTTGGAAATTATCACCTTAAAAAAAGAGCTCGATTACGGCACTTATCATAGAAGTTTTTCTCCTCATGTGTGCAAAGATAAATCATCATATCAACCACCAAGCATAACATCTTGTTCATTCTTTTCCTTTTCTACCCATGTCATAGTTAGTTCCCAGGGGTGAAGGAACAAACTTCCTTCAAGCCTCCTGTAGCTTGAGCTACTTCCCTTCCCTCGAGTAGTTCTCCTTTAATAGTAACTAATGCATTCCTAAACAAGATAGAGTTTTCCCTTTTTATATACTAAAGAAGGCACTGGTTTCTTCAATGGATTCCAAGATAGCCTTACCTGCAAGTCCTACTATTTTTCTTATCGGAACGCCCTACTATTTATTCATCATTGGGTCAACCAACTACATGCATCTTCTTGCTCAAAGCCCAAAATCTTAGAGCATACGATGATTAGGGCCTAATTTCTTGAATACGTTGTCGGAGTAATGTTTATATGGGAGTTAGCCGTTATGGGGTCACAGCTTATATACATGCTGATCTTCTCTGTCTAGGTCCTGAAGATACTTGATTACAATTTCTTACTTGATTTAGCAAATTAATGACTCATGGGTAGAGTTTCAGGACATACAATCTCGATCAACGAGGAATCAGAAGGTAGTTTCAGGACGAGGCTTTGAGCACCTTGAAGATGGCAGGCCATGTTGCAAGTGTATGAGAAAATGTTACGAGTCGATGAAAATTTACCATGTTATTTTCGCCCATGTTTGCCCATGTTCTTTAGACATTAGAATAGTCCCCTGGCATCAACTTGGAAAATAAGGATCATGGGGTACTTACTGAAGAATTACAAGAATGATTGAGAAAATCATTGGCTCAATTAACCGTTTCGCGAATGTTTTTACCCGTATGATTTGAAGAGAATATTAGGCTTTCAAGCTTCAATATTTCATTGACTTGCTTAATAGCTTGCCTCCTCCTCTAGAGGGAGTTGGTGACGCCTCAGAGGAGGAGCTAAACTGCAGGGATTCCACTAAGAGGGGCGGTGGGATATGGACAGGAGGCCAGCATTTGAAGGAGACGCTGATGAAGAAGTACAGCAACTACCTTAGCAACCTGAGGAAGGAGCTCCTGAAGAAAAGGAAGAAAGGGAACCTCCCAAAGGGCGCGAGGGCCTTGCTCATGGATTGGTGGACAAAGCACTACCAATGGCCTTACCCCACGGTGAGATCCCTATCTACTAGAACAGTCCCACATTGCCGGAAATGGGCTTGTCTTTTATCATCAGTGGATAATTATTGATGGATGGTTACCCTACGGTGAGATCCCCATCCGCTAGAACAGTCCCAAATTGCCTAAGATGGGCTTATTTTTTATCATCGGTGGATAATTAGTGATGGATAGTTACCCTACGGTGAGATCCCAATCTACTAAAACAGTCTCACATTGCCTAAAATGGACTTAGTTTTTATCATTGATGAATAATTACCCCACGGTGAGATCCCCGTCTAGTAGAACAGTCCGAGGTTGCCTAAAATGGGTTTATTTTGTGATTATCGATGGATAACTAATGGTGTGCCGCTCCCCGGTTGAGCTCAGGACGAGGAGAAGGTGAAGCTGGTGGAGGTAACCGGTCTGGATCAGAAGCAGATCAACAATTGGTTCATCAACCAGAGGAAGCGCCACTGGAAGCCGTCCGAAGGCATGCGGTCAACCCTCGTAGACGGCATTACTGGCGGGTCCCATTCTACCACTAGGTACTTCGGAATGGCTCTCGGCCAATGACCACGACGACTCTCTGTTGCCATTGTCGTTGCTCGTACGCACGATTTTGTTCCTCTCTCTACCCTTCTCTTCTCCATCATGCGTCGATTATCTATCTCTTCTGCTATATAGTTTATGGGTGCAATTGTACTCCCTCTCTCTCTCTCTCTCTCTCTCTCTCTCTCTCTCTCTCTCTCTCTCTCTCTCTCTCTCTCTCTCTCTCTCTCTCTCTCTCTCTCTCTCTCTCTCGTTAGGGGAATGTTATTGGGATCGCTGGAGCTGGGTATTTTTCTGGCGTTGGGGCTTAAAATTTTAGTTTTTGGCAAAGAACCAGAAGGCTGAGCTCGGAAAGGCCCGGGCTTAGGTCTCTTCTTCCTCATCGGAAACCCGATAGCTGCAGGTTATCATTCGCTTTAGTCCTTTTATTAGATATATTGGTTCCCTATTGGTTTCCCATTTGACTACGGCCTAGACTATTAACGTTCTTAGACTATATAATCTTCAGGCCTATCTCCCTCCACCTATAAACAAAATTATTTGTTCATTTGCCTGCCTCAACGTGGAGTTCTTCAAAAGACAGGCCTGGCCCATTGAGTCAAGGTTGGCCACGGCCTGGGCCCAGTGAAATTGAATCCAGGCCTATATTATATATATATAGAGAGAGAGAGTATAACGAGAGAGACAGAGGGGTGAGTGGCATCGATATATATAGATGGGAGAGATAGATAAAAAGATAGAGAGATAAAGAGAGAGAGAGAGAGAGAGAGAGAGGGAGAGAGAGAGATGTAGGAGATCACTTCTAGAAAAGAGAAGGGCAAATTGTTTTTTACCTAAGTGCCCCAAAACTTGTGGGTCAGTCATTCTAAAAATGTGAAGTATTGACCACAAGGATAAGAAGATCTTAAAAGGCCAAATTTTAGATTAGGCTCATAATAAATGCTTGAGAAACATGTCATAGATTACTTTTCCCACTTTTAGTGTTTTAAATCTGTTTTAAAGTTGTTTTTATAATAATATTTGAAGAACGGTTTTTAAATTATTTGAATCTATGTTAAAGATTTAGTAAAATGAATTCACCTTTCTAAGGGTTACTTAACAAAAGTTCAACCTATTTAAAGGTCTCAGATTGTAGCCTTAGGATTGCTCAATTAAAATTTCTCCTCTTGGCTTGTAAATTTAATCACTCTCTAGTAGATCTAAGGGCTGCCCCATCAAGTGTTTAAGAATTCAAGGATCAAAGTTTCAAAATTATGTGGATTCAAGTCCTGATTTCTTCTTTGAAATTTGTTTCTTTTGAAATTAGTAAAATATATTTTAAATAAGTTCAATGTGATGTTGTCAAGATGAATACGTGTTATATTATTTCATAAAGATCTTGACAATTTGATGCTGATGTCACATACTAATATACAAAATGACAAGAAAAATATTATAATTCTAATGGAGGAGATTGTATTTTTAACATGAAGACAAAAGAGAAAAAAAAGGTACATAAAATGAAGAAAAAGACACTTTTAAGAGTTCAAATCAAAAATTAAAAAATGTCGTACTACAGAGAAAGAATGATAGCAACATGTAATTTTTCACATGTTAGTATTTAGCTAGAACAAAATACTTTGCTTCAGCATAACATTAATTTAGATTCATTTGACTATGATATTAGAGAGTATAATAAAAAACCTGATTTTTAGCAAAGTATGAAAAATCTTGAAAGGAATACAAATTTTCATGAGGATGTAGAAATTGAAAAGGTAAATTTCAAATCTATGTGCATTCCATTTAGTGAAGAAAGAAAATAGTTTCTATAATTTATAAATAGATGATATGTTGGACGTGGTATTAAGTTCCAAACATTTCTCAAAAGTTGATTTAGATAGTAGTTATCTTCAAATTCAGATGTGTACATAAAAATTAGAAAAAATATTCTCAAACAAATGCATTTTTTTACAAATTTTATTGTTTGCTTTGTCTACTATGAAGAGAATAAGCCTAATTAATCTATATCAAAAAGTTTGTTCCCCTTATTTTGGTTATGTAATTGGCCACAAAGACATACAAAAATGTTCTATTTGAAAGAGGTCTGAGACTTTTATAGCAAAATTAGTAATACGAAGATATTCAACATCAGCTATGTATAGATCAGTATGACTTTTATGAATTTGCAGTCAAAACAAAAATAACTATCAAAGATTTTTTTTAAGACTTCCAAAAATGGCCCATAGCAAGGGATATCAATAAGGTGTATAATTTCTATATATTTCCTTGTTTTTACCACATATTTGAGAAAAAAAATTATCTCTAGTAGCACACCTAGAATTGAATATATGAACAAAGGACATTTTAGTTTGATAGAGAAAGCAAGAAGAAAATTTTATCTTTGTAAGAGATTTGATCCATGTCACTCTCAAATATTTGATATTTGTTGATTTATTCATTCCATCAAGCAAGATAAATCAAGAGAGTGGAACTTTGCCTTCAACTTTGACAATTGTTTAGCAAGAGCTAATTTAAAATGTGTACATTTTTAGTTGGAAGTTGTAATTAGAAGTTAAAGCCAATTATCGTATTTTTTATCATTCATGTGTCTTCTCTTGATAAATATTATCGTACTTCTATAAAAGAGATGGCCAATTTTTTTTTGACATAAGTGGCTCAAATCACATGAGTCTACCATTCTAGAAATGTGAATTATGAACTACAAGAATTAGAATACCTTAAAGGCCCAAAATTAGAGTAGGCTCATAATAAAATGAATGAATAAATATTATTTTTCTCACTTTTAGTGAGTTTTGAATTTATGTTGAAGTAATGTTCTAAAAGACTGTTTTAAGAATGATATAACAACATTTTAATCTATTTTAAAGAGCTAGTAAAGTTATTTCTTTTTTTTAAAGTTGACCTAATTGAAATTCAACCTATTTAAGGGCCCCACATTATAACCCCAAGAATTGTTTAATTATTGTGAAATTTCATCTCTTTGTGGTTCTATCCCTCTACTAGTATATTCAAGTGTTCTCTTGGGGATTCAAGAAAATATTAATCCTTGTGAACTTAAATTAAGGGTCACCTCATCAAGTCATTGAGAATTCAAAGATCAGAGTTTCCCAATTTTATAGATTAGATCCATGACTAATTTCTTCATTGAAATTTTATTTCTTATGAATCTAAAGATGAAATTTCTTCATTAAAGTAAGATCGTGTTCGAGAGAGTGAGAGAGAGAGTCTTAGATACACACACACACACACATATATATAGATAGAGAGAGAGAGAGGGGGGGGCGGGGAGTGGGAGAGAAAGTTTGGATACCCAAGTAGACAACCTAAGGAGAGGTAGAATTGAGAAGCGCATGAGTAAGATCGAATGGAAGACACAATTCAAGTGGACAGGGTGCATTCCAAGAACCCACGATCATACATATAGAGATAAAGATAGATAGAGAGAGAGAGAGAGAGAAGAACCCAGAAATACGATCTCGATATGAGAGAGACAAACCTAGCAGATAGAGAGAGAGAGAGAGAGAGAGAGAGACGCAGGGAGCAGTTCTAGTAGTGGGTGATCTCGGCGGTGGCCATGATAGGGTGCGAGGGGCAGGGGAGCTGCCAGGGCCTGAGGAGGGGGTCGGGCATCTCGGGGATGTCCACCGAGATCCCACTGAACTCCTCGACGAGGCGGAGCACCGAGTTCATCGACTGCAGCCGCTCCTTCAGTTCCATCACCTGGGCACCCAGGACGGCGTTCTCCGACTCCAGATCAACGAGCTTCTCCTCCACGACCGCCGCCTGCGCCGCCATCCTTGCGCTCTCCTCCTTCAGCGTCGCCGCCTCGTTCAACAGCTCCTCCACGCGCTTCTGCTTCCTCAGCCGGGACCTCCTTGCGGACTCCCTGTTGGACTCCATCCGCCGCCGCTTCCTCTGGTCCACGCCGACCACCGGATCGGAGCAGGCCTTCGCCCCCGCAGAGGACATCATCGCTCCGATCTCCTTCTCCTCGTTAGGGTTTCTCAGATCCTTCTCCTCTTCGCCGCTCGGTCGATCAGAATCCGAAGCCAAAAGGGGAGGGGCAACTCAGAGAGCGCTCAGATCAGATCATGAGACGGCGTAGAACCAGTAGAGAAACACGACGGAGAAGGAATGGAGGAGACGGACGCCACGCAGGACCGCAGCGGAGGTCATAAATCCTGAACGAAGATTTCCCCGGCAGAAATCAGCCTCCCGCAACCATCAACGAAACCTCCCCCAAATTATCTCAGGCCAGCCCAGAAGGAAATCTCTCTGCACCGAAAGAAAAAAAGAAAAAAAACACTACCATTTCATCCAATCTTCTCCAAGAACCAAGATCCAAAGTGAAACGCAAGAGAAGAACCCTAAATCACACCCAACCACCAGAAAAAATAAAAAAAACGGAAAGAAAAGGAAAAAGGAAGAGCTGCTTACCCGCAAAGGAGGAAGGGACAGGAAGGAGGAGAGAGAGAGAGAGAGAGAGAAAAGGGAAAGGAAGGTCTGAGACGCCGCCGGAGAGGACATTTTATAGAGGGCCGGTTCCAAAGTGGGTCCCATTCTTTTGGAACAAGACAGAATCTTCTGAGCTGGCAAGCGAGAAAAAAGCCAGCCCCGCCTCCACGTGGGAGGCTCTGGTTCTTGTCGGTGGTGCAACAACAAATTGCCCCATCAACAATAATCACTCGGCGAGGTCAACTGTCAACGTACCGTAAATAGCAACCCGCGATGTCAATAAACGTAATTAAATCAGCATAGACAAGGATAATACTGTGGACGCATTTTCATATCATAAAAACTCCAACTACTTGTAGGTTCTTGCGCCTACGACTATTTATGGAAAATGACCCGTACACATTATTTGGCAATATGGGCAAGCAAACACTGCCTAATTGGCAGATAACGCAGCAGCATAATCATGATAGATGAATAATTGGCAGATATGCACATTGTTTCTGGAGACTTCTCTCACCTAACTTGACCTCTATAGGCACAAATAATATCTTTGGAGGTGTATTTCTTTTGCAGAGAAATAATAATATTTCATGAGTCCCAAAAAATACGCGATTAAGAGAAATTTTTACATTATTATGTAAAGAATAATCAATCCAAATTACCAGAAAGAGAAATGTAGCTTTGTGGTGGTTGGATAGATGGATTACGCTTCAGAATCCCCATCCCAGACAATTTCATCCAACTGAAAATAAAACTAAGATAATAAATCATGGTTCTAAGAGAATAATTAATCCGGGAATTTCTCACAATATTGTTCTTGTGATTTTGTAGGAATATTCTTCATTATCCGAGGTAAACCTGAAAGAAGAATGACTCAAAAAATAGGTATATACAGAGATAATAACAAAGATCCTCCCTTTAAGCTGAGGAGAGGGTTTCATTAGTAACCCAACTACTCAGTCAAAATGAAGATGAGAATGGGCTGAGCAGAGAGCAGGATGAAAGCAAGGAGAAAGAGAAGGGGAGTGACCATTGCAGAGCCCCCTGCTCACTTTAAAAGGAGGAAAGGAAGCATAGAGGAATTGGGGGGGGGATAAGAGAGGTGACGAAGAGGAGTGAGAAAAGGTGAATGTGACAGGAGAAAAGGGGGGAAATTATCTCCATTGATGCAATTATATTAGGGTTCCATGAAAAAAGCAAAAATAATGGAATGAACAACAGAAATTGAACAGCGAGCAACGACCCTGTCCACAAACAATAGCACAATGTATGAAGAAGAAACAAAGCTCCCCTTCGAATGACCGAGCTGTGAGGGCTCTCGAATTCATAAGATTCTGTAGGATTATAAGCCGTACAGTGCCCAATTCTTGGGTTATGGCAAACGCAGGATCAAGAGAGACTTTCATCGTTAAAAATTATTCAAAAAAGAAGGCATCTGAAATGGCACGGAGTGCATGGAACTGGACGATGATATCGGATCATAGCAGTTGCAAGTAATATCTAGGGTTGATCGTCTAATTTCAGATGACAAGTTGATCCCGACCGAACGGAAAACAATTCATTCCTCCTGGGATAATCGGAAGAATCTGTCCAAAAGCAAAAGGGAAGAACACTCTATAGTCTTAAATAGCTCATCTAGTGGCCGGTCTTCGTGCCGTCTATTCCTCCTGCTCACTTGCGGACGCACCATTCGGCTTGTTATGCTTCCTCGCGTACCTCTGATTCCTCAGGAATTTTGGATCCATCTGCAGAGATCCGCAGAAGATTTGGGATCAGAAGCGCTCGTTGAATGTGAAGAGATGGCCATAGCAATGAAAATAAAACCAGAGTGAAATGCAGACGTAAGGCGGGTGCTCTGATATGGAATAAAGAGGATATGAAGAAACAAATGTGCGTGTGAGAGAGAGGACAATAAAAAAAATTGGACCAGAATCCAGAGATACTGCGACTAATCAACCGAAGATGACGTTGGAAATAATTAAAGAATAAACAGTAGGAAAAACAACTCCAGAAGTCCTACCCCCCTGGTGGAGGTCTTCCGGTGCTTGCGGGGCTTCTTGATGCCGTTCCTGTGGGCCTTGAAGGACTGATTATGAGCCGTATGGTTCTTCGACTTGGCCATCCCTGCTGATGCACCTACAGCGGCGAATACACCGTAAAAACGAACACATTAGAGAAGAGATATCACCGAAGCCATTCCAGGAAGCCATAGCCTCGAATCTCCCCCATCAAACCAGAGAAACAACGCCGAGATTTTCCAAATTTCCTCAACAGCAGTACCTGGGGCGGACTTTCCTCAAGGTGGCTCCTGCAGATTAGGGCTTTCTCCCGTCACTCTTGCGGGCACTTTATACTGCCCGTTGCTCCTCCCGTGGAAGCCCTAACGGATTCCCCCGAGAAGGTAACCACTAAATGACCAAAATACTCCTTTACTCGGGGGTGGTGTTAATGGGCCTTCTTCAAATCGCAATACCGGAAATATTATTTATCAAAAATTAAATTAATTGTGGTTGACTAATGCTCAAAATGAATAATCGTCTTAAAAATTAAATTATGATTTCAATATAATTCCCTATCTTTTTCTCCTCTATTTTAAAACTTTAATTATTAAAATGGTTTATTTCTCTTAAAACATTATTGATACCTAATACTAAATGTGGTATTGGGCTTGTCTTATGGACCCTGATCATGAGTTTCCTCCTCTGGGCATGGACTCTATGAGAGAAAGAGGGAGAGAGAGAGAGGGTTGATCTGGGGCTAGATAAATACCCATCTCGATCTCAATGTTTTCATCTGATCTAAAAATTTCCAGATGTCTTCTTCGCTTTCAAGTATAAAAAAATAAAAAAAATAAAAAATTCTTCCACCTGCATGTAATTACGTTATATTCTGGGAATCCTCCAACTATTCGCGCATTCTTTCTCTTTACCCAATAATAATATCATCATCAGGTATATCATCATGCGTTTTGACCTGGTAGATTATTTCTCTGAAGATGGAGATAGTACTGGTTGACTTTGCTCTTCTCCTGCAAAGAACCCATTGGACAGTCTGCAACGGAGAAACTTGGAGGGCAATAGCAGCTTAAAGTGGGGGATGATTTGTTAACATCAGGCATTGTTCAGCCGACAGGGATGGAAACATGCCATCTCAAACACAATTAGCTGTAGAGAGAGAGAGAGAGAGAGAGAGAGAGAGAGAGAGCACCAGGAGAACTACTGTACATTTATACTACATTATGAGAAATCAGCACAAAAGAATATGAAGGGGGATCACCTGTAAGCTTTGACCATGATTGGCGTTATTCCATCTGCAAGGTCAAAATCACGAGGTCAACGCAATTACGGAAACTGAGCACCGGGAGAACGTTATCTTCTGAGTACATTTATTCTCTTCAAATTCATACTCTAGAACATGGGTGGGTTCCTTTTTTTTTTCCCCGAGCTTAAGAAATCTAGAGCAGAATTAATGGCGATGAAGAACATACCGGGGCCTGTCCGCTTTCACCATAATTTGCAAACTCATCGTATTCCAACTGCAAGATCCGAATTCCCACCGTCAATGATGATCCTTAAAAAGCCAGAATATCCCACAATCTCCCAAAGAAATTGAGCAAGAGGGAAATAATTTCTTTAAAGATCACCTTTTTTTCCTTCAAGATTGTTTTTGAGAACATGGGTTCTGTTCTTACCCCCACCCCCCCCACCCCAGGACTTGAGAAATTTCGGGAAGATTTGAAGGAGATGAAGAACATTTCACCAGGAAGAAAGATACCTGGGCCTGGTCATGAGCTAGCTTCATTTTCCTGTACTCCTGCTGCGCGCGATGCGAGCGAAACATGGCTTGGACACGCACGACTGATCTGTTGACTCGTTCTTCAGCCTGCTCTCGGCTGGCCCGGAAGAAATCCTCCTCAATGACATTCATCTCCTCGCCAGCTGCAGCTGGAACCTCATCTGCTTCAATCTGAAGCCCACGCAGGCCTTTCCTCTTCAGGCGCCACCGCAAGACCGCTTTCTCCAACACACCGACCGACCAGATAATCTGGCGGTATTGCCTCCTCACAAGGAGACCTCGGAATGCGGCCTAAATTGCACACAAACAACAAGTTCATTAACGGTTATGTTGTTCTAAACATTCATTGAACATGTGGGTATCCACTAAATTGCTTCATTTGATTTGTAGTTGTAGAAAAATAGGAAATAACGATTGGGAGAAAGAAAAATAAAAATGACCCACTTGAATTCTAATAGTGTGCCGACGCATGTTGAGGAAATTCTTTCGAGCCTGCCATGTGCGGAAGGTGCCCTGTATACGGGCTGCAGCTTTCATCATTTTCCGACCGTTGTGGTTGCGATATGCTTTTTGGATCTTCAAAGCAGAAATTATGTAAGCTGCATTGGCCTCAGAGTTTGATAATTCTGCAGCTTTCACATGTAATCTCAGGGTGCGGTCTCTGAGAGCACCATGGATACGGTCGGCAGCATCGGCGGCATTGCAATATGCTGCCAATGAATACTTCAAGAGCACTTCTTGCTCACTACTCCCACTTTCCATGATCTCAAGATTCGCTGTCTCACTTGAAGCACGTGCTGATGGATTAGACACATTACCAGACAAGTTCATAGCTTCGAAATGTGCACTCAACGCCTTTTCTGCCAGATATGCACCCAGACCTTCATATCCTTCGTTTGATGCCAAATCAGCGGCAGTGCATCCTCCAGGAAATTGAGGAGTTGGGTCTGTAACTAGGCTTGGGTTTGCCCCTGAAGATAAAAGTGCCGCAACCATCTTCACCCTAAATTCAAGTATTAGTATGAAACAACAATAATGTCAGTAATAGAACCATCACTCATGACCAGAATGTTGCTTCAAAAATAGAAAAAATCAACTGGGAACTAGGTGCTATCCAATAGGATCCAAATACGTCGATTATTCCCCAAATGACTGCTCAAACGTTTTCGCTTTCTGGTATTTCTCTCTCAACGGGGTGGAACAGCGATACAAAAATTGGCATTTTGAGCCACTCAATTCAAGAAAACTTGTGTTCTTGCACCCAACCAGGATAACAAGAAACACCGACCAATAAATTGATATCTCGTAGAAGTACTTACCAGTTGTTCACAGAGATTTTTAGTTGTCTCAGCAATATAATGAAAGAGCTATACTATGTGAAACTTACTGTTAACGAAAAAAATGGTCAGCTAGAGGTATCAAGAAGGCATCTAAATTACAATTTTTTATCAAAAATTCATTTGATGTACCAATGAAAATCTAATAATAAATTAGGGAGACATCACTTTATTAATCTCTACATCAGTCTGCTTTCCCATTGCTCTATGAATCCTCCATCTCACTCTTTATGTGTTACTTATTTAAGAGGAGAGAAAATCCGCATCACAAACATCAATATTTTAGTCTCACGTCGTTTCTTCCCACTAAAGTTGCAATCAGAGGCAGGTTGACTGGAGATTTTATGCTTTTATTCATTTTATCAGGATGCAACATGGAAATATATGAAATCCTTCATTTTGAATGTCCGTATATGAATTTTGAGAAGGTGCCACGGAATGAAATTGCAACTTTACTGGGAAGAAACGGCGTGAGACTAAAACATAGATGTTTGTGACACGGATTTTCTCTCCTCTTAAATAAGTAACATATAAAGAGTGAGATGGAGAATTAATAGAGCAATGGGAAAGCAGACTGGCCATTTTATGCTTTTATTCATTTTCTTAGGATGCTACATGAAAATATATGAAATCATTCATTTTAAGAAGGCGCCACGGAATTGTCCTTATGCCTTCATCTATGAGACATGAAGGTGATAGGAGGCCAACAGAGCATAAATTATCCAGAATATTCACTTAATAATTCCCCCCCACGAACAAGAGCCAGTTACCAATCATTTAGAAGGGGAAATTGAAAATGTAAGGAACGATTCCAGAAACACCAAAACAATCTATGAAGGACTATCTTGGGACCAAGTCTCTACATAGCAAAACCAAGTATTGAAGCTCTATTAGAAAATTGTAACATCTATGAAGAAAAATAAATTAATTTTCAGGAGAGAGATAGGTAATAAATAATAAATATGCTGGCTAGCTATTGCATCGCAATATGTTGTTATGATTTACAAAAATAAGATTGAGGTTCTACCTGGAAAATTTAAGTTGGCCAATTGCCATGCTATCAAAATCATATCTTCTCAAAATCTTTAGGAAAACCTTGCGTGTGAAGTAAGATAGTGCATTCCCAGAAACAAAAAATTCAACAAGTTTGGGAATATAGAACTTATACCTCCCACAGTATGCGGCCCAATGTAGAGCAGTCCATCCATAAACGTCACGGAAGTCTATGGATAGGCCAGACGCCTTGAACAGATGAGCTGCCCACGTATAATCCAATATAGCACACAAATGAATAACTCCTAAACCTTGGTTGTCCAGTTCAGTTGTTCTACGTCCCTCAGCTAGTTTTGTTGAAAGCCATTCCTGCAGCTTATTTTTCAAAACCAACTCGAACAGCTGCTGGTTTATTGACAGAAGTGGAGTATCGTTTTTTCTGACTAACTTGAGAAGATGCATCCAATCTTTCTCCAGTGAAGAAGAGGTAGCTGACAAAAATCTTTTCGCTCCCTTCAGGGCATTGGATGATACCACGTTTGACAGAATGGAAAGGTTGTTTGATGAGGAGAAAAGCAATCGAACAAGCCTTATTACAGCATCAAGATCTCTTTGGCTGGGCTCACTGTCGTCAGCATCTTGCAAAGAGATAGCTTTCGTCGATGCACTTGTGGGAGGGCGAACCTCAAAATTCATGACTTGACTAACTGGCGTCTGCTTATCTAAGGTCAGATAAAAATTTATCAATCCGGGTGGTCGAGTATGTGGTAGTACCCTGCATCTATATACTCCAAGTTGGATCATTTCTGCAGGAACATAGGCATCACCAAAAACCACAAACATCTTCGAATTTGCAAGATTTTTGTGGGATTCACGGAAATATCCAACCACAATCACCTGCAGTTAACAAGCATTGTCATTATCTACATTTAGCAAAATATCAAGGATCAGGGATTGTTTTCGTCAATGCTCTTGTTTAAAATGAAGACGACTGCCGAGATTTTTCTGCCAGTTGAATTTATGAAAATAGGGTAGTAGATATCACTCATAGTAAATAAAGTTTAAAGTTTCCCCTGCGACATCTAGTGCAGAATCCTTCTTTTTATCTCCCAAGAATCAAGACTATCTACTTTTTGAGTAGGCGAATGGAATAATGGTCCACTTCACCCAGTTCGCAGAAAGGCAGAAAAATCTCATCCTAAAAGATTCACACATACAACCGTGCAGGGTCATAGATCTAAGAGAATTTCAGGTTAGAGTCCTGTATAGCATTGTCAGAGATACTACAAAACAAGATCGCCCACAAAAGTCTATCATTCTCTCAGGCCAAAATCTTATAGACGTCATACAGTCTATGATTTCAGGTTAGACGCCAATACTAACAAGCATGATGCCACACAAAGATATCTTCGAAGGCTGTTACGGAAACTATGTCCATGCTTCTCATCACCTTAGAACAGTAAGTGGTTTTATAAAATGTGAGCTCTCAACAAACACGGAATATCAGTAAATGCTTCTCATAGTGAAGAGAAGATATGCATGTAACTAATAGACCAATCACAAAGTTAACCGTATTACGTTATTTCGATCATCAATTCTCATAAGTCCTCATATTGATTATGTTCACGTTATTCAAATTATGGACAGAATCTGTTCCAAAATTATGAGTATATAGATGATATCTGTAAAACTTTTCTCCTGCGGGTGTACTCCAAGAATAAAGCTTTAACTCGCCAACAAGGATCCTTCTCACGTTAGGTCAAGTACGGTTGGTGGGATCTCCATTACTATTAACATTTAGGGACAGTGTTAAAGTAGCTAGCCACTTTACTGATCTCTGGTTCGAAATAAGACATCTTAATCTGGTTCATAACTGGCTGAAATAAATCTCACATCTCAGGCTTGAAATTTTCAAACTAAGTGATTTTATGCCTAAAAATCAGAAATAAAGGCATGATTCCAAAAAAAATCCACCTGTTTCAAATGGATTATATTAGAGGGATTTAGGAAAATAGAGTTTTCAACAAATAAATATCAGTTCCATCCTAGCACCAAAGTGACTCTCCATTGTCACTTTGATAATTATTATGTAGGCTCATTAAACATAGAAACTAAGCGAGAGTCTTCAAAGTCTTAAAATATCTAACCTTGGTTTCTTCATCTGCATAGGACCATGCTGGGGAGATATCTGTAATAGAGAAAACTTCTTCCGATCTGTAAAGTTCATTCTCTATGGAAAGTTTTTTAAATTCGTGATCATCTGAAGTTTGGCAACCAGGTTCTGTATTGTTTAATGATCCAGGGATATCATCAACAACGTAGTCCCACTGTGTAAAACTGTTTTGAGACTGCAAGGCTTCATTTGCGCAAGTGTCAGGAATTGCATGCATATGCACAGTTTCCTGATCAACTTCTGCTGGTTGCAAGCAACCACCAACTGGTTGGCCAACAGCATTCAAGCCGGTGAAAGTACTCATACTGGTTGGCTGGACATGACCTAGGCCTTCAAGATTACCCTGTAAAGAAAATCAAATGTTCTGAGCCACATAAATTCTGATTATTCAAATAAATTTCGTATTTTTCCTTCTTGTCTAGAGGCATTACTCGATTTTAAAGGAAAAAAACTGCAAATGCCTAGTTCATGACCATGTACGTAAAACCAATCATAGAGGACACTTATTTCATATCTCACAGGCTAAAAAGCAAGTTTAAGCTTTGCAATAGCTAAGGAGTGAAAGCACGAGAACTCTGCCATCCAAGTGACGGAAAAACAAGACATATGAGCTGGATTCAGGTTCATTGATCTACATTATGAACACAATATGATCATAAAAAAATAAATCAACATTACATTCGAGAAAACCGATCAAGACATAAGTGGCTGATGTTTTCACTAAGAGTCTGATCATAGAAAATTTTGGATCCTTGTTGACAAATCTGAACATGAAAGCATTTATACTCAGTTTAACAGGTAGTGTAGAAAGAAGACTGATAGAATAAAGGTATTTTAGTCCTCACTCTCTCTCTCTCTCTCTGATGTAAACATTCTAGTTGGGACTTTAATTAGAATCACTTTTATCTTTCTAACTAGATAGTGGGTCGCTCCTGGAGAGGTTAGTGAAGGTCTGATCGCAGTCCAAATCACTCTAAACTCCTTTGATAGCTTCTTCTTGCACAGTAATCATTGGTGTTCTCTGCTTCTCCATGATTGATCCTCCACAAAAAATAACGTCTAGAGAAAAAGAAGGATGCATGTTTGATACAGGGGACATGTCCCCACTCAAAGTGCTCTTATAGTTTAACTCAAGTAATAAAAATATTCATCGAAGAATTAATTAGGTCCGGGCAGATCCCCTTGCTTGACACAAAGATCATTTCCCACTCCATGGGCATACCAGCCAAAGATTGGGAAGTCCACAAAGACTAGATCTGGAGGGGGTTTGAGTATTAAGCATAAATAATAAAGGAGATCGAAGTCTGAAAATATATTTTAATTAGGATCTAGAAGCTCATACATGTCAGCTGGTAAGAAAATGAAATAAGGGAAAAAGAGGGGTCACTAAGACATATTGCCCAAATACATGAAAATGCACTAGTAAACATTTGAGCTTGTACAACCCATCTTGAAGGTATGCATGGCCTTTAACTTTGTTTTAATGAATTTTTAAGTCATCTAAATAAATTTCCTTTATATCCTTGAGGAGAAGTGACAAAAAACAACAAAGGATAAAAAAAACTAGCACAACAGCAAACACTGTCTGATACAAACAAACAAAGAACTTAAATTAAAAAATGTTCAGATATGAAGAGATGGCAGGCCACATGAAAGCAAGGGTTTGGAAAAATTAATAGCATATAATATGTGACAACCCATAGACTATCGAAATTTGATAGTGCACAAGAAAAAATATGCAAATAGGAATTCAGAAAGTAAGAATAGTTAAATGATAGCCCCGCGGTAAAGTTGCTTGCTGCTAAAAATGTTTTAGCTACTCACATGATTTCTAAAAGCTTGTTCATGTTCTACATCTCCATAATAGGGTAATGCATTGGGATCACCGGAAGGTTGCGGCTCAACAAGAGATGCCCAATCAAATTTGTTGATCATATCAATAGCTAAGTCAGGATTCTCCAGTTCTGTAAACTTATCAACAGCTGAGATGCCATGACCTGTACCATCGATAAAAACCAGAAAAGTTCATATAAAGTGAGAATGAAAAACAACTGAATCTTGATTAAAGCATATCAAACACTATAAAACAAGTCTATTTTCCTCTTTGTCATATCTGAATACCGAAAACAGCAGGAAAATCGTTCACTGTTAAAATATGCTTCTACCATTCAAACACCAGGAAGATGAAAACAAAGAAGACACTAAAAACAGAGGTTTATAAACCTCTTAGTTATATACGAACACAAAAAATAGTAGGAAAGCGATTCATTGTCAAAATGTACCTCATGAAACCATGACAGACTAGAAAGTGGACCTATTGAAATTTTCTCTACTTTTTTAATTTAAAGTACGCGGTAAAAGAAAACCGTTAATGAAGAATTGTACAAAGGTTTGTTAGTTGAAAATATCTGCTAAAAAAGAAGGAAAACAAAATAAGACAGCTAGCAGAGATAAAACATCAGATCAACCATTTACACTATCATGTTTATGTATAAATTGAAAAGAACAACAGATTAGAAGTGGCATGTGTCTGGAACATTACCAGTGATGGTTGCACAATCTTTTGTTGAGTTAATTTCGTCAGAAAATACCAAAGATCCAGACGTCTCAATGTGGTTGGAACCAGAAGTGGAATCCAGAGGCGTCAATGGAGAAGCATGCAACGAATTTGCCAATGAATTTTTTTCCTTAAACTCTACTCCAGCAGAAAGCTGCTGATTTGCATTATCCTGGTGCATCAAAAAGTAAATAAACACGGTACAATTTTAGTTGACAAACAATAAAACCATTCTTTGCTGTTGTGAGAAATACAATAGGAAATGAAAGACAATAAAAGCATGAGCTGTCTCTATTGTAGAATTGAAGTCAACCTCGTGAATCAGGCGTCTCATTTACAAGTTATGTACATAGCTCAAGACACCATACACATTAGATCTCACGTGACGTATCCCAAATTAAGGTATATCAAAATGATATGCATGAAAAAAAAAGAAATTGCATGAAATATTTCTCAAATAGGGATGATACATTGTGGAAGCAACAGTCAACAAGTTTCTCTGATTCAAAATAGTACGAATTGTGAAGCCGAGTATCTCCCAACTGAATCTGTTGAAATTACAGAAAAGCGCTATACCTATTACGTCATAATTGAGATCATTTCTCGTTTCACTGGAGTGCTGGATATGTTTGAACCTAAGATAACATGCCAAAAGAAAATACAAAAATAAACCGTGTCCTTTGTACTTCAAGCACCAAGTCTCCTCATGGGGAATGCAAGTAACAAATGTATGACATCAAAGATATTCAAACTGAGCATGTGGATGCTCAAAATGTAGAAGATTTTAGGCCAATGTCTTAATTAAGGAATTTCTTCTGAAACAAAATATAGAAGATTTTAGGCCGACAGATCAAAAAAACTAACCAATTATAACAATCTAACGGCAGCCAAGATCAACATCCCAAATGATAGCCCACCCCAACGATAATCCTACATCCCAAACATTTAATAGATAAAAGAAGGCAGTCACAAGAAAAAACAAATTCAAAGGTGGAAGTCTAAAACCTCAAGCCATAACTTTAAAACACTAGCAGGAGATCTAGGATTGAGATAGAAACTTCTGAGTCAGTGTTGAGATACATCTGTGTTTGAACTATATGGGCTTATACTTTAAGGAGATTATTTACAATCTTGGTAGGTTCATCACTATCCAAGATATTCAAATCACCAGCCAGAACTACACTTTTCACTCTAGTCACTGCACCAGAATGATACAATTACACAGTTTCTTTCTGGATACAAATAAACGATTGACAAGGAAAAGTAAACGGAGGAAGGCAAACATTTTCCAATCACGTATTTAAACGTTTCGACAATATTGAGATGGTCAGAATTAAAAACATTATCAATTTTTTCTGAGAAAACATGTGCATTTCTTATCAAAATAAGGGGAAAACCGAATCTGAAGAAAGGATAGAATGTCTAAAAAACGTTATAATGGAAAAAAATGCTATGAACTACAGAGACAAATGGAAGTGAGAGGCACAGAATGTAAATTTGCCAAGACAGCCATTTGATATTAGAAAAAGAAAAAGGAAGCAAACCTCTGATGTCTGGCGATAGTGTACCAGGACAATCCGCTCAAGGCTCCTGGAGAGTCAATAAATGGAAGTTATATAACTAGTGGTTACGCAAAATATTAGAAAATTCAAGTTTATTCTTCTGAACTTTTACATTGCATCACACGTGTTTATCTTCAAGATAGCAAAACAGAATATACTAGTATACATTCACTGAATCTGAATAGACGAGATATATAGCAGTGATAGTTCTCATGGGCAGGATTGAGGCAAATATCTAAACTGGTAAGGCGGTCCTCCAACTTTATTTAATAGTGTTAGAGTTATGTTATTGTCTAGTATGGGCTGGGTAACCCCATATAGCAGTTTGGGCTGAAGCAGCCCACTTATGTACGTTAGGACCCTAGTAAAAATACTAGGGTCCATCGATTAGGGTTGTGTTGTTTCTCTTTCAAGGATTCTTAACAAATAGATTGATGAAAAGGTATGCAAAGTAAATTAAGTTTTTTTTTTAATGAGGGAAGCACCAGTAATCAGTAGATAAGAAAATAGCATAGCATTAAAATCAATTGCTCAGAAGGCAATAAATTTTAAATATTTAAAGATCTAATTATGCATCCATGATGTATGTAGTCAACATATCACCAGTTAAACCTAATGTACATCGACGGTTGTGCTAGTTCCATACTTGAAGATTTTTACTGCATTTATTAGAAAAACAAAAAGGTCAATGCAAACAGAGAACAAATTAAGCACAGATCCACCATAAACCCAGAAAAAAAATATTAAAGTTTAACACAAGCCGTTTATACTGCGTCCATAACATACAGAACCAGGATATTATCAGAAAATTTCGAGACTGGACCCATTCTGCATTACCAATCCTCTGCAAGAGTGAACATATCAGACAGCAAATATTCAATAGAGTGAAACTGAAAATGGCTGTCAATTCCTTTTCCTCCTGTAGCTACTGCCGCCCAGACATTAGAACTGTCTAGAACTGATCAAAATGGGATCTTCTCACAATTGCAATTAATTGTTCCTGTTGAAACGAAGAGAGGGAAATGGACAGTGTGGAGGAGATTTCCTCCGTCTATTGGGGAGGAGCAGGAAACCACCTCACTTTTCATTGACATTTATCACCCCTTCAATAGGGAGAGAACCCTGCATAATCTTTTCCAATATACCATCAGGCTACAAGTTCCAGTGATGACCATCATCACGGTGTGAGTTCCCATACACGACGCATCATGACCTAGAAATCTTAACAGCTACAAATTTCTATGCTGACTATCACCATGGTGTGAATTCCCCTACACAGTGCATCACGATTCCAACAATTCCTATTGCGTCAGAGTCACTATTTCAACCCATGTTTTAGTAGCTTTGGCTCAAAGATGATTATATTTCAAATGGTAAGTAAAATTCAATTGACATAGACTATTACAAGCAATGTTAGCACAATGGTAAAGTAAAGATGTAGCATGTAGTGAGATAGTTCAATTTGTGTACAAGGGGAACAATACCACAAACCTAATAATGGTGATAGTTCACAAACTAGTTGAAGTTTTATGCATAAGAGGCTTCAACTAGACAAGAAAGAGAAAACGTATTTCAATTTATAGGAGATCAAGGATATCATCATTAGACATCGTATAGATGCAGATTCATCAAGGACATTTCCATTAGCCTGTGCTTCAAGATTTACATTCAGAATTTAGTATTAAAGATCATGGCCACTCTTTTACTGCGAATTAGTTTCATCAATAGGCATCATATTTGATGCCCATTGATCAAAACAATTTCATTCTTTCAATAGCAATCTCAAAGTGGCTAGAGCGTTTGACAAGATATTAGGTTCATTTTTCAGATGTGGCTACGTGCATCAGCATAATTATGACTCTTCTTCTTGCAACCATTCACATTCATATTATTTAACTTACATATGATTTAGCTTTTATCTACCAACTCCATTTTAACTCTGTAAATTACCGTAATGTCGCTAATTCAATACATTTTTCCAGAATGGTTTCATTCATCCTCACAATTTTATGGAAGACAATAGATATATTAAAAAAAAATATTATCTCATATCGTATCTAATGGTTGATTATCTGCAATGTTATGGACACGGGTTGGCATCCGGTTCTGGCACCCAATCAAAAAAATGATTATGATTTGCCATTAGGTTATGATTTTCCAGTTCTTAAAATGACCCGCAGAGATGAGATGGGATGCTGTAGACAAGAAACAAAATTCTGGTTCTTGCCATATTTCCAAACACCAAGGATAAGACAGGCATGGACAAACAACAAATAGTATCACATTAATGAATGAATATTATAAATAATAATCTCTAAAAATAAAAGCTATTAGGATAGATCGTACAAAAAGATTTAGCACCCAAGAGAAACAATAAAATAGAAGCTCAACATATCCCGTGATATGATATGAAGTGGTTCATACCTCTCAAGTAGCCAATAACACCTACGGTAAAAGTTTGGATAATCCTCACCACGTGCATAGTACACATGAATTCTTTCATCCGTACCAATCTGTAACACAATAAAAATATAGATAATATCATCTCACTTTCGTCAATAAAATAAAGAGGGGACATCAGTCGACCAAAAATATATTAATTATTTAAGACAGAATGTTACCTGCGTAAGTCATGCCTGATAATAATAAATATTTCCTTAATATATAACACAGTCAACATAGGCTAAATCCTTTCGCATCAGAAGTATCGTCTTATTGCCATTATTTCGAAACAATGTTAGTAAGTGGAAGTTCCCTCGTTTTGCAACAAAAGGAAACAAATGGAGGACAAATCATCTTGCACAGAGAACTATTAAAATCCATGAGTAGAAATTGTTTGTCAAAAAGCTAGATATACTTTCATAAAAGAGAATGAACTATCAAGACAAACAGAGAACTAATAACTTATTTTTCAGTGGAGAATGTCTGACAACAAGCTAAATATAATTTCATTCAAAATAATGAATTTTGAAAAGTTGAAGGTCACTAGGAGCTTCTATTTTCAATGGAGATTGTCTGAGAACAAGCTAAATGGACTTCTATAAAGAAAAATGAATTTTAAATAGTATTTATATCATCATTAAAATGTTATGCATACATGTGCTCTAGCTTACAGATAGAAAGTTTGTCTATCAAAAAAAAATCTTAAGCTTACAGGTAGAAAAAATCTACCCAACAATGTAATTAATCATTTTCCAAAAGAGTATTTGAATTGTATGCAAGCTCACCTTTGAATACAATGGTTAATTGTCTAAGCGTCTCCCTGGACACAAATTTCTAACAAGCCAAAAACCAAATATAGGCAGAAAAGATACCACATAATCTAACCAAAGAGAGCGTCAAAGTTGATTTACTTTTGTAGAAATGTAATAAATTTTGCCGTTCATACAATCCCAGTTCATCCTCTCATAATCTTTTAAGAAGCATCTGATGTAGCCAAAAAATAATCAACACCCGTGAAAGCTGATTGATCAGCAACAAGTTTATGCAGACCACACTTTCACCTGTTGATCAGCATCTGATCATTTTCAGAACAAGCATTTTGGAGACTGATGAGACTGTACATCGAAACATATTCAGCCCTCTAAGGTATGCGATTAACAACTGGACTAGAATCCTATAGAAACCATCTGTCCCTGGGACTTGAATGCGTCCATAATAAAGTTGCTTCTCTAAACTCCAGAGTACTGGGCCTTATAAGGCTAGTATTCATTCCTTCTCGAAAAATTCATTCGATATATTGTCTTCTTAAATTCTGCAGGTCCAGTTTATCTTCAATATCAGACAATTGGGTTCCAAACACACCATTACAGACTCCAAGTTTCTCATCTTGGATACGTTTCTATTCTTTTCTTTCATATGAAGAGGGCAGTACTACCAGCTCCATGTTAAAGTTCCTTGCTGAAGTCACTCTAATTACGAGAAGAGCTCGGCAGTAGGTCTGAACATGAGCAATAGTGGAGCAAAGGAGCTGCCTTGTTTATTGGATACAACATTGGGAAGTCTGTCTAGTTTTTATCTGGGGTAAACTCTCTCTAAAGATGACATTATTCACAGGGTTTAGTAGAAATTATACCAGATCTGTAGACTGAGAGGATAGAAATGTGTGGCAAATGCTATGTAAGATCATCCTTCCCAGCGAGTCTGGCTACTATGTATCATTACATTATATCCCCAAAAACCATATGGCTAATTTTTTTCATGCTTGAAATATTGGATGCAGAGGTTAACAGGATATTAATTGGGAGAGAGCATGCAAAATGAAAGAGAATGGAGGTTTTCGTATTATAAATATTAGGGTCTTCTATCTTCCATCGCATTGAAAATGTTTGAAGAAACTGAGGACAGAAGAAGCAAGTATATAGCATGTGATTACTCAATAGTACCACAGAAATGGACGACCTTCAGACCTATGACTTTACATTATACAGGCTAAGGATGTAGTGTTGGGTGTTGACGAAATTTTTTCGGGCTATGGTTAAAGGGCATCACTTGCAAAGAACGATGATGTGAAAGTTTGCTCCTATATCAGGTCTGGCAAGGGCTCTCTATTGAGTCAGCTATATATTGTTTGGTCAGAATCTCGACAGTAAGAGAAGAGCAAGAATCATACTTTTTGGCCTATTGGTTTTTCCTTGTGCCTATATTCAAATATTTATTGTGACTTATCCTCTTTGTCACAAGCATCTGTATTTTAGTTGGCAACCTCTAACATTTATGAAGGAAATATGGCGAAGATGAGAGCAGAATTGAATGCTTGTGTATGGTGGATCATCTTTCACTTGACTATCTGAGAGACTACGAACAAAAAGACCAATCATATATTCAACACATGCATTGTTCAATTGTGAAGTTGTCTCTCTTTCCAACAGGCTGAAAGAGTGGGCATGAGTGAATCATGAATTTCCAGAGCATAGGAAACATAGTTCTTTCTTCAGCTCCCTGGTATTCACCTGTTTTGTGTAGGAATTTCTTTTAGAGCTAATAGTTTATACAAATGTACATACCTGTACCTCCTTTCTATACAAAGCTTATCACCGTACAATCCACTTTCCAAAAATATTATACCCAAATCATAGCAATTTCATTCATTGCTGAGGATAGGAGTATGGGAGATGCTCGGAAAAAAAGAATGACGCTGATAGCGAAAAACATTGGAAGAGCACCTACTTCATTAGTTCATGTGGGGCCTATACCAAGTTCGCGAAAATAAAAAATACAGACCACAATAAGGAGGGATAGATGAGGGAAGAAAAATACTATCCAAAAACCCTGGATTAGATGCGTATCTAACAATTAATATATGTGATTGAGTGATTCCAAGTGGTTGGAGTAGATGGTTGATGTACCCATGTTAAGAGGAAAATTTCATACTGATGAAAACATCTGACCTTTAACTTTTCGTGGGCTTCCTGAACAGTCTTCCCATCCTTTTTTTTCCTCCAATTATGTCCATCTTTCCGGAAATTCCTCAGCATATTGCGGTCAAACAAAAGAAGACTGCCACCTAAAACAACACCAAAGTAGTTGATTTTGAATTGATACTGTTTAAACAATAACCCTCTGACGAAATCAGACATCCAACTTACTCATAAAAGGAATCATGATGCAAAACGAAAATCAATGTATTAAACGAATAGTCAAAGCACCATGAAATTTCTGATGTTCATAAGGATCCTGCAACTACGATTTCAGGCAGAAAATATCTACCAACAAATTACAATGTCGTTTTGCAGATTCAAGGGACTCACTTCAGCCCTTTACAACAAAAAAAATATATGAATAGCAGTTTTTGATGATGATGATGTGTCCATGTTGACCAATCCAAGCACACTTCAACGGCTTCAGCAACTCCCTTAAACAAAAACTTGTAGTAGAGGGCCATCTCCTTCACCCAGGAGGGATAATGACACAAAAACACAAGAATGCTGGCTCCTGGACAGGAAAGCCCAAAGAACATCCATGCAAATCCCTGCACTTCAAAGACCAAATCTTCACAATTCCTGCACTCCATCCCATAAATTCATCTGTTTTGATCTTATCACCACGTTTCCTTGTATTTCTTTTCTTTAGTTTTCTTTTCTTTTTTTTTTTGTTGATTCAAGATGAACAACTTCTATGACCAACCAGCCTAAGCCTCATCAATTCATAAAATTGACTCAATAAAGCAACTTTCTGCGAATCTTCTCTTCTTTTCCTTCTTTCCCTTCTTCTCCTTCTTCATGTTAGAGCAGAAATCTTATAGGACTTGGCTACACTATTTCTTTTCAACTCCATTCCTTCTATTACTTGCGATAATTATTTGATAAAATTAGTCAGAAAAAAGGGGTCTATGAAGAAGTTTCTACATCTGCTTAACGTTAGATCCTTTTAGGAACCTCTTTCATACACATCATGGAGACCTTAACTGTAACATCCATATATTCTTTGCATGAAGCTTGTCAGGATCTACCTTGACAGGATCCATCATGTTTGCAAATCGCCTTAAGGAGAATAAGAAAACACCAGAAATGAAAATGGATTCCTACAAGCTGATATATCATTTTCAAGGAAGCCCTAGTTACGTCAAAACATCCTCCAAAAAGGTATACCACTACGTCCGACAACTACTAAAGAAAAGTGACTATCATTAAAAAAGATCTTGTAGAAATTCAATCATTGGTAACTGTCAGGAAATGGTTTCTTCGAAAAATATGAATCCTCAGATCATGATGAAATTCACGTTAGTTTCAAATGCCATAAAACATTTCTTGTCTAGTGTCATGACTCGCCTTCAAGGAGTTTAAGTTACACAGATTCAGGTCTAACAAGAAATGGAATTTGCAATTGAATCATCTGTTTCTTTCACAGTCAAGACCACTGCGTGAATATCTCATTTAATTTCTTCGAAATGGACAGCTTTGATATCTTGAATACCTGTCTTCAGGCACCTGCAGAATACTACTACCAAGAATACTGGCATCACTTCCAAGAACCAAATGACAACTTGTGCCCCTTGGAGAATGCTACACATAACCCTGCAATATCTCACTCCATGTTATGTGAAATCGGATTGGGTTCTGAATCAGTCAAAACTTACCCAGATGAAAAAAGAAAATGATATTGCTTCAGCATTGTAGGGCATACATATAACATGTTTTCTAAAAAAGGGCATTAACATGATGAAAGTTTATAGGTTGCCAATAATTAACTTGAACTATAATCAGAATAAAACAGATTCTTACACGATTAATCTTCTCTTCATGTGTAGTCATGAGAGATGTAGGACCACAATGACTTCACTTTTAGATTAATCTATATTTTAAGAGTCCCTTGGGATTCAATTAATGGGATGGCCTTTAGGTATTGATTACGTAAAAACATGGAAAACCTTAGACATTAACCTAACCAAAATTGAGAGAAAATTTAGCATTCAAACGGACTTATACTTGAGAAAACTTGATATCAACTGCGGTACTTCTTTCGAGCAATCACAGGACTGAATTATTGAACATTTCAAATGCTAATTAATAATCATATTGGAAGTTCAACCCATTTACTTCCTGGATTCATAACTGGTTGAGGCTGAATCTTCAAGAGGGTGTAATTTGATAACACTGCATAAATCTCATTTGGTCGAAGCCATCTCTTTGATGCATCATCCAATAGCTTCCCAATATCCAAATCTGCACGTAAATACTCATTTAATTTTAAGATGAGGAAACTTGGATCCGGTTATACCGAATCCAAACATCATCTGTTTGTCAGACAAAAAGATAAACCAGTTCAAAATAATTAAGAATAGCAGCATTGTTAAACGTCCCATTACAATATTTATTTAAGTCATTCCTAGTGGCATCGACCCATGAGAAGAGAAGGTTCCTACTTAGATGAAACCACAATGATAAGAAAAATAAAATGGAAGTAGCTTCCAGCAGCAGGGCTTCCATCCAATTTTTTGAGGCATGCCATGTTAGATTAGCATGCACGGTGTACCCGCTGATAAACATTTGGTCAGATCCAAATTCACGATACAGTTCTGAAAACACAACTTGGGTACGGATTTCTTCAAGCTGCCCTTTTAGATAATACAAATCTGAACCGAGCAAAAATCGGAGAGTGATGAGGAGCATGGTTCAACTAAAATTGTATACTCCAAACACTAAGGGAACTCCAGAAGTTTGCCATAAAAGTGATTAAGAGGCTCGTCCCAGCCCAAGAACCAGAGAAGACGTGCTAGGCGCAATGAGCTATTATTAGACCACGAGCAAAGCACTGCGGAATACAATCCCCATTGGATTCTCAAGCACAGGAACATAAAAGAGCAGAAATCGTCAATCAGCTCAATAAATTATCACCCCCTGTAGTAGGCCCAATTATCCCCCCAGAACCAAGTCCCGGCATCCAAGACAGCTGCGAGATTCAGTAGACTGCCGAGAGGAAACCCCCCCACCCCCTCCCATCCGATCTTACCTGCCGTCGTGCGAAACCCGTGAATCTCTGACGCGGCTAGCTGCACCGGGCTCCGCGGCTCCATGGCCTCCATACGAACCTGACTAACTCCTCACCAACGCCCCACCAAATAGAGCTGTACCGATACGACAAAAAAGAAGAAGAAGAGGGCTAAAGCTCGGCGGCGGGGGGATCTGAACTAGGAGTGTGAACACTCCGAAGAGCTTCAGTGGCCCAACCCAGCAGGGAATTCTGGTAGCTTTCACTGCGGGGAGAATCACGACTCGGCTCGGATTCCCCCCGCACCAACCTCTGTAGAACTTCTTACCGCGCCGGGAATGGATCGAATCCCGCCGTAATCACTCCCGAAGACGGTCCCCCTCGCATTGACTTCTCTCCCATCCGAGGAAAGGAATCAGAGACGATAGGTTGTTCTAAACCGATCAGCGTGACGTCAGCTTTCTTATCTTCATCTAAAAGTGGGACCCATGCCCTCCTCTCTTATCAACGGGCCGGCTCATAGGTGATTATTTTGCAACCCACACCCAATCAACTCGTCCTTCACTACGGGTTTTTTTTTATTCAATCTTTTTGCTAACGTAAGCCATTACATTTACCCCAAAATATTAAGCATATTATATTAATCTAAAAATCTATCATATACATCTTTCGATCAATAAAAAAGTACAGGCTTGTTCTAGAACATACAGTCTTATAATTTAAAATATCCTCACACAATACACATTTTTTAGACATTTTACCAGGTTATGTAAGTTATAGATCATATGAACTAACAAAATTATTTGTATTATATTAGAATATATGATAAAAATATATTATTATTATTATAAGATTTAAATCATAAAAAATGAGGTATTTTGGAAAAATTGTGTAGAGTTTCTCTTTGTATAGTAGATGTTAAGTGAATGGATCTTGAGGCAATTGTATGTCATGTTTGTTTGGTTAGGGTTTTTTCATGATATTCTTCTTGCCCCATTTGAGGTATATTACCTTTTTGTTGTTTATAAATGTATTATCTTGCCATTTTGAGCAGGTTTTATTTTTATCATTTAGAATGGGTTTCACTTCTGTCAATCCTTCAGACTAGAGATTGTTAGTTTTTCTTCTTCTTAGAGTCATAAGCTATCACCATCATTGTCGTCTCCACTTTCACTCTAATGTCATCATATCCCTTTTCCAACAAGGTCTTCCAATGTTGAAGCAGTTATATGACAACATAGCACTAATCTTGCTCTATCTTGTGTCTTTTATAGTGATTTCATCTTCCATTGAATAGTATACCAGAGTTCATCAACAGTAAGTTCATCAACAACATCTTCAAGTCCATTGGTATTAGTTCTATTTGCATCAAACCCTGTATCTAAAGGCTCAAGTATCTTAGGTACATTGTTGTTGTTTTCATCTTCATATGTTTTTGTTTTGATCTATTCAAGGAGGATGACAAGGTAGTCCTCCATCTTAGTCTCATTCATATATTATCATCTATTAGGTGTCGTTTCAGTCTACTATATCTCCTTAGTCTAACACTTTCTCTAGTTTGGTGACCAAAGTCTTATGTATTATGTGCTTTTACCATCAATGATGTTTGGTGATGTCCCTTTGTCTAGCATGATTCTCTGTCTAAATGCCATCTCAAGCATGCCAAGGTCATCTTGCATTGTTCAACACCATCATGCACAATCCTTGCACTCTTACATCATCTAGTGCAATCCAACATTAGAAATCATCATTGTCTTATCAAGTAGTTTCTACATCATCACAACCTAATGGAAGTGGAACTTTTCTACATGTCATAGAGAGAGTTGCTATGATAATAGATCATTGTCATCCTAGTTTGTTTTCCATCAAGTGAATATTCTTCAACGACTTAATCAAGATGAACTTTTCTAAAAGTTCATCTTGAAGGGTAGTATTACAAGTTCTAAGTCATAAAAAAATATTGTAGAAGATTGAGGTTATTTTGAAAAACTGTGTGTAGGGTTCTCTTGGGTGTTATAAATGAATTAATCCTTAGGCAGTTGTTTGACGTTCTCTCTGATGTCACACTCCTTGTGCTTATATTTTCAACAATTATTTTAAAATTTAAATCTAATTATATTTACTTATTATCCAAAATGCATCATATAACCCATACTTTTCCCTCAAGAAAAAGCTAAAAAAAATGAGACTTGGTGTTTTCTTTATAAAAAACTTAGCAGCCAACTCCTTGATCATAATTAAGAGACAGAGTATATGGGGACACGTGGATAATCTGGATTTCTCTGCATAGAGAGATTAGTTGACTGAGTGTTGGCTTAGAGCTTCTACAGGATATGATCTCACGCGAGCCCAATAATAATCAGGTCGGATCACGTGGACGAAAAGGAGCGCGGGGCCCGAGGGGAGATGGAGAAAATCGGATTCCATCACCGCAGTGAAAGAAAGGAAGCAAGGCGGTGACCGGAAACGAAAAGGAGAAAGCGCGATCGGTGGCGTTACCGTTGTAAGGACGAATGCCGCAGTTAAGGGTTCGGTCGATCCAACACGAGCAAAGGTTCGAGTTTGGGCTTTAAATAGCAAAAATAAAAATAAAAAATAAAATACCCACCTGAAGTGGGTGGCTTCCCACACCAACTTCCCCCCTAACCAAGGGCGGCCCAGTTTGGCCCTAACTTCAACGACACCTGACCATCTCTCTCTCTCTCTCTCTCTCTCTCTCTAGAGGGCTCTGTAGGTCTGTCTGTCCATGTGAAGGTATGGTGATTAACTCACGTTTCTACAGTGTAGCAGGGACTTCAGGGCGTCTTCCAGTAGCTCGGCAGCGCCACCGTCTACGGCGGCTTTTAGGGTTTTTTTTATGGGTTCTTTGGAGAAAGCTTTCTGCTTGGGGCATCTTGCCAGCGGAGAAGATGGGGACGGAAGCTTTCTCTGAAGGGGCAAAGCCAGGGCGGAGGAAGAGGAGGGAGAGTGGAGAGGGAGAGAGAGAGAGAGAGAGAGAGAGAGAGAGAGAGACTGTCCAGTGCTGCCATTCTCTCTCTGTTTCTTGCTTCTTCTTCTCCATACCCTTTTTAACTGCCCCTCCTCCCCCCCACGCACGGATAGATCGGAGATGTTGCTTGGGGAAGGAGATTCCTCTTCTTCTTCTTCTTCTTCTTCTTCTTCTTCTTCTTCTTCTTCTTCTTCGTCTAGGATTTTGGTCTGGATAGTGTGAGGAGGGAGGCAGAGGGATTTCCTGATTGAAAATGACCTCGAGTTCGCCACCGCGCACGACGAAGAACTGGTGGCAGAGCAATCGGAAGGTGGGTCTTCTTCTCCTCTAAACTCTGTTGTCTGTGCCTTCCTTGGCGACCTGATGGTCGCCCTAAGCCGCAGTCTGCGCTTCTCGCCTTCTCTCAGATCGCCGCCAAGTATGTCGAGGATTCCCGAGCTTTAATGGCGACGGGGGAGCTGTCCAACGCGTCGTCGGCTCTCTCTCTCCTGGAGTCGGCGCTGGCCCTGCATCCTCTCTCCGAGGCGGCACTGGAGCTCAAGGCCCGCTGTCTCCTCCGCCTCCGCCGCTTCCGCGACGTGGCGGAGCTGCTCCGAGACCACATCCCCAGCTTCCAAGCGAGCTCGCAGGCCAGCAAGTCGTCGTCTTCCACCTCACCATCGCCGGATACCTCCAAGATCCGGTGCTTCTCCTTCCTGGAGCTGAGGAAGAAGGTGGCGGCCGGTCTCTGCAGAAGTAGCGGCGATGGAGGAGAAGTAGGCCACTGGAGGTACACTGTGCTCGGCCAGGCCTGCTTCCACCTGGGAATGCTGGAGGACGCCATGGCTCTGCTACAGACTGGCCGACGCCTTGCCGCCGCCGCATCCCGGCGAGAGAGCCGCCGCCGCTCCGACGACAAGCTCCCCTTCTCCGACCCTTCGTCGTCCCCTTCCTCTCTAGCGCCGGCGGAGCTGGCCCACATTAGGTTCCTCCTCCGGCGCCGCGCCGCCGCCCTCGCGGCCCTCGCGGCCGGCCATCCCGGCGAGTCCCTCCGCCACTTCTCCAAGATCCTCGACGGCCGCCGGGGGACCCCCTGCGCCTTCGCCGCCGGCTGCCTGCTCGGACGCGCTGCCGCCCACGGCGCCGCCGCGCGCACCGCCGAGGCCCTCGCCGACTGCAACCGCGCGCTTGCCCTCGACCCCTCGTCCATCCCGGCGCTGCGCCTCCGCGCGGACCTCCTCGAGGGTGCCGGCTGCCTTGCTGAGTGCCTTCGCGACCTCGACCACCTGAAGCTCCTCTACGGCGCGTCCTTCCACCGCGGAGAGCTCGCCGCTGGCGAGCTGGAGGCGCTCGCCGCGCGGATCCAGGCGCTGCGGCGGCGTGCTGGTGGTGCCGCCGGCGCGGCGGACAACCACATGCTGATGGGCGTGCGGAGGGGCTGCTCGCGGCAGGAGCTGGAGAGGGCGCACCGCCTCCTGTCGCTCAGGAACCGGCCGGAGCGGGCGGCGGCGTTCGTCGACCGGGTGGAGTTCGCCGGCGAGCACCGGGACCTGGAGTCTGTGCGGGAGCAGGCGAGGATGTCCGCCATGCTCTTGTGCCGGCAGCTCCAGAAGGCGTACGCCAGCATCATGGCGGAGGTCATGGCGGAGGAGCAGGCGGAGGCGGGGAGGAAGCAGCAGCAGCTCGATGCCGCTGTGGCGGCGACGGAGCGGGAAGACGGCGTGGGGTGTGGTGGGTTCACTGAGAATGAGGCGGAGCGGAGAACTCCGCCGGAGTTTGGAATCGTGGGGAGAGTGCCGCTGCCGGAGACAAAGGCAGCTGCTGCGGCGGCGGTGGTTGCTTCTGTCTTCCAGGGGGTCTTTTGCCGGGACTTGGCCATCGTCGGGAACCTTCTCTCTCAAGCCGCTGTGAACAGGACGATTCCTGTTAAATACGAGGCTCTCAGCTGCTGACGGAGAGGACAGCCACCTTTCTCTCTCTCTCTCTCTCTCTCTGTGCCAGCTTCCTCCGCCATGTACAGATAAAACTCTCTCTCTCTCTCTGCCAGCTTCCTTCGCCGTGTACAGAGAAGACTCTCTCTCTCCCCCTCTCTCTACCTATCTACCTCTGTCTGTCTCTCTCTCTCTCTCTCTCCTTTTCTCTCTCTAAATTTAAATGTACGACGGAGCATGGTTGGGCTACGGTTCTCGTGGTCTCTCTGGGTCTGTTAAATGTGCTTGGCGTCCTTTTCAGGCATTTCCGTAAACAGTCCATCGGTCCTGTCGGAATCCCACGGTGGTCAGCGCGGACAGCGGCGGCAGGCCACGTGGCAGACTGCAAAGCGGCGCCGTCATGAGCTCTGAATGCCATCCGGTCAGACAAGCCGCGCAGCCGTAGATTGGCATATTGGATCTGACGTGGAGGAGGTAGAGCCAGACCCGGGCTTTAAAACCGAAGCGCCGAAAAACTAGGCCCGGCCTGGATCGGGCCGTTTGGTTAGTGAAGAGTGGGAAAGGCGGGAAACATTTAGATCAGCTGTTCTCCGTCGGCTTCTTTTGGGCTCATTCTCGGTGAGGCATTTTCTCGAGCACTTCTCCGGCAAGCAGAGGAGAAGGAGATTCCTGCGACTGACGCAGGATGAGAAGGCTCTTGCCAAGGTTTCTCAGAGCGTCGCTTGCCAGTGAAGGAAAATCGGAGGGGGTGGCGAGCCGGAGGAGCCCAAGCTGGAGGGAGAAACTCGCCGGAGACTCGATGGGGAGCACAACCTACCGCCGTCGACCAGGTAAGTCTCTGGGGCGATCTCCTCGATTTTTAGTTTATCTTCAGCGCCCGTTTGAAATTGATCTTTTTCCCAGCACCGAAATGTGTCCTTGATGTCGAAAATCCCAGAGAATTCAGGATTTCTGTGGACCCGGTCCGTGTCTCGTCAATCCTCTCAAGGGACGACTGGTTTTTAAAGCTGAACAAGGAGTTCCCCCCAGGTGAGATTAGTCCCCAGTCAGTGGTGAGGAGTTTGCAAGGTGTGGAGAGCGCACTGTTGTCCCTGAAATTATACATTTGGATTTGCAATTCGGATAAAAGGTTTGCCGAAGAGCAGTCAATTCGGAGAGTCTTGTTAGACATTTTGTCGAGGAGAGGTCCAGTGGTACTATCAGTGGAGTTATTGAACGAGATTAGGAGCTCGGGGTGTCAAATTACAGAAGATATGCTGTGTATATTGATCCGAAGTTGGGGAAGATTGGGTCTGGCCAAGTACGTCACTGAGGTTTTCGGACAGATGTCTTTCCTGGGTTTGAAACCAACTACTCGTGTCTATAATTCTGTCATTTATTCCCTGGTCAAATCAAATTCTCTCGACTTGGCTTATTTCAAATTCCAGCAGATGCTCTCAGATAATTGTCAACCAGATCGATTCACTTACAATTTTCTTATCCATGGTGTGTGTAAGTTGGGCATAATTGACGAGGCCCTGCGTCTCCTGAAGCAGATGGAGAGTTCCGGATATTGGCCAAATGTTTTTACGTATACAATGTTAGTTGATGGTTTTTGTAATGCGAAAAAGATTAGTGAAGCTTTCAGAATTCTGACGGTGATGAGGAAGAGAAACATTGTTCCAAGTGAAGCCACATATAGATCTTTGGTCCATGGGGCCTTTCGATGTTTGGACCCTGGCAAGGCCTATGAGATGTTGAATGACCTTCTAGACAAGGAGCCAATCATGTGCAAGCATTCTTGTAATACTGTGTTGTATTGCCTTTGCAAGAATAATATGTCGAAAGAGGTCAGTGAATTCCTGAAAAAGATAACCCAAAGAGGTTATGTCCCAGACACTGCATCGTTCAGTATTATCATGGGTTGCCTAGTAAAAGATTTTGGCACTACTGCACTATGTAATTTATTAGATGATTTTATTCTGCGAGGTGGGAAACCTGGATTCGATACTTATCTTATGATCATCTCTGCTTTATGCAATGCAGGAAGAGTGGACTTGGGAAGAAAATATGTTAATCAGATTATCTCAGATGGACTTGTATGCAATGTGATATCGTACAACATGCTAATTGACTGTTTCTGCAAAGCCAAAATGATGGAAAATGCAATGGAAATCTTCAAAGAAATGCAGACCAGGGGTTTTCTTCCGAACATTGTCTCTTTCAATACATTAATTAGTGGTTATTCAAAGGTTGGAGACACTAACAAGTCACGGGAACTTTTGAAAATGCTCCTGCAGCATGGATTTAGACCAGATGCTTTCACTTTTAGCTCAATAATAGATGGTCTTTGTCGTGCTCATCAAATTGAAGATGCACTTGAGTGCTGTAAAGAGATGAGTGAATGGTATGTCTCACCAAATTTGCTGATATATAATATATTGATCCGGTCTCTTTGTGCCACCGGACAGGTTCATCGGTCAATGAAGCTACTTTCAAAAATGAAGGCTGATAACATCGAGCCTGATATTTATTCCTTCAATGCCCTCATCTTTAGCCTTTGTAAGATGAAAAAGATTGAGAAGGCTGGGGATCTTTTTGGTTCCATGTTGCAACATGGTGTAACCCCAGATCATTATACACATCATGCTTTTATCGAAGCTTTATATGATATGAATAAAGTTGACGAGGCCAAAGAAATTATTGCAGCAATGGAGGCTAGTGGATGTAGCCCAAAATTTCACGATAATCGTTCAATTATTGATTCACTGTGCACTTCAGGATGCTTGGGGGAGGCTCATGAGTTGGCCAGATAGTGTGCAGCAAGAGAAGTCGAAATGAACCAATGACCCATAAATAGAGCCATCAACTGGTGCTGTCATGCATTGTGAATGAGTTGAAATCATGAGAAAGTCAGGCATAAGTATTTATTACAAAGTGCAGAAACAAGTCTTCACTTGGCTCGGAGACGAATCTCTGGATTGCAAGAAGGATTTGTTGCTTCCTATTTTTGAACCAGTTGTACTTTTTGTTCAATTTGGGTGCAACCCATGCCGTCTTTGAGTAGGTTTTCTGCTTGGTATGATTTCTACCAGTTGTGCTCATTATACAGAACATGATTTATTTTCTCAGATAACCCCAAGTATCAACCTACGTTCAAGGCTATTTTAACAAGATATCCTTTTTTTCTCGTTATGCTATATGTAGCTCTCAAGATGTAGCGACAAGGCTACCAAAATCCCACCTCGTCAAGTGTCTTCTTCCACATGAAGATGGAAAGAATTTCAGGTGATTTTTCATAGTTGATTATCTCAGTTATATGTTGTCCTTCTTTGTTTCTCTTACACCTGATATTTCAGAGGTACTGTTGCATTTTGATGCTTTATGTTTATGCAATAGGTTTTGAAATTGTTTTAATGCTACTAACTTTGTTCAATTGACCTAATAGTTCATCTAACCATGGAGAACTTCAACGTTGCCTTGGTTTTTCTCAATGGTTCGATCGGAACTAACATAGTTGCTCAGATCAGTACTATTTATTGGAGATTACATCAATCATTTAAAACGCTATTCATATGACTCACTTTTTATACACAAAAAAGTCAGAAATTTGGGCATAGTTCAGAGTGTCCAAGAAGAATACGTAATTTGGGCGCATTACCTAGCACATTACCTAGAGTTACTGTGGAAGCTAAAATTTATGTGAGACATCTCTGCTCTGCTCTTCAAATATTCATGTCCTATATACAGGTTTGTTTATAACGGGAATGTCTTCTTTATGTCACTTGTATTACATCTGGCATAGATTTGAGTTATTGATCTTTCAAAGAGGCTCAACATCCTTTTCAACCCCATTCATGGAAGTCTCCACACTATCTCCTATTTCCCTCATTGCACCCCTGCCATTCTTTCTGGACATTCAAAGCGTTTCATGTTTTCATCTCCTGAATCACCATCTTCCTTCATCTTCATCCCTTTTTATATTGGTCTCTGCACCATCCAGTACTCATAGTTCATTGACTCGTTTATGATCATCCCCTCTGTATCTGTGTTAAATCTCACGGTTGTTCCTCCTTGTGGTCGTAGCATATTCTGGACACGGTTTCTGCCTTCTTTTACCTATCCATTTCTGGTATCCGAGTCTCAGTTCTTTTAATGAGATAGCCCCCATCTCTCCTTTTTGTTCTGTTCACAGTGTCCTTTTCTAGCTACGTTGCACGTCAGAGCTCTGTGCCATCTGCTTAAGCCTTTAGCCCGCAGGATTGAGAGACCCTGTCCTTCTCACTGGGATATTTCCCTCTCCAGAAACTCCCTTTCTTTCCTGTCTCTGTGCATAGAGAGGCTCCTAGTTTCTGTACTTCCAAAGAAAATTCTTTTTACAAGAGCAATTCTGCCAAAGTTCTCATTAGACATTGAAATAGCATATAGGAAAAGATTGAGATGAGGACAACCGACATATTAGCTTATGAATTACGTTGGGATTTAGCTCTATTTCGTGTGGGTATCCAAATGCCTCTCTAACTCCTAAGGAACGTGGTTTACTTCTGCATCTAGGAATTCCATCCTCTCATCTTCCCTGTTGTTTACATTGTATAAACTTCCTTCTGCAGAGTACCTCTTACTCTCTCAAAAATCAACCAAATTATATAGCTATGCTTGGAGGTGGTGGACCATCTGTCTATGATCGGAAATGGCTGTCATGCCTAGTTGCAACCAAGCATTGTCAACCATTTCAAAACCACTTTTTTATTATCAGAAAATGACACTTGTCTTCGCATCATGACCTTCTTTATAAGAAAGACAGGCGTTATACACCCCTTCATTTATAAGGTTGGGTTGATTAGACGTTAAAAATTAGGGTAATGAGTCTCTCACCTCATCTCTGTCTTGTGTGGCCGGTTCTTTACAGGTGGTATGAGTTGACTCATAAGGCCTTCTCTCACCCTTTGTATTACTGCAGCAAACTCAATTCTATGTCAACTGGGCTCAGTTCACTTTTACCCGTAGGGTATCAAATTTAAATTTTTAGTTTATTCAATCCTGGGATTGTGTAGGAACCTATATCAATTTATCTCTATAATAGCAAATATTAAATAATGGGAAGTAGCCACACAAAGCTAAGGTGGAATTTGAACAGCTTCCATCGTCAAGTTGACAATCGTAGCCATTTCAATCGGACAAACAAAAGTCCCACAGACTTATATATGAAACTTAAATCTATTAATGGAACTAACTCGAATAAATTGAGAAAAAGCTGGCAAGTATTAAGTGTCAAAATTGAGACAGCTGTATGAATTCATAACTATAATTTCAAGTTTTCTGTCCCATTTTATTTTATTTTGCTTCCATGTGACTTTTTAGCAGTTGGTCCCTTGATCCTTTTGAAAAAAATCGATTTATAAATAGGTTTCCTTTATGAAACCATTGATGAATACCTCCTTTTGTAAAGTCATCTTGTTCCCTTTTCTATATAGAAATCTTATGATACCTTTCTCACTGAGTGCAGAATTTCGGTTTCAGAGAACATCTTCACGTTAGAAACTGCCTGTATGAAGACCTTAGTCGAAGCTGTAGACATTGGGATAGAAAGTATGAACTCACGAGATTATTGGCAAAGTCTGAAGGATGAACATGGATGGGATGAAAGCATTAAGATGGAAGAGAGTGGCCCATCTGAACCACCAGATTATGATCCCTTGTGATCATCGAATCATCACTTGCAGTGAGATTGATGGGGAAGGTACTTAAAGAAAATTCTTTACCTTTTTTGTTGAATAGCTTGCTCATCATATCAATCTCTATATCTGATCAACAAGATGATGCACGAGTGCCTCCAAATGGAAAGATCTTAGGCTCAAAGTTTTTCAACGTTTGGGGTCAAGTCTAAAATGCTCAATCGTATTGACCACTAGATCATAAACTAGGAATAAAAATATGCTATATCATCTTGTTACTCCCTAGATTCATTATTAGACCACCCCTCAATTCGCAATATTGATTTCACCTCATATCTTGCGATTCAGTCCACTGGAAATTCACAATGTTGTATGGACATAGTAATTGCCCTTCAAAATTCTTCTAATTTTTAAGTATTTGCAGCCAAACTGTTTTGCAACAAGCCACTTGGTTGACTTATGGTTTTAGGAATGTACCCATTGGTCTTGGGGTCATCGCATTTGTCTTAGCTTGAAACATTTTTAGCCACATGTAACATGTGGGTCAAAACATGTGGAGATATAAAGAGATAATTAGAAGGCAACAAGTAAGATGTCGTTTTTTATGAGTCAACTCAATTTCTCTAGTAATAGGTTGCCATAATGAGAATTTCTCTAGTAAGACGTTGACTCACTTATTTTGTGTGATCTAAATTGTCAAGCCTTCTTCGTGTAAGATGAGTCAACTCACTCATAGTGGTCAACCACAAAAGAGTGAAGAAATAAAATTTTCAAGTGCTAAGGGTGCAAAAGTTTCATTATGAGTCACAATGTAATATTACGTATGTAAATTGTCATTATGTTCTTACATGATATATTCTCATTAGAAGCATAAAACTTGTCTTACAAGGTCAATCGACTCACTCCCTAAAAATAGAAAGAAATATATCAGAATATGAGTGATCATAGTTATATCCCATCATCTTATTGTACTTCCACCCTTCACCCTTCTTTATTCTATTGAATATCGGACCTTAGTTTATTTTAAGTGAAGCCCAATCAACTAGATTCAATCTACTTCGTTGAGACCTCTACAAAAGTTTTTTTCTGCTTTCTCAATTTTAATATAATTTTTCAATTTCCCCCTTTTCTCTCTCTCCTCTCTTGAGATCAACAGGTCTCTCACCCCAACAGCACCTCCTATGGTGACCAACGACTAAGGTTGACTTTGACATGATATCATAGCACTCTTGGTGAGATAGTTTCAATCTTTTGAGCCTTCTAGAGTATTCATATGGCAATATTTTTCAATCTAGCTGCTGATTGCATATGGAAAGATATAGTTCACCCTAATTCACAAAATCTATTTGGCCAACCTTTGTTTTCTGATATTGTGTGCATTTTAACATTCTAAGGGTTATTTTCAACCCTCTATATATCTCCTTCAGTGCTTGGAGATGAGAGCACATATAGATCTGTGCTAGGAATAGACTTTTTCATTTTTTTCTTTAGCACGAACCTCTATTGCTCTATTTGATCTCATATCTCCTTGTGGAGATGCTAGCCCACCATTTTAGTGGTGCTAAGAGTCAGTTGAAAACTCAACCACATGTTTGGATCCAATGTCTAAATTAATAAACCTATGATTCGTGCTTAGAAGGAATATGCAATCAGGAAAACATGGTTTGGAATACTTTGGCTTTAAAAGTCAATGCAAACTACTTATTTCTTCCGACAACAAGGGACATTTGAGAAAAATGTAGTAAGAAATTTTCAAAAAGTATGATGTAGTCCAAAAATATTGAGTAACAGCAAAAACAATGGCTTTGACATAAATGAGCAAATTCATAAAGAACGTGCAAATGAGTTATAATCTTTATGATAAGAAATTAATAGCTACAAGCAAATTAAATTAAGATACTTAAAATATAGAGTTTTCTTCTAAAAAATATAAATAAATAGATAAGTTTTATAATTGTTCGTGAGTTTCAATATTAAATATGATCAAATTCAAGCCCCAATCCTCAAAGGAAAATAACTCTAGGCTTGAAGTGATTGTAATAGTAGTAGGAAAAAAAAGTATAAGAAGCCTTATAGTGAAGGCACGAAATGTTGATAATTCAACCTTTTTTATTAAACTTAAGGAAGAAAGATGTCAACCTCAACAATAAGATCAAGGAATTAAGAAGGGTGCCTATCGAGATGCTATATAGTGTACCTATTTTAAAAGGGTACTCATACTAGGGACATGAGGCTGTAGACATGAGGTCAAACTCACCTTACTATTATCCAATCACCTAAGGTAGCTGCAACATTAGGGTCGGCTATACAAAGAGATAAGGGGGCTCAAGACTAAGATTGAGAAATTGAGATCAGAAATCACCTTCAACTCCTTATGATATGTGTTTCTTAGATATTAAGATATTAAGATATGTGTTCCTTAACATTAGGGACATGAGGCTATTGACTAAGCTTGATCCACAAGTATTAAGATATGTTTTTCTTAGATATTTTTATAGGAAGAAGTGATATAAGTCTTAACCACAATCAAAGAAATATTTCATCTCAATTGATGTAACCTTTAATAAAATTAAATATTTTAAAAAAATCCTCGCAAGAGGGAAAATCTCATCACTAATAATTGTGGCAAGCAAGAGATGGGGAACTAATCATTGTACATCTCACCTTTAGAAGAATCTACATCTTCGAAAGTGACATCAAAGGAATCTCCTTAGGATATTGATGGCAATCAAGAAAACCATGTTTATACCCCTATATCAAGGAAAATTAATGAAGAACTACATATAGTACACAAAGAAAAGAGAAGGTGTATTAGAAATCTAATTATCATATTTCATAATATTTGTCATTTAGATGTCTATCACATTCATATAAAGCATTCTTCAATTTTCTTAATACTATATTGATTCAATCTAATATTTATTGGCCATTATTTCATGAGAAATTTACAAACTATGAATGATGAAATAAAGGAAATTAGAGAAAAATTAACTATGAGAATTAGTCAAATTTATCACCAAGAAAGAAGGTAGGATGTAAATTGGTATATATTATTAAATATAAGATTAATGTGACTGTAAAAAGATATAAAGTTCAATTAGTAGCTAAAAGTAATAGTCAAACTTATGAAGTAGATTATTTAGATATATTTAACTCAGTAGCATAAATAAATGTAGTTAGAATCTTACATTCTTTGACAAAAAATTATGATTAAGATATCCAATAATTCAATATAAAAAAGATGTGATTACATAGATAACTATAAGAAGAAAACAATATAGATGTTTACCAAATATATGAAATAGGTCTATGTAAGTTGAAGAAGATATTATATGGGCTCAAATAATCATCAAGAGCATAATTTGATGAAAGTGATACATGAAATAGGATATAAACCTAGTTATAGGGATCATATTTTATTTGTCAATCATATTTCATACATAACCACAACCCTTCTCATGGACATAGACAAAATAATACTAACATAAAATGATGAGAGTGAAAAGAAATATCTAATTGATTATCAAATGAATTTGATATTTAAATAGATAAATTGAAATACTTTATTGTCATTGGAGTGACACACTTTAACAAAAGCAAATTTATATCTTAAGAAAAATATATTATTGATCTGTTATAAATAACTTTATAGACCTGATTCATAAACTTATGAATGCAGAAGATAGAATTTTTGTAGATAAATTAATGTATTAATATATTGGGAAAAAATGAAAATATATTTTCCACATCAAACTAGATATTATAAATTCAATAGTTCTTAGTCAACTTATGATCTACTGGAAGCTTATCTTCTAGTAGTTGATATAATTTTATAGTATTTAAAAGAAACATATAATAGAAAAAAAATATTTAAGAAAAATAAAATTATATATATTAAAATTTACATTGATGATGATTATACAGACTCAATTATTGATCGACGATCAACCTTGGGCTATTGTACACTCCTAAGAGGCAACTTTATCACATGGTATGGCAAGAAACAATAAGTGATGGTTAAATCTAGTGTGGAATTAAAATTTTGAGTAATGACACCAGGAATATTTAAAATATTGTAAGATTCATTTTAAAAGACCTAAGAATTAAATGGTGGGATATGTCATATTTTGAGAACAACTTAACTTTAAATATTACATACTAATTATAATGTGATTGAACTAAAAATATTAAGATATATTGACATTTCATTTAAGAGAAACTAGATAACAACATCATTTGTGCTCTACATATTTTAAAGTGCATTTGACACATATTTTCATCAAGTGATTAAGTGGGCCAACATTTTAGAAGTTCATATCCAAACTAAGATTGAATGACATGCACTTACCAACTTGAATGAGAATGTGAGAGTATGAGTGATTATATACGTACCAATTAGTCTATTTAAATTATATTTATATTTTCGTATTATTATATTTCCAGCCTTCTCTCTTTTATTATGTGATCTTAGTTGGCTTTAGTGCCTAACTGACCAGATCCATTCTGATTTGGCTTAAGCGCCTAGTAGAACCTCCTTGAGTGCCTATCAAGTAAAGCGGCTTCAACAAAATAATGAATCTTTTAATTATCCCAAAGTTTTATGGGTCTTGTTTAAGAGTTATAAAAATATTATGTATATGTTTTTATACTTCTTTGATAATTTAAAATTATTGGAGAGACTCCAAAAGCCAACAGAAGGCGGAATCTAGTAGGGCTTGGGCTTGATATAAGCACTACAAAACATGTCCCAATAGGCATGATTCAGCTCTTCAAAGAAAACGTACTATTTTCACAATAAAAATTCAAGACAAGAAAATTCATAGCTTTTTATAGTTTCAAAGAGATGACTAGGACTTTAGATACGCCATCATTTTCCATGCATTCTACCATTAACTTTATACTGATTATTATTTTACTCTTATAATGGCCAATAAAATAATTATTTAACTCTTATAACAAAGAAGAATGTCATAGATATCTGCATAATGAACCATGTTGATGCAAGATAGAGCTAACATCAAGGAGCCAAACATTCTAGCTGAATCAATCATCAGAAGAAGAACTAATTGATAAGATCATTCACTATTCCTTGAAGCTCGAATTTCTCTCCCCCCCCAAGATAAACCATATAGCCAACAGAAACCATGAACCAAAATAGAAAAACTCGCCCCACCCATGAGTAAATATTTCATAGTAGCCTCGTTAGACCGTACTAACATTAGCAGTCCTCATCACATGGACAATTAAGCAGTTTACATTTGTCACCAATAATATGTTGAGTTACAACGAGTGCCAACAGTGAATTCTAGAATGAGAGAGTTCACGGTGTAACCAAAATCAGAACTACAGTGGAGAAAGATAAACTAGTTTGGAAAAGACAGATTTAAAATGGAAAGGGTGATGTAGAAGTTGACTGAATATGGGTTCCGTTGTCTTGGTGCCATTACTATCTGGGTTTCTGAGATTAAATAAAGAGAGTCGCAATTCCCAGGAATTGCTTTCAAATAGTTGGTATGATAAGAATAATAACCATCCTTCCAGAAACAGAGTTTTTTGAGTTCATCTTCTTTCAGACTTTCTTCTTCCCTGCACCACTGACCTCCTTTCAATGACATGGGAAGTATTCGTACAAAGGAAGATATTCATGAGAGAAAGAAATAATTGGATTCTAAAAGCATCCAAAGCATCAAATGAGGGAAAACATGGCCGGGTAACAAGTACAGAAAGGGAAACCGAGTCTACACTTGCGACCCTTTTTCTCTGCCGGTTAGAAATCTATCAAAAAGGCATGGAGAGTTTGTACAATATCAAAATAGATAAATCAAAAACTCCCAGTTTGGAACTAGATCACTGAGGCAGATAGATTGAAGGAAAAAAGGATATTTCGGATGAAAAATGACAATGTTCCAAGAACAATAGTTGGAGAAAGATCGAAGTTTGAAACAGAGATTTATTAAACAAGGTTACAAGGACTGGAACAAAATGTTGAGACCTGATTGGGAGTGGACAAACAAAAGCAAGCAACAGGGGAACCTGATTCCCCGAAAGTAAGGCATCAGCAATCAAGGATTGGCTTGATCAAAGTTCCAATCATTGAACTTCACCCTGAGCCTATGACATCATAATAATAATTAAATAGTAAATCCTATGGGCATAGAGACACACCTAGTGTTCAAGAGTGATAGAAAAACTGAGGCAAACAGATGCAGAGGAAATAGCATAATTAAATCAGGTATGAGTGTTATACATGAGCACGATTCTCTCAACAAATTATCTTCAGGTTTTTTTCAAAGAAAAATAAAATTAAGAGACAATGGATAGTTTCAGGCAAAAGAATAGGTAGTCTCCCGCACCAAACTAAAAATAACAGACAACAAGCCAACCCAGTGAAAGTTTAAGAGGAAAAAATCTAAAAAAGAGTGGGGAAAGATAATATCCCTAGTTTTCCATGGTTGGATGTGCCCTAAGATCAACAGCTAATGCAATATCAGAGGATCCTACTGCACAAAAAAGAAAACAAAGACTACCTGGGCAACCCCATGTTTTCCCTTGAAAACGTTTAAGAATAATAGAAACATGGAAAGCCGTTTATGCTTTGTAAGTTTTCATACCCCAGGACATCAACCGTAAGTATATGACACGCTAAAATGGTAAAAGCGTGAACAGTGAAAAGCAGAAAGGATGTGTACGTTTCACGTCAAAATCATGGAGAAAGAAAAATAACTCCCCGAGAATACAGTCCAGGATACCAAACACATCATTTTCTTTCTAAAGGAATATGAATCATTGTGGCTCAACGGTTGTCACTTGCTGCCATTCGCCATCTACTGCCTCCTTCCATAGTGTGACACCATTGTTCCCATCAGCGACAGCCAATATGTTCCCAACTGTCGACCATGAGACCCTCCAGACTGGGACCTGAAAATCATGCAAGATCTTACCTTCCCATTGACCTCCTCTTGCAAGAGTCCATATGATCACTGTTCCATCCTGTGAAGCGCTAGCAATAGTTGACTTTGTAAGACCTAGGCTAGGAGCCCATGCCACGTCCCTCACCCAGTCTTTGTGTATCTGGAGGGCAGGAAAGGAATCAAGAATCCATGCTCCATTGTGCAATTTCCATATTTTGACTGAGTTGTCGCATCCGCCAGACACAAGTTTCCCAGCAGGATCGGCCGTCTCTTCAAGTATAGATCCAAGTGACGTTGATGGAGCCCATGAGACGGACAACACACCAACAGGGTGCGCATTATCAATCTTTGCTGTGTCCCAGCTGCCATCAGATCGAGCAGTGAAAATCGAGATATTACCATCAGAAGATCCACAAGCCAAGGAAAGACCAAGTTCATGCGGAGCCCATGCAATGGAATTGACAGAAGAATTATGGTCGGTAAACACATGGATCTGAATCCATTCGTTCTGTCTGGCTCCTTCCTTCCATATGATGACACGACCATCATAGCTGCAAGAGGCGAGGATAGACCCAAATTTGGGATGAGCCCAAGAAACCTGCCAAACAGGGCCTTGGTGACCACTTAGGGTAGCAAGTGGCTGTGACGGGAAGGACGAGTCACCGCTCACTGCTACGATCTTTATAGTGTTGTCAGAGGAAGCTGTAGCAAGGCGCTTCCCGTAGTAGTCTATCGCCACATCATGGACCACATCCTGGTGGCCGGTCTCAATCTTCTGGGAAGGCATCACTGCAAATCAGTTAGGATACTTTCGCGTCAATGATCTACCATGCCTTCCTTACCCGTATTACTTAAAGAAAGTTCACGTTCAGAGCTTAATACCGATCCCTAATGGCATCGAAGCATATAAGAACAGGTTCCAGCCTGATGGATAGCAAACAAGAGAATATAACCCTAAACTTCTCGGAAAAGCGAGTGTATCAATTCATGGAAAATGGAAACACGAACGGAGATCATCGCTCCCTGGAATTCCATTCCCCTAAAAATGAACGCTATTGAGGGAAGCGTGTGGCACGTTTCAGATGGAAATATCATTTGTTTCTGGAAAATTAGAAATCGCCCCCATACCTCACAGTAGGCACACACCATTGCAGCCAGAAAGATCAGGTACAGCCCGAGGAACGGGATTAAGACATTAAAAAAATGGCTCAACATACTGCGAGGAGATCCTCAAAGGGAAGGGATACCACACCTTTCTGGCACCTTTCAGGTCGCAAAGCTCTTCAGGCCGCTCAACCTTCGCAGGTCGGCAGATCTTCGCACGGTGCCGTTAAGGGATGCAGAAATTTCCCGCAGATCGTCAGATCTGAGCTGAGGGCGGCGGAGGAGGTCTGAGGAGGACCCTTCGGTGGCGAAATGGAGAGAGATGTAACCGATCTCTCTCCCACGCCCCCAACACACCGATGGAAGGATCTTTCGGGTTTCGTCCGGGTTTCATCTCGGTTCGGTTAGTACCGGTAGAACCGGTAAGATCTGATCGTCTGTAAATATAAATTTTTAAATAAATGAATTTAAAAGCACATTAATATATGTCCCCGAATGGATCTAATTGGGCTGCTGGCCCGATTCCAAATTGGTAAATACTAAAAAGCCCATTATGAATTGAAGGCCCATTAATACGTTAATGGATCTCTCTCGTCCATTTGACGGCCCAAGGCGGAATGGCAGCCGATGCGGAAAAATATTGCTTATTTATGTAAATATGTTTTATTTTAAAATATAAATATTTAATGCTTTATGTGGTGGTTTGTATTTGTCTGAAAGCGTGTATAAGTTTTGGGGGTACGAAAAAAATTAAATAATATGTAGGGTACCATACTATTAAGTAGGTATATAAATACAACTTTTCTCGTCGATGTTCCCTTCTCTGGAGGTTCGCTGCTCATCGGAGATCGGCGACCTCCGCTGACGTGCCTGTGGAAGCCTTGTGGCTCAGAGAAGAGAAGATCGATGATCCGTCTCCTTGGAGATGCGCGTGCAAAGAACCAAGGGATCCAGATCTTCTGAGGAAGTTTCGTTCTTCTTCCGGAAAAGCATCAGAGTAGCAACCGATCATTGCTTGAATCTGCAAAACACACGGTAACTCTCTCTCTCTCTCTCTCTCTCTCTCTCTCTCGCTCGCTCGCTCGCTCGCTGTTTCTGGAATCGGGACCGTCTGGAAGGAAACAGAAGGGGAAACGATGGATCACAGCGATGGAGGAGAGGAATTCAAATCCGAGACCAAAACGAAGGCGACAACTCTTCCAGACCGGCAATCCATGTACATACACGCATAGAGAAATTCAAATGCGTCCCCTACGTTTGTGCTATACCGGTGACCGACCGCATCAGTCCGTGGAGAACTCCAAACCTTACCGGAGGTGGATCAGGCCAGAGCATTTTTCCTTCACCCAGCGGATGCCCCGGACGACGGAGGCCTTGACCTTGCCCTCGACGGCATAGGCATTGTAGGTCGCCAACCTCCGGAGCCTCTTCTTCTCCGCTTCGCACACGAGGGGTCCTCGCCTCTTACTCCCGGAAGGCCCTCCCACCTTGGACCTCGGATTTGGGAAATCAGATGACCGCGGCGCGATCGGCCAGCACGGAGCGAGGTGAGTCTGGTCGGCGCTGTTCTCCGTGTCGCCAGCGATCTTCATCTGCTTCCTCTCTCTGCAGGCAAAGTGGGGGGGGAACCGTGATCGGAAGCCCCTCTCGGATTCCCAGTAGTGCCCCATTCCACAGAGAGAAAGGATAGAAACAAAGAGAGAGAGAGAGAGAGAGAGAGAGAGAGAGAGAGAGATGGAAAGAAATTATAGCTTCATTGATTACGTAATCTCTCCCCTTCTCCGTCCCTTTCAGCGCTCAAAGGGTTGAGAAGGATAGGATGGAAGGAAGAAGAGACTGACTTTCCCATTGCAGATCGGCCGAGAATCTTTTATCATCACCAGGCTCGACGAGGGGGGAAGGTTTGTGGGGCCAACAAGATCTACCCCTGTTCTATATTTGGAGGTGGGCCGTTGCCTCGACGATCATGGTTGACCCCGACGACGGCGACTTCAACCGTCCTCCCCGCTGACGCGGCAACCGTTTAGTCCGGCCATCGAACTGGATCGCTATCACCGGTCTCCGACCCGATTTTGAGGTACGATTCTGATACCACTGCCGCCTAGTCTGCCGCCGCCGCCAGCCTCCGACTATAAGACTTCCCCCAAGTCTGTTTCCAAATAGAGCTATTTCACACATCGCATGGGGGGTGCCCTCCCTTGCCTATCAGGCCGCCGCCACCGCCGCCGCAGCCATCTTCGTCACAAGGTGGTGACGTGCAACATGGCGGACAGCACGAGCTCCCTCACGAACCTGGATTTTCGGGCCTTCTCCTCCTTGTCCTTCACCGACAGAGCTTCTTGTTCAATGCTGGAAGCAAAGCCACCCCCAGTCAATTAGAAAGGTAAGTAATCCCACACGATTCTCTCTCTCTCTCTCTCTCTCTCTCTCTCTCTCTCTCTCTCTCTCTCTCTGTGCTCCCTTGACAGGGAAGAAACATATGGGGGAAGATCCTCTACCTAGCATCATAAACTCATACGAGGTATATGATTCTCGAGAGTGTCACATTGCAGTATTCAGACAAGGAAAAGGTCACTAAAAGTGTTGAGAATCAGCTTTTGATCTTCAACTGCATCAGAGAGTCAACTCGTGAAGACTGGAGAAAGGTCACTTCATGCCTGCTGCCGGTTGTGCTGGTAATCATCACCGATACTCATAAAAACTGGTAACTTTCCATCTCCGGTCGAAGTTTGTATAATCGATCACCTACGCACTTTGATGTGGGACCTACTAAATTTGGTTATAATCAGCTCATGATTTTCGATTTTATCAGAGTGTGAACTCGTGAAGTGACTGGAAAAGGCCATCCCGTCTTTGCTTGTATGGGTTCTAATGGAAGTGATCTCTGACAAAAGTCCAAGCTTCACATCGCCAATCAAAGTTTATATAATCACCGGTGAACTCTGATGGGAACTACCAAAGATGGCAATAATCATGGTATGATCTTCAACCTCACACTCTTTGCAAGGAAGACATAAAACCCGTTGGGGGGTTCAGGAGTTCCTAACTCATTGGACAGTTGCCTACTAAGCATCATCACATCTGACTCAGTCAGGAAACCCGGTTGAAGCTCTGAAGAAAGGATGGAAAGCCTTCCTAGTTTGACCCCCCCAAGAGCTCAACGAGACATTGTATAAACTCCACTGCTCTACGGTTCTACCTTTAAGGTAATAAATCTTTCCATCCAGATACCATATTTAGAATCCAGATTAGGGAAACATGAAAATAAATGTGGCTAGGGTTAACGGTTCATACCTCTTCGCAACTCTGTTGTCTTCCAGTTTCTTGCTCCGTTGACTGCCTTCACCTGATGCCTGAAGCTGAACGGGTTTTGTTGAATCTTTCGTGGGTAAATTAGAAATAAAAGATGACAGCAGTGGATCAGGTGCTGCACTGGATGGAGCAACTATGCGGGAAAATTCTCCAAGAAGCGATTGCACATGCCCTTCCCGCAGTTCCTTTTTAAGCAAAGAGAGGGGAGACTGGGGCACCAGCGACCCTCTGTGTGATCTCCTCCGTTTCATGTGAGAAATGGTCAAGGATGATAAGAGCATCATCAAAAGTCAACCCACACTCTATTCCAATACATGAGAAGGAGAACCAAAACGGAAATTGATGGGTAAGTGAAAACAGGATAAACATCGATTAAAATGGCTGATAGTCCAAATTTCTTCTTAAAATAATAATAATAATAATGAGATAAAATAAAGGATATTTTAAAGAGATTTCCATGCTGCATGGTTATGTGTCCAACCATATCCACGCCCACCCTGGTTTCACAAACGGGGCACACCAGCAAGAAAGACATGAAATTCACACATCATAACACATCACAGAGATGAAGCTGCTCTGAGAAAGAACAGGAAAGGCATCTCCGCACTGAAAAAATATATAAATAAAGAGATTTTTTTGTGATTGAATACCATTAATAGCACATAAGTAAGTCACGAAAGGGCCCATAAAAGGGGAGACATTTGAAGGTATAAATACGATTTTATAAGGGGTGGAAATGCAAATCAATAGCTATGCAGGCTGTTGAGAAAGAACCAGCTGATTGGGTATTCCATGATTGCCCCTCCATAGGGTGCTAAAACCCTGCGAACAGGTTTGATCCTGAGAGAAAATCTAGTGACTAACAAAATACAATAAAAAAAGGGGTACAGAAGATTCTGGAAAACACAAGAATATGCAAAAAAGAAAAATGGGGATCAGATATGAGCAGCAGAAACATGGTCACTTTTATAACTGATGATTGAAGATCGTTCGGTATTCAGTATGTGGTATGAAGATCTAGAAAGAGAAAACAAAGAATCCCTTCTGTCCAAGTGACGAAAATCAAAATTCCCGAACCAAAGTATTCCAAGAACAGACGATCGGAATCGTCGGTCACAGATTGCCATGTCCAAGAAATACCTCGTTCTTAGCTTCCCCCCGATGCTCATCGTCAATGTGACCGCACAGCCCCACGATGTCGAAGTCCTCGAAGCAGAATGGGCACGCGAACTCCGCGAGGGAGTCGTCCGCCCCACTGTCGACATCCCCGAACCCCATGTACAGATCTTCAGGAGAACAAGGGACGACGAAACTACACGTCATAACGCGACACCAACAGTCGATTCCAAAGAGGACGAGAAACAAACTCATTCGTCGATTAGAATAGTACCGATTCGGGGCTGAAAAGCGCCCTGATGCCGCCTCGACAAGGCTGAGAAGCGTCTCCACGACTGATCTTCCATAGATTCTCAGACAACAAACACTACGATCTCCAGCGGCAAAAGGAGAGCGATGCGTCGATTGGCAGAGAATTCACAGCGCAAGAGGAGGAAGATCGAAGAGGGAAAGCCTTCTGAAGCCCCTTTCTGAGACAGAGCCTGTTAGAGCGAGCGACAGAGAGAGAGAGAGAGAGATGGACGGGCATATGAGGACTGCCACCGCCAGTACATCCGGTTACGTCGAGCCTTCCAGAGTATAACCGAATGTCGACATTCCTACCCGCTTACACGTCGACACGTGGACAGGTCCTCTCTTAGCCGGTTCTGCCCGTGGGAATGAGACACCTGTCAGCGTCCCTGAAGACCGCCGGCGATCTCCGAGCATCTGGGGCTAGCCGACCCACAGCCGTCCGATCTGTGAGATCTAGTGGCGCGGGCTGACACTGAAACTTCTGGCTATCGGACCGGGCTTAAATAACATGAGCTTCCTTATCTTTGTGTATGATTTTAAGTAAAATAAAACGCACATTCTAGCTGGAAAATGAATAACTTAATATTATCTACGGAAAATATTGGATCATTCGACAATATTTATATGAATTTATTAATTATCAGGGTTTGAATTGACATTACTTATCTTTGTGTGAATTGATCGGCAAGATCGTACCTATAAAATATCATAAGTTAATATGATTTAGAGGGAAATGTTGATTCACTCGACTATTGGACTAGTAAATTTATTTATTAACATAATTCACATTTTTATTTGGAAAGAATGGCAATATCATCCCCTCATAATTAATAAAACCATATTAATATATATGTTTCCCAATGACGTCACTGATTGAGAATCTATGCTAAAAAAAATATAAAAAATAAGCAGTTTAAATTTTTAAGAAAATTGATATTAGTCAACGTCTGGCCAACTCTCTTTGCAAGTCTCCTCTGCACTTGTACGGCTGATGTGGATCTTGACACTCCACGTCAGTAAATCCCGTACGCCTTCGGTGTTCTCCACGTAGGTGCAAGCCCCCGCTACAGCCAGATTACTTAATTTTATTTGACAAATTGGGAGCATTATTTTTCATTTTAAAAAATAAAAAATAAAATAGAAAATGATGGTAAGTTCTAAAAAGGAAATGCAGAAGTAAAATAAAAGTCAACTCGGAAGCTGGTTGGTACGTGGATACGTGTCGTGTTTTCAGTGGCGACGCTCTAAGATCCGTGAGTTTCAGCTCCTAGCGATGGCAAGTGGAAGCGGGTTCTGTAGGCGGCGCGGCGTCACCTTTCTTCGCTTTCTTGGCTAGTGGCCCCGTGCACCCTCTCTCTCTCTCTCTCGTGCCTGTCTCCTTAATCTGTCTTCCTTGTTTCGGAGGCGAAAGAGGAGGGGGGAGGCCACGAGAAGGGTCTACTTGGGGCCCTCCGAAGGCCATGGCCAGTCGCGGACGCTCCCTTGTTCCTGATCGGGCGCCTGAAGTTTTCGTCAGACCCTTCTGTGCGACCCCTTTGACATAATTGCCTCCTGCGCATAATTTTCGTTATCCTGCTCTTCTCTCTGTTTCTGGCGTGTGTGCGTTAGATTGCGGGTTATCTAATTTGACTTGTCGCTTGAATATTTTTGGGGATCACTCGGATTTTTATCTTGCCAGGGGTTTCCCTGTATTGCTTCGTTGCTTAATCTGGTCCTGGTTTGCTCGGTAAGGGTGATTATGAACTAGGTATCAGTGTTGCATGAATCCAAATTTCTGTTCATAAAGCTAGATTTATCAAGTACCCCACTGGAAAGAGCCAATCGAAAATTATCGTCGCAGATCGTATGGGTCACCTAATAATCTATCCCCCGGTTTCGAAACCTTTGGAATTTATTTTTATTTGCAGGTTTTTTTACCAAGTATTCCTGCGAGAAATAGGATGTTCTTACTTTTTTTCGTTTAAAGTTTTGTAGTAGGGATGGTGTTTTAGGAGATGGAAGTTGATGGAAATTCTTAATGCTCTATTTATTATCATTTGCTAATTTTAGGTTAAAACTTGAATATTTTTTTATTCCCGAAGGATGTAACTCGATAAAAATTAAATAAACTGGATCACAAAAGGAATCTTGTTTCAATTGGGCACTCAAGATCGGATATTTTCAATGTGTTGGGAAATTGAGGGCCATCGAGCTTGCTCCAGTGAATGAGCACTCTAACTAAAAATCAATTTGTATTGAGTGGAGTAGCTCTATTGTTATGGTCACGAGTTTACCTTTGTGGTAAAAAAAAGGTAGAATTATTCTTAATATAGCTCCTCACATGCGAGCTGACTTTTGGACTTTGTCATCGGAAAGAATAGGAATGGATAGTTTGTATCTCGAAAGCAGCCATCAGCTTTGATACTGTGTTAAATCTCATTGACAAAAGAAAAATTAAAACCAATTGACGACGTGTGTCGTAATCCCATCTTTATATCACCAGCTAAAATACTTTTGTAGTAACTAATATGAGGTTACTTTCAGCATGGCCCGCATATGTCATTCAGTCGAATTTCATCTACCCTTCGCCGTAGTATTTGAGGAACTTCTTTAAATAAATATGAGTTGTTTAGACCATTCCATGTAAGACTGGAGTCATAAGTTTTATAGTATGCTATTCACCGAATTTTTGGAGGAGAATAATCTGAAAAAAATAGTTAATAATTTTAATATATTAAAAACATTTTTCGGTGGTAGTGGACTACAAAACTGAACCCCCCTAATGACTGTAACCGAATAGTTGTGGTGAACCTTGAGTGCTTTGCCCTTCCTAGGACATTCTATGTAATATCCAGACTTAAAACATGATGTCCAGGAAGAGCATATACCTATTAATAAAATTGTTGTATAAATAACTGATGCACACTGCGAATGCCAATTCTAAATTAGAAACTAATTAATGAGATTCTATCTGTAGTGTTGAATTTATAAAACACTGGTTACTGAAAGCACAATATCATATCTGGTAATGAGATTAAGAGGTCTATCGCTTTGATCAATAGCTCGCTTCTCTAAGCCCAAGGTTCACTGCTTGAAATTAGTCTAGAAACCATTTGTTACAGATCCTGTGATTCTGCCCTACACGTTAGAGAATCACCAGTGAGTTTCAAATCTATTTGGGGAATAAGCTTACGCCTTTCGTGAGCTTTTTGTACTAGAGTCATAACCTTCTCGACACAAGAAGAACCTCCTTCTAGACCATCAAGGCACTTCCCCCCAAAACATTTCGGGACATTATTCAGTTGTCTAGGCATCCAGCAGTTTTCTAAAGTTGCTCTATCTTATTTGTTCCCTGCATTCCGGCCTTGTGTTTCAGGTGATGCCAGACTTGATTTTTTACATACTTATAGTAGTTTAACTTCACTTGATTTTAAGTTATCTTTTGACAAGGTTTTTTTTTTTTTTTTAAAGAATGTAGCCATTTCAGTCACCGAGAAAATGGAAGGATGTGACTGCATTGAGCCGCAATGGCATCCTGAGGAACTTTTGATCAAATATCAGTATATATCGGATTTCTTCATTGCTCTTGCATATTTCTCCATTCCCCTTGAGCTTATTTACTTCGTGAAGAAGTCTTCATTTTTCCCATATAGATGGGTTCTGATGCAGTTTGGCGCATTTATTGTCTTATGTGGAGCTACCCATCTGATAAGCCTGTGGACTTTTGTTCCGCACTCAAAAACGGTTGCCCTTGTGATGGCCATGGCAAAAATGTCAACCGCTGTGGTTTCTTGTGCAACTGCCTTGACGCTTGTTCATATTATCCCAGATTTATTGAGTGTTAAAACAAGGGAGCTCTTTTTGAAGAATAAGGCTGAAGCACTTGATCGGGAGATGGGTCATATACGTACCCAAGAGGCATTAGGAAGGCATGTGAGAATGCTGACACATGAAATCAGAAGTTCTCTTGACAGGCATACTATATTGAAGACGACTCTTGTTGAACTTGGCAAGACTTTAAACCTGGAGGAGTGTGGAATTTGGATGCCATCGCGTACTGGTTCCAACCTTCAACTTTCCCACACTCTACGACATCCAATACCTGTTGGATGTGTCGTGCCTATTAACCTTCCCGTAGTCAACCAAGTTTTTAGCAGCAATCATGCAATGATAATCCCACATTCGAGCCCACTGGCTAGGATTCGCCCTGTCTCAGGAAGATATGTGCCACCAGAAGTTGTAGCAGTAAGAGTGCCACTGTTACATGTGTCAAATTTTCAGATAAATGAGTGGCCTGAGGTTTCTGTGAAGAGTGATGCAGTAATGGTTTTGATGCTTCCACCAGACAGTGCAAGAAAGTGGCATGTTCATGAGCTGGAGCTTGTTGAAGTTGTTGCAGATCAGGTCTTGTCAACTCCTGATTTCCTTTTTTTTTTTCCTTCTTTTCTATTTTCTTATAATGTAGTGACAGTAATATATGCCAAAAGGTTAACCATTTGAATATTCTCCTCTCCCTTTTTGATTCATTTAGTAGTTTACCCCATCTTGCTGGACGTAGCAATCTGCTCTTCCTTTATTTCATCAAGTTTCTTTTTCTGTTATAGTTTTGGCCCATTTCAGGGAACTTATATGCATTGGCTATCATAATCATTGAATTTTAAGCGTATTCATTATTTTCCGTGCTATTGGTGAAAGCCCATAATGCTGGGTGGCGATTTCATATTAAAGTCTAAACTAGCAAATTAGTGATGCTTGACTTATTATTCCATCCTCTTTCTAGCGCAAGAAAATATTAGCTGTTTAGTCGAATGATTCTTGCCTTTTCTTTGTGCTGTTCTCTGGAGCAGTGATAGCAAACATTCATTAGAACACCGCATAATAGAGCCTAGTAAATCTTTTAAAATTCTCGCCTAGTTGCGTGAAAGCAATTTGATTAGTGCACTAGAACATTGAGCATTGAATCTTTTCTAACGTATACAACTTTGATGAACGTAAAGCTATTTCTAATTTAGCAGAGTAAGGTGTGCCATCTAAGCCTGTTTCCATTAGGGAGGCTAGAGGGATGGTATGAGATGGCGTACTCCGTGGAAGGAACATACTTCTCTGGTGGAAAACCTCGAGAGAGGTGGTGGAAGTTTTACATTCCATTGTTAATGTTGTTTGATACTAGAGACTTGTAGGAGTGCTAGGAAGACTCTTGGGCTTTAGAACCTCGCTTTTCCCTGGATACCGTTTGTTAAAAGAAGAAAGAGGAGAGAGAGAGAGAGAGAGAGAGAGAGAGACCTATACCAGACATTCTGGAATGCATGGGGAGAGTCTCATCCCTTCGACTTGTACTGCACTGTCAGTGTCGAAGCCATAGCTAACAATTAATAGCAGTTCCATTGCACATGTGTTTCACTCAGTCAAGCCCGCCTGAGTGTATTGATGTGGATACAGGGATGTGGATTCCTATATAAGTCTTAAAATGTAGATAGATGGATCCCCGTTCCTTGTCTCCATCCCCACCACCTTAAGGTTACCAAATAGAGTTACGGCATAGCTCAGACCTGTTACTGTGTCATTCCTATGCCAAAGACTGGCTAAAGTTACTCGTTGATGGCACTCTTTAAGTTACAACGTTCACCTCAACTTCTTGCTTATTTTGGTCAAGTTCCTTTTTTTTTGTTTTGTTTTGCAGGACGATAACAGCTTGAGAATGGATGCATCTTGGCATGATGCTTAGCATCATAATGAAAGTAATTTCTTGTTGTTGTTATCTTGGAAAAGACATTGCCCTAGATATGTTTGTGTATCGCAATAAAGAACAAATAGATTCCCTTTTAATGTGTCTGAGTGAATCATCTAGGCGTCAGTGTACATCAAATCTAAAAACCGTGTAGACGAGTTTCTTGCTGTAAATGCTCTAATTCAATCATCTGAAACCAGGATTCAAATGATATTATTTTTCCTTTAATGGGTTGTGGGCAAATTTTGGGCCCTCTGCTCAACAGACGGCTGAATTGAATATTCATATGATTGATTATGCTATTCAGGTTGCAGTTGCGCTTTCACACGCTGCCATTTTGGAAGAATCTATGCGAGCGCGTGATCTTCTCATGGAGCAGAATGTTGCCCTTGATTTAGCTCGGCAGGATGCAGAAATGGCCATCCGGGCTCGCAATGATTTCCTCGATGTGATGAACCATGAGATGAGAACACCAGTGCATGCAATAGTGGGTCTGTCTTCCCTGCTTCTGGAGACCGAACTGACCCCAGAGCAGCGTGTGATGGTAGAAACTGTCTTAAGGAGCAGCAACCTCTTGGCTACACTCATCGACGACGTGCTAGACCTTTCCAGGCTTGAGGATGGGAGCCTTGGGTTAGAGAATACCCCTTTCAATCTTCATTCAGTGTTCGAAGAGGCAAGTTTCTGGTGCTGATTCACTTCCTAATAGAAGTAATAAGTTCTCATCGTCCGATTTTTTTTTGTCTACAGGTAATCAATTTAATCAAACCCATTGGGGCCATGAAGAACCTGTCGGTGTCATTGAACTTAGCATCAGACTTGCCACCTTGTGCTGTTGGCGACGAGAAGAAGCTTATGCAGATCATCTTGAATATGGCGGGCAACGCAGTGAAGTTCACCAAGGAGGGTTCTGTCTCAGTGACAGCATCTGTTGCCGAGGCTGATTCAGTCAGGGAAGCTTGTGGTTCTGATTTCTTCCCCGTTTCTACCATGGGACACTTTTATTTGCATGTGCAGGTTTGTCCAGGTTACCCTCTTTCATAGATCTTCGTTGACTTTTGTATATATTCAATTATTGTTTCCTGAAGATCAGGAGGAGGTTTCCCAGGGATTTCAGGCTGACCCTTCAGTGGGTGCAGGTCAAAGATACTGGCTGTGGGATCGTTCCTCAAGATATCCCCCATACTTTCACTACTTTCTCTCAACCCCAACCGGGAGCAAAGAAGAACTATGATGGCAGGGGGCTCGGACTCGCTATCTGCAAAAGGTATTGCTTAGCAATATAACTTTCTGCATTGGGAATTCAAAAATATAATATTTTTAATATTTTCTCAGAAAAAAACATTTTTTATTTTTTATTTTTTATTTGGTGGGTCTTCCCTAAATCCCCTTTCTCTGACTTGTGCTTAATTTCTCGGTCAGCGCCGTATGGAAAACTGGTTTGCTATTCCTTTTCACATACCTTGGCATCTTCTCTTGATTGAACCCTTCCACGGCCACCTGTTTGAAATCGGGTACTCCTAGATCACATGTTTGACTAAAAACCAGGAGGAGCTAAAGTCAGACTGTTCACTGGATCTTCAGATTTTGTGGCGGTCTTGGGCCATCCAGCACCTTACCAATTGGACACAAGTGGACTAGGTTTACCCATGTATCCCCATGACTTTGACTTTTTTTCTTCCGAAATAAGACTCTTTTAGATTTCCTGGAAGCCTATTCTTAGATTGAAAACCAAGAGAACTTATTCATCATTTCCAAAATGGGACCTACTTTAATCGGTTTGAAGGATGAACGGAATGTGCATGAGATCAATCACAGAGCATCGGCTGACTCTTCCCCCGTGTCTCAGATTTGTGGGTCTCATGGAAGGACGCATCTGGCTCGAGAGCGAAGGCCTGGGGAAGGGCTGCACTGCTGCATTCGTCGTGAAGCTGGGATCTGCGGCGACCCAGATGCCAGTTTTGGACTGAGTTTATCGATGAAGTGGGAGAGCTCCCAAGGGGGGGTTTTGTGAGGGATGCAGTGCCTGAGAAGGGCCGTGGAGCCGGCCGACCTGAGCATTCGGCGGATGCCAGCTGAGATCTGTGGCTCTGAGGAGGTTGATTCTGAGAAGAAACCATGCTGGCTCTATATGGCGGAGAAGATGGGGCTTGAGGACCGCTTGTGCTGGTTTACTATGGGCAGCCGGTGATGTTGGTGCTGACTAACTTTCGACCGAGTCCCCATCGCTAATGGTCTCTTGAGCTGTACATCTCATCTCTCTCTATTTATTATTTTCTCCAGTTCATCGCCTCCCCCGGATGGACTTACAGAACGTACCCAATGTTACCCTAATCTCTCTCTCTCTCTCTCCCCTTACTCTGAGCTGCGTGAGTTTAGAGTAGGAGTGTGGGGGAGAGGTTTGAGCTAGGGAGTACATGGCTGCCTGCATTTAAGCGACCGCCGGGGGGCGGCGGCGCCCGTGGGAGCTTCGCCGGAGATGGGCTTAGCACGTTGATCGTCCTCTCTGATTGACTAATCACGCTTATCGCTAGGAGCCGGAGAAAACTACAAGCAGCGGCGGCCTGAGGGGCTCCACCAACTCCACCGGCCCATCTTTTTTATAAAAAAAGCTGTTTGTTCTGTATCTGGTAAATCTGGGGGCGAAGCGAGCACTAGCGCCGGCCCTACCGCCGCCGGCCGATGCCGCAGGGACGGCGGGGCTATGGCGGCGCAGGGTGGAAGAAGAGGCACACGGCGGAGCAGTCGTCGACGGCGATGCCCCGCCGCCGCCGGCGCCAGGCGGCAGCGGCGTGCTCCACGAGCCTCTTCGCGGCTTTGGCCCTATCGGGCGTCGAGGACACGATCTGCACCGCCTCGAGGTTGGAGACGACGTCCCACACCTGAGGTCCATATAAATGAAGGTCGCACGATTACTTCGCCCCCTCCATTAAGAATATAGCTTTCTCTGGCAGGCCCTTTTTTTAATGAGCCTGACATCTTTGAAGCAGAGAGAGAGAGAGAGAGAGAGAGAGAGATCTTACCCCGTCGGTGGCCAGCACGACGAAGAGGTCCCTGTCGGTAATCGTCCGGTGGGTCACCTCCGGCGTGGAGATGAGCCCAAAGTCCTTAACGCAGAAGTCCCCGAAAGCCCTCGACATGGCTAGGCCCGGCACCTCCCCGCACGGCAGCCACACCCTTTGCACGCCGGGCTCGTCCTCCAGGCAGAACACCTGCCCGTTGCACCGCCTGATCCTCTCCGCCTCCTCTGCGCCGCCATGGAGATTACGAGACCCATCCCTAGAACAGTCAATTTCTCCATGAACGAAAAGTCAAATCCAGTGTCGAGGAAACTCACGAGGAAGACTGGGCTTGAAGTCCACGGTCAGCTGGACGGGAATCGGGCCGGCGTCGTCGTCGTCGTCGCCGCCGGCGGTGGCCAGGACGGCGCGAGAGTCTCCGACGTTCGCCAGGATGATGAGCTCCCCCTAGAAAGACGTTCAACGGCGAGAGTGAATCTGTGTGACTAAAGTTTGCCTTGCTGACCTTTGTCTGTGAACTTTCCCCACTTCAGAAGACAAGCCGAGATATGGGTCGCCGGTGAATCCCCGAACAGAAGAAGATCTAGAGCTTATGATCATGGATAACAGCTCGATTCTCTCTCTAGAGAGCAAAAAAGAAGAAGATGATGAGCATGGAAATCCGCACCCCCCCAGGTGAATGAGATGCCAAATGCTCATAAACCCGGAGAAGATATTCTCTCTGTATATCCAACAGATCACTGAAGTCAACCTTTGATCCCTCATTAAATCAGTAAATAAGGTTCTAATCCTAATCATCTGAGCCATAATCCGATTAGATTTCGCAGAAATAAAAATCATTCCCCAAGTAGCCGATAAAAGGAAACTGCGTGAATCGACAGATGGAGAGCCAGCGAACCGATTGTGGATCGGCTCAAGAAATAGTTTTACCGGCATTCTGCGAAATTTGCACAGAAAATGAAAATCGTGGAGAAATCAGAAGCAGGGCATCGCCGGGTCTGATTACCTGCATGACGACCGTCAGCGATGTAGAGCCGCTGTAGAAGGAATCCAGGCCACGGTGCTGCTTTATCTCCCTGTCCGTGGTGGCGCAAGCTCTCAGGTAGCACTGCTTCCAGATATCAATTAGGGAGACCTTTTTGTCACCCGCCGGATCGAGTTCCAGAGTCAGGTGATCATTCAGGACGAGCATCTCCTGCCAACTGCAGAGAAGGGACGACGGGAGGGATTCTCTGACCATCTTCGCCACCTCGCGCCCCCAGGGGCCGTGCCCGTCGAAGATCCCACAGAAGATCAGGTCCTCCTGGCATCCGTATCCCTGCTTAATCGGAAGAACAAAACCAGAATTCAGGGGATAATCTGAGAAAATTTACCGTTAATGCGCGATCGCATCGCCCGGGTGCGTGTGAAGATATCTGGTTAATAGGATCTGCGAAAAGAGACTCGGAGGAGCGGTTCTCCACACAAAAAACCAACAGATGGAGGCCTTTCGAGAAACTACTGGTTCGGGAGGTAGAGGATGGAATGAAACCAGAACAGATGTATCAAGAATTGTGGAAGATTTCGGATGACCGTAAAATAAATCTCAACGAGAGGACATTTGATGGTGGATGATTTCTCCAGGGTGGAGATGCCGGGGATAAAAGAAGATGGATCACCTTCCAGACGATGGAGCAGTCCTGGTTCACCCCCTTCTCCCCTCTCTTGGAGAAGGCGGACACGAAGCTGCCCGAACCTTCCATCTCCATTGATCCCGACGACCGCAGAATCGTGCTGTTCTTCCTCGCCGCCCTGGCCATCGAGTCTGCCGCCTCCCTCCCGCCGTCCGCCGCTGCCTTCTTCTTGCTGGCGTACAGAGACTTCAGCAGCCCGCTCAGGAGGCCGGGGAATTGCCCCATTAGTGCCCCCAACAACAACACTCACGAGGAAGAAAAACTAAAACCCCTATGCTCCTCTTCCTCACCCCTCCCCCTCCTCAACTCCGCCGACGAGAGGGAAGAAGATTCATGGAACTCGGGCCGACGGCGGAGCGGAGCAAATAAGAAGAGAATCCCGCCGGAGCAACAGCAGCTGCTTAACCACAACCAGAAAACCGCCCACCATGAAAGCTCTCTCCTCCCTCCGGCACAGCACAGGAACCTCGCACAGCTCCCCCAGCATCCCCAGGGCACCGTTCTCCGTCACATCTCGCTCTCAACCAGGGAGACGACGGCTAATAAAAACCCGCCGCCCCGGGACGTTAGCCGAGAAACCTCGACGACACGGCGGCGGCGGCGGCCCCCCTGGCGGCGGCAAGACGACCAGGCGAGGGTTGACGACGACCGGAGAGGCTCACCGGAGGGGAGGGGAGTAGAGAGACGGCGGATCTGGTCCAAGTCCGGCCGCCGGAGAGAGAGAGGGGAAGAGGGGGAGCAGAGAGAGGAGCTCGCCGGCGATGGAGAAACGATGACAGTGACCACGTCGGAAGCGACGTTCTCCTCAAGCGCAGTTTGAATGGACGCGACGTAGGCGATTTTTTTAGCTCTTAAGATAATACGCGGGATCAAAGAAGCTGTTTACTCTTCAGTACCTAACTCCCATTAATTTACGCTTGTACTCTCTCTCTCCCTATCTCTTCCTGCCTTCTCTTGCATTAAACTCGCATTAACTTTTTTTTTAGAGAGCAACAAACCGAGCTCTCGTGGGTTAATTTATAAATTTGTATGCTATTTTTTCACGTCATTTACCTTCTCCTGACCACATTGAATTTTTTCTACTTCCTCTCTCTCTCTTTCCTTCCATTAAACATATCTTAATCTGATTTTTAGAGAACAACGAACTGGGCTCTTTATGGGTTAATTCAAAAATTATTAAGCTATATTTTCAGGGGCATTTTTTATTAAAAATAAATTATTTTACTTCCTCTCCCTCTCTCTCTCTCTCTCTCTCTTTCTCCTCTCTCTCTCTTCCTTTCCTTACATTAACCCTGTCATAATTTGATCTTAGAGAGTAACCAACCGAGCTCTTATTGATTAATTCATAAATTATTAATCCATTTTTTCACGGGGGTTTTTTTATAAAAAAATTATTTTACTTTCTCTCTCTTCCTTTCCTTACATAAAACCTGTCTTAATCTGATTTTCAGGGAACAACGAACCGGGCTCTTGTTGGTTAATTCATAAATTAATATGTTATTTTTTCACGGGCATTTATTTATTTTCCTGACCGCATTGAATTTGTTCCTTAAATTACAATTTTCTCACACATCCTGACTTCCCTTCGTACCATAATTGGAAATAATCCAATTTGTCACACCCATAGTGAGGTCAATATATATCTGAGTGAAAACCCAGTCCATAAAGTCAACCATGAGAGTTTCTATTTAAGACGGAGCAGATCAAACGGTGCACAGTTAATGAATCACGGCTCTGACGATGGAAGCTCACAAAATCGGATCTGATGGTCAACGATGGAAATCAGTGACGCAGAACTGAGTCTATCTACTCGGATCGATCGGAAAAAGGAAGAAACTTGGCTTCCACTCATGGCTGGACACGTTGAGTCAAGATCGATGGTGGACTATGAGCGCCCCCCTACCTCTCTCTTTCAACCAGGTGCTCAATTAAAGGGGGTTTGACTTTTTTAACCCACTGGGCTCAAGGTAAACGCTCTGTAAAAATAATAATAATAAAAAGGGTCTGCGGCTAGTTTGATCTCTATCTATTCGTATGATTCAGGTTTCAATATGATATATCTATTCTGACTTTCAGATGATAATATCTCTCTCTCTCCCTCTATCTCAAGTATCTGGTGGCCACGTCGGCTGTTTATAAGGGTATGGCGTGGTCGGCGTTGGGTCGCCGTCGCAGAAGGCCCCTTCGTCGAGGCTGCGCGATTAAAAGCGGAGTCAGCACGCGCGTGGAAAGAAGGACAAGGCCGGCACCCAACACTGACTTCCCGCAGAGAGAGAGAGAGAGAGAGAGAGCGCGAGAGAGAGAGACACACACAGAGAAAGGCAGAGACAGAAAGACAGAGAGCCCGATAGAGAGAGACAGAGAAAGAGTGGCACACCAAAACCACTCAGTTTCTTACACGAGGATGATGACAAAAGGGGGTGAGACCCACAAGTGGCTCTCTCTCTCTTTCTCTCTCTCTCCTCTCTCTCTCTCATAAAGATGGCAGAAGTCTATGTAGATGGAGTAAACTACGCTGGGTGGGGGGGTCCCAAGTGAGGGAGGATTGTGATAACGGATCTAGGATAATCCGAACCAACTTTTGACCTGAAATCGAGTGGAAATGGGTCGCCAGATCCTTTCGGATTTGAGCCGCCCTACTCCCCACACTGACAGCCGCCGACCTGCGCCACCCAAGAAGGTGGAAAATTTATTTTATACCTCGTTTACCAAAAGTATTTCTTTTAAACCCCTATTGAGTAATACACAAATTTCTGACACTACAATGACGGATCATCACCTGAATTATTGGGTCCATCTGATCTATAGACCATGACCCGGTTATGTGGGGCCCGCACGCTCGACTTCAAACTGCCGGAGGACCAGCAGAGATTGGTGGTAGAGGTGGAGGTCCATGCCGTCAACGTTCCTCCCCACACGTGCCAGCAGGTTCGTCTGAAGCTCACCACGTCATCAGGTCAACGCCAGTAACAGGGGAAAAGTCAAGGAAAAATAGGACGGACCCACGTCAGCATTCGGACAGAGTAGGAGCTCTCCGATGAACTGGTAGAGGCAGCCGACCCGGAAGGTGATGCCACTCAGATGGCGGGTGTTGACCACAAGGCTCGAGGCCCCATCGGCGATGACGGCCCGAGCGGTCTCCACACTGTAGGATTGGAGGCTGAGGACCAGGAAGAGGATCGAGGTCAACCCATCCCAATGGATGGAGGGAATTATTACGGGTGTTTTTCTATGTTCAGTGACGAATATCTAGAGAAATAAGGGTTTGATGTCCATGGAATGTACCTCCCGGTGACTCGAATCGAAGCCCCGTGCTTAAACAGCTCGGAAGATCTGAGATCCTGCAAAGATATTGGGGTTCCAGGCTTCACGGCAGGCGATGATTCCATGGAAGAGAGCTTCTTGTGGGCGAGATTAATCTAATCAGACAATGCGAAGATCTTCAGCACTACGATTATGGAAAATAATCCCAGAATTAGACTACTTTCAGATAGCAGAAATAGAGAGATTTCCCAACAAAGGGCATCATTCTTGAGCGAATTAATTGATCTGGTTGAAAAAGAAGAAGGGTAGAATGACTCTCTGCGGCAGAGATTCAGAACTATGATACCAAGAACATGGGTTCAAGTGGTTAGCTACGATTTAGGGGAAAATATCTGAAGGTTTGAAGTATGCTTATAATGTTGAATCCATCTACCATTCAGTTTTTTCTTAGATTTCAAAGGTGCATCCAGGTGGTAATATGTAAGGTAATGATTATCTTGATTTGATTGATCCATTTTTCCGATGTTGGGAGAAGGTAACATATCCCCATTTGGAAAGAAAACCAAAAGCTACCGTACAAACTATGATCAAGTTCTCACCATACATTGAGCAGAGAAAAAAATCAGGATCTGTGTTTAAGAGTTGATGGAAATATTTTGCAAACACCACTCATTACTTACGAGGCACGTATTTTCAAGGGAAAGTGGTGCTAAATACTTAAGGCGACTATGTATTAAGGGCGCAAATCTTCACCACCGCAGTAGGGATCAAAGCATGCCACAGCAAGAAGGAAACAAAACTGAGAAAATCAGGCAAATAGAAGCGCCGAGCCGTGAAGAACACAATAGTGTGAAGTATGTGAAGATTTGATGGTACCATGGGGATTATATGGAAATGCGCAATAAAGCAGCGGTTATCTGGTTGTTCTATACTGTTGATCAAATCATATCACAGGGAGAAGGAAATGAACTAGAAAGCTTGAGCAAAGATGAGCTATGAAGATTTGAAGATGGTATGGAGATCAAATGGAGATGCAAGATGACACTAAATCAGCGGTTATCTGGTTAATCTAACATCTAGGATGTGAAATGGAAGTCCAACTGACGTTTCCAACGACGTTTAGTAGAGAACTTCACTGATCTAGGTGATCCAAATCCTAAGAGAAAGGTGGAAAGGATAAAACGCAAGATGCTTCGGGGACTGAAAATCAATGGAGTTCAGTCGAGAAAGGCGTGGAGAAATAGCCTTGATACAAACCTCATGGACAAAAAACCAGAAAGGAGGATATGCAAAACTTTTTATCGACGACAGGTTTAGATCTACATTTCGAGGGTCTCCGTTCCTTTAATCTCCTCCAGGATCTCGGTTTTGGACAGAACGCAATCACCACAGCCCACGGCGCTTGTTACTCCCGTAATCCGCCAGCCGACTGATCTTCCGCCGCCTTCCAGCGTCCTCTGCGCCAGCCCCTAGGCCACCAGCTCATCCAACTTCTCGGAGGCGACATGCAATCACACTACATCGCCGGAAGCGGAACGAATACGGAAACTCCACACATGCGAAGGGATTCGTTCCAAGATCCATGGAAAATGTACGCCGATGAACATAAGAAACAGAGACAATCGAAGAGGGCGATGAATTCTACGAGAGCCAAGACATGAAACCCCCCGTAGACACATCGATATAGAGCACCAAGGATATTCAACAGGATGAGCTCCGGCTTACGAGAAGCCGTCAAAAAAGAAAAATGGAGATCGAGAGGTAGAACCGTTGCTGCCTGGCGGTCGCCGGAGCCTTGCCGTCGATGGCCGATGGACCAGCGCTAACGACCTCAGCTGAAGACGAGCAGGCGGCGGACGCAACGCCGCTGGAGAACACGCTGCTCTCTCTCTCTCCCTCACTCACAGTGGCTTTGGAACCGAACTTCTTTGGGCTGACCTCAGTCGGGCCGGACTTATTTGTCGTTATTGGGCTAATTTTGGGATATAGGCCCATAAATGCACATATGGGCCGTGTAACTTTAAGCCCATTAATACAAATTTGCTAATTTAAGAAAAATCATGTATATTATAAAAATATGAGAAATTCTGTTCATTTAGAAAAAAAGTCGGTGGGATGGTGCATGGGAAGCCCCGGCGCCTCAGCCACGTCAGACTGACACGGTGGAATGGGGCGAATTCCTTTGAGGGCCCAATAAACTGAAAAATGGGCCTGAAGGGAGAAACCCTAGAGTGTGGACGCCAAACCCTTGGCAAAGAGAGGGAGTATAAATAAGAGCGGGCTGGTACCAGCCGCACTTCTCTGTCACGCGGGGTCCGAGCGAGTGGCGGCGGAGGGTCTGGAGCGATGGTGTCCTTGAAGCTGCAGAAGCGGCTCGCCGCGAGCGTGCTCAAGTGCGGGAAGGGGAAGGTCTGGCTCGACCCCAATGAGACCAGCGAGATCTCCATGGCCAACTCCCGTGAGCTCCTCCCGCCGCGACCCTTTTTCACTATTCCTTACGATTGATCCTCTTTTTCGCTTGTGATTTGACTGGGGAGGGGTTGCTCAACGATGACAAAGATTTTTTGCTGCCAAGATATGTTCGAGATCGTCATATCCTCGTAGCTCTGTTTCATCTCCCGGCAGATTTTGTTGCTATAATTCTAAATCTGTATATGTGGTTCTATCTACGGAAAACCACTTAAATTGGCTCTAAATACACTTTCTGTCGAGCTGTAGTTTGTGTTCCACCTTTACGCCGTGGGAGCGTCTTTGTGTTCGTAAAACTAACAATATAAGGGGTGAAAATAGAAAATAATTCCGTCTAGGACTTTATGGCAGTGTAATGTCTACTTTCTTTTCGTTTACCGCCAACGCGACTTGTCAATCTTTATATGCTTTGCGATTTTGTTAGGCAGATCCACGCGAAACTCTATATAGGTCGACTTCGTAGCGATGTTATCTCTTGTTCTGTTGTCGGGGAATGGAATGTAGACAAAGATATACATAAACTGTCACCAGGTTTTGCAGAGATTTTCGTTCACACCAGGTGGACAAAGGAAGTATTATGTTAAGAGCTAAATCGCATAAATTTGCTGATATCGTCACAATATCGCCGTCATCATCCACCAAATATACGTTTTTATTTACTCCTTAAATTACAGGGTTATCTATTCTATTGTGTGTGCGTATTCAAGGAACTGGCTGCTTAGAAAGAGTATGCAAATTCTTTGAATTCATCTCTCTCGTGTTTAGTTGCTTTCATTTTTCCTGTCTTAAAGGTGTCGCACACATTCGATAGGTTTAGTTGTCTGGTTTTGATGACACATTGATTAGTTTGAGATCACTTGCCGGAGTCCAGATGACGAAATAGATCAAAAGGATTTATGACTTTCTGTGTGAGGCGTTAGAAAAACTACTCGTGTCTCTTGGAAGGAAGATTTTTACGTCGCATGCTACCCCAATCAATTACATCAAGGGAATATACATTGAAGTCAAGATAAAACCATGCAAAAAATCAGCTTGAGTTTGTTTTATGAGGTACAGATATTAAAGAACCGAAGTGAGTCTGACTTAGAGGACTCTGAACATGTGGGGTTATGTCAATCCCCCTGGAGTGGACAACCTTTGCACTCCCACTAGTTCAAGTCAACAAGAAATGATGCCCCAATTAGACAGAAAAGTGAACAAAAATAATTGGATTAAATAATGCCTTATATTTTTTTAGTATGATGCTGTGGCAAGATAATCATAATTCTCAGTTTTCACAAACATCCACCCATTATTAGAAGGGAAATATGTGGGTTTTTCTACATCACCTTCCCCAGACCTTGTGGAACAACATGGCTGAATGATTCACGTATTCCTCCTTGCAGTGGGGGTGGGGGGGCCTTCGTCTGGTTTCTTTTCCCTCATTTCCAGGCATCTTGCGCCCTCAGCTCATCAAATTTCTTCGTGTGGAATTGCAGGGCAGAACATTAGAAAGCTGGTGAAGGATGGATTCGTCATCCGCAAGCCTACAAAGATCCATTCTCGCTCCCGGGCTCGTCGGGCAATGGAGGCCAAGAGGAAGGGGCGCCACTCTGGATACGGTGCAGAGACATTATAGAGGATTCCAGCCTCGCCCTTCTCCCCAGATGCGTAAAAATCGCCACCCCTGCTTTTCTCACCCGCCCTTCCCTTCCGTGTTTACTACTTCAGGTAAGCGCAAGGGTACCAGGGAGGCGAGACTCCCCACCAAGGTGCTCTGGATGAGGAGGATGCGGGTCCTCAGGCGCCTGCTGAGGAAGTACCGGGAGTCCAAGAAGATCGATAAGCACATGTACCACGACATGTACATGAAGGTCAAGGGTAACGTGTTCAAGAACAAGAGGGTCTTGATGGAGAGCATTCACAAATCCAAGGCGGAGAAGGCCCGGGAGAAGACCCTCTCCGACCAGTTTGAGGCCAAGAGGGCCAAGAGCAAGGCCAGCAGGGAGAGAAAGCTCGCCAGAAGGGAAGAGCGCTTGGCTCAGGTGAGAGATAAAACCCCTCCCCTGATCACCCTCCTCTTTAGTAACACTGTGACCGATGAACTCTCTTTCTACCCTGAACAGGGGCCAGGAGAGAAGCCTCAGGCGCCCCCTCCTGCTACTCAGGCACCCCCGGCGACCGAGTAAGTAGTAGTACCCTTCACCGGTCCTCTTTCTGTAAAAATCGCGCCTTTCTAAGAGCAAGTGTTCTGTGTCGCAGGCCCACCAAGAAATCCAAGAAGTGAGGGGCGGGCAGCGCAGGCAGGGCAGGCAGGGCAGGGCTGTTATTTTGCTCCGTGGCAAGGAAAGTAGGTTCGTTTTTTTTTTCTCAATGGAAACTTGGATGCACTAACTATCTCCTCCCGGATGTTGGCAAATTCTTTGGTTTCCATATCTCTATCCAGCATGTGGGTTCTACTCTCATTCTAGATTGAGCGACCCTTTTTTGTGGTCATTAAGTTTGGCGTATTATGGAGAGAGAGAGAGAGAGAGAGAGATGTTGAAGTAGTTTATGAGATGATGGGGATTATTACGGTGCTCCGTATGTATCATTACGATGCACTATAGAGATAGATACGTTGAGGTAGTTTATGGGCTGATGGAGATTATTGCGATGCGCTCGCTCTAGGTATCATTACGATGCAATAGAGAGAGAGAGAGAGATGTTGAGGTAGTTTATGGGCTGATGGGAATTATTACGATGCACTAGCTAGAGAGAGAGAGAGAGAGAGTTGTGGTAGTATATGGGCTGATGGCGATTATTACGATGCGCTAGCTAGAGAGAGAGAAATGTTGTGGTAGTTGATGGGCTAATAGAGATTATTAGGTTGCGGTCTTTGTATCATTACGATGCAAGAGAGAGAGAGAGAGAGAGAGAGAGAGAGAGAGAGAGAGAGAGAGAGAGAGGTTGAGATTGTTATGAGCTGATGGAGATTATTACGATGCACTCTTATGTATCATTAAATTCGCGATCCAATCCCAATAGTCGATAAATGCCAGTTTACAAAAAACCCCCCGGGAGTTGAAGGAATGTGAGAAATACGCCCAGAGAGAGGGGTGTCTCTGCAAGAGAAAAGATAGCGCTTTCCAGGCTTACATTTTCTCCCGTGGACGCCGCGTTTTTAAAAGAAAGACGGCCGTCCAACGGTAAAGTCCAACAAAAGAGATAAAAAGGCTGACCTGGAGAGGCTGCGCCAGGCCACGGGCGTTGACCGAGTCTGCTTGGTCGTTCTAGGTGACGAGGTAGAGGGGCGCCGCCGGCGACGAGGAGGGGGAGGAGAAGTCCACGGCGGCGAGGTCCCTTAGACAGAGATAAGGCAACTTCATCCCCCCCGAGGCGGCGGTGACGCTACGGCGGCGCGGGGTCAACGGCCAGGGGCCGCCACCGCCGTCGCCCTCCGTCGTGTAGAAGACCGGGAAGGCGGCGGCGGAGGTAGAGGATGAGGGCGGCGCTGGCTGGGTGATGCGGATGCGCCGCCAGAAGACGAGGGCGCTTCGCCACCACTTGCCCCGCTTCTTGGCCTTGGAGGAGCCGCCCTTGGAGATGGGCTTCTGCAGCTTGAAGCGGAAGCCCTCGAGGGGCCTCGCCTCCCTCTTCCCATGCTTCCTCGCCTGGTGCAGCGCCTGAACTTCTTCCCGCTTAGTGAGAGAAAGAGATAGACAGTGGAAGCTCGAAGAAGTCAATCTATGGAGAGACAGTCGAACCTGGAAGAAGTCAATCTCGGCGTCGAACCCGTAGTCGCTGTAGTGTACCTCCGACCTGGGGAAAATCGGAGAGCTGCTCGCCATTTTCGGCGGGGAGAGAAAGACAGCCAGCCAGAGAGAGAGAGAGAGAGAGAGAGTTGGGTTCATTTAGGGACGGCGCTTAAGACCGTTGCGGCGGCACGGCCGGCAACCCTACTCTAGATCTGGCAATCTCACTGCGGCGGGACCCCCACTTCGGAAGACCCCACCGCCGCAACGGGTGCCTGCAGGGATTTCAGGCCGTCCATCATTGATCCAGCGGTAGCTGGGAATTCATGCTTTGACGCCTATTGAGCCTGCTAAAGACTAATTTGGGCTTAGGCCTCGGAATTTAGCCCATTATGCCTCAGAAGTCATAGTACGGCTATAAAAGTCAATCCAAACCTCCTATTATCGATGAACCAGACGCACACTCTTACTTTTAATTAGACTTTCAAAATTACTCGAACTGGCATGTTTCTGTCGATAATTATAGCCCTTTTCTTCTGGGTTTTCGGAAAATTTTGGCGAGTTTTGTCGTGCCTCCCGTCCAAAATCTTGGCAAAAGTCAAACAGCTTGAAATGGATGCCCAAAAAGTCAACCAATATCTAGATTCCAAAATGTTGAAGGAGCGCCCCCGCCGCTGCTCATGGGAAGTCATGAGTCCGATCATCGGTGCAGCAACTCATAAGTATCCTCGTATATATTTTTCCTCTCCTCCTCAATCTCCCCATATTCGTCAGGAATACTTTCTCAAAGAACCTGGCGGCGCCGCCACCGACCGCCATTCCCCCCCTGCTGCCTCCGACGGGAACAGTCTCCTTTGGCCAGCTCCCATATCCCCTGGCAGAACGAGATGTATCTGTGGGGAAGACCGTCATCTCTGGACTGAGGTAAGGAATAATGACGATCACCATGGAACAAATGCCTGGGTACGTGTGGAGAGACGATCAGTAGGATTCCATGACAATTTGTACAGGAAACTACCAACCCGGGCACATAACGTCTTGCTCTACGCTTGGCAATTTAGCTAAAAATGCATAATGCATGTTGGAGCAGCTATTTAGCCACTAAAGTGGATCTTGGACTCCATCATGGGGCTGCCCAAGGTGGATTGATTCTTGAAGACTGCTACATTTGAGCTGACCAAAGGAATTATATGATGAAATAAATGAGATTTTTTTCTTTTTTAGTTTTGGCTAATTTGGTCATGTATTCAGTTTGTTACCTGATACTTGATTGGCCAATATATTTACTCCATCAAAAATATGTTGATTGGTTTAATATGAGCTGATTGATGGGACTGAAGTTGATGCTCTCCTCAATCTTCCATACTTAAGCTCATGGACAGATATAACTCAGCAATGAGTTGCTTGAATACTTCTAAAACCACATCTCCATCTCTCGACAAAAATGAGTTGAGTTACTCAACTTTGCCCGGCTAGGTCATAAGACAACAGCTACTTGCCTTACTTAAGATGGTCCAGTAGCTTGGCTCGGCACAGTACCTTAAGATGGAATGTTGAAAAATGAGGTCAAAGTACAAAGTCAATTGCAAGATGAACCATATAATGTATTAGAACATTATCTAGGCTAAGGGACAAAAGAAATTAGTGTTACATAATGATAGTGTTCATGGCTAGGGTTTGCACAAGCCTTGTCTAAGTTACCTATTTAATTTTCAATGTCTATTTCTTCAGATATTATGTGGTTGTTATTGAGGACTCCACACATAATTAGTCGCAATGCATGCAATATGATAATCCAATGGATATTATATGACATTAGCATGATGATAACATAGGTGACACGTATTTTACATTAATGTGTTTTTATAGTCGAGTAAAAATGATATGTAATATCTCTCAGTTAATAGGTTGAGGAAAGATATGAATCATTTAATACTTTGAGGGCTTATTCAAGATTACAAAACTTAGTACTCCACATTGAAAAATGGGTTTTCTTACTTGAAATAATGTGGAATGAGGTCTCATACCATAATTTTCGCCACAACATGTGCAGGGGATTAGATGAAAGGGGAAATGCCGCACTAGCAACACACAAGACAAGTCCAAAGATCTGCTAGACGCATTGTAGATGATCATGACGAATCAATGAGCCCTAGTGAGGGGCTGCCAGGATACTGTTTCTGAAGCCATGAGAGATGGCAGCTACCACAAATTGTGATCAACAGACCACTCATAAGCATCCAAACTGTATCTTGGCATCAGATTGTAGTGGATTTCATGGTGGTATGGGACTCATCAAGATAAGCCCAATGGGGGTAGTGAGACTTTAAGGGGATGTGACATTGAATCCGTTCTCTCCTCATCTCCTATATATTTTTACTAAAAATAAATGCGTTCGGAAGTGATTGCTTATGCTGCTATTGAGGAGACTACCCTAAAAGGTATTACAGGCAGACCGAAAAATTCTGAGGAAAGGATTATGTCTAGGCTGTGATTACTTTGTTTCAGGCTTCATTGGCTGGTCCAGATGGACCTCATTGCTCGTTGACAATCCGCCGTGAGACCCAAAAAATAGAGTACCCGAATGGGTAACAGTCTACCTCAAATAGCACGCGGCCCTCCTTTCTCTTGCAGTTTATGCCCACTTTGCTATCTCTGGAAACGCGCGGCTCCCCTTCTCTCTCTCTCTCAAGGACGACGCCATTGACGTACCTCCTAGGTCCTCGGTATTTAAAAGGGACACAGAGAAACTACAGGCTCTCCCCTCCCCCCTTATTGTCTGAGAACCAGCTGTGGGGAGGACTCGGTCTTTTTTGTCGACTTGGGTTATCAAGAGGAGAGTCTTTTGCCTGTGGTTGCAGATGAGCTCCTCAAGAGGCTACGGCCACCTCTCGGCCGAGCAGTGCTCGCTTCGTTCCAGAGGCAAGAAAAGGGTGGCCGTCATCGGAGTCTCTGCGGTGGTCCTCGTCGCCATGGTGGTCGGCGTCGCCGTCTCCGTCAGCCACCATGGAGGGTCATCATCTTCCCCCGACTCTGAAATGGAGGTCTCGCAGACGGTGAAGGCGATCCAGTCCATTTGCCAGCCCACAGACTACAAGCAGGTCTGCGTCAACACCCTCACCGCCGCCGCCGGGTCCAACGTCACCGACCCCGCTGACCTCGTGAAGCTCGCCTTCAAAGTTGCCGTCGATAAGATCCACGACGTGTTCAACCACTCGGCGCTGCTGAAGGAGGCGGCGGCGGATCCGAGGACGAAGAAGGCTCTGGACAGCTGCGAGGAGCTGCTGAAGTACTCCATCGGCGACCTGAAGAACTCCATCGACCAGCTGGGCTCCATCGATCTGTCAAATATGAACAAGGCGGTGGAGGACGTCAAAGTGTGGCTAAGCGCCGCCATAACCTATCAGGAGACCTGCCTGGATGGGTTCGAGAACGCCACCGGCGACGCGGGGGCCTCCATGAGGAAGGCCATGAACGCCTCCATGGAACTGACGCAGAACACCCTCGCCATTGTCAACGATGTGTCAGCTGTCCTCTCCTCCTTCAAGATCCCATATTTCACCCGGAGGCTGCTCTCGGAGGAAGAAGAAGAGCAGCAGCGGCTGCCGCGGTGGGTGGACGCCGGGAGGAGGCGGCTGCTGGAGCTGGAGGCGGCGGAGTTGACCGCTGACATCGTGGTGGCCAAGGACGGTAGCGGCAACTTCACCACCATCGGCGAGGCCCTCGACGCCGTGCCCAAGAAGAGCAAGAACACGACGGTGATGTACATCAAGGAAGGGGTATACGAGGAGAGCGTGCAGGTCAACCGGAGCTTAACAAACCTGATGATGGTCGGAGACGGACCCACGAAGACGAAGATTACCGGCAGCCTCAACTTCGTCGACGGGACCCCCACATTCAAGACCGCCACCTTCGGTGAGCCCTTGGTTGCTGGAGATGGAAAGTAGAAAGACTATATGATACCATGTATCCTCTCATTGTGATCTGATCATCGCCGGGTGACGACGCAGCGGTGATCGGCGACGGGTTCATCGCCAAGAACATGGGGTTCGAGAACACGGCGGGGGCGGCGAAGCACCAGGCGGTGGCGCTGAGGGTGCAGTCGGACATGTCCATCTTCTACAACTGCCAGATGGACGGGTACCAGGACACGCTGTACGCGCACACGAAGCGACAGTTCTACAGGGACTGCACCATCTCCGGCACCATCGACTTCGTGTTCGGCAACTCGGTGGTGGTGTTCCAGAACTGCCTGCTGTTGGTGAGGAAGCCGCTGGAGAACCAGCAGAACATCGTAACGGCGCAGGGGAGGAAGGACCGCCGGGAGCCCACGGGGATCGTGCTGCATAACTGCACTATCGCCGCCGACCCCGCCTACTTCCCATTCCGGAATCAGCTCAAGTCCTACCTGGGGCGGCCATGGAAGGAGTACTCGAGGACACTGGTGGTGCAGTCGCAGATTGACGACCTAATCGATCCGCAGGGATGGCTTCCATGGCTGGGGGACTTCGGTCTCCGCACCTGCTTCTACTCGGAGTTTGACAACCGGGGCGCCGGCGCCGGGATGACCCAGCGGGCCACCTGGCGTGGGGTGAAGAAGATGACCTACGGGCACGCACTCAAGTTCACTGTGGAATATTTCATCCAGGGCAACAGCTGGATCAAGCCGTCCGGCATCCCCTACATCCCAGGCTTGCTTCCGGTCACCTATTTATAGGTGTCCTGAGCGTCGTTATCTTCTCCACCGGACTGGAGACGATGAAATTGACGAAGGCGATCACAGCTATGACAGAGAGAGAACTACACGAAAGTCCCCGTCTTTTTTACCAAAACCGAGAGATCTTGCCTTCATGATGCATCCGATAACCGGTGGGTAATATAAATTTATCATCATGGACGGCGCATCCTTCCCTACCTATGAGGATCTTGATGCATGCCCGAGGTATTTAATGTAAAGCCAGAAATATCTCTAATTGGGCTTGGGTTGTGCTTGAATACGCATTTGATTGAGGCTACGAAATTGAGAGCTCTCATTCTCAACTGAGACCAATTAAATCGATAAGAGATTACATTGTTTAGTCAATGATTACTTTGGAAATTAAATTCAGTAGTATCATCCATATAATTTTGAGAGTTTAATTCCATATTATTTCTCCAATTCATGTTTTGACGGAAAATAAGATGTATGAGAAATAGTTAATTTATTGTGGATACATCTTTTTATGAAGACAATTTTTTGTCGTAAATTTATAAATTGTTGTTGTCACTTAGATTTTGATGTTTTCTATAATAACAGTATAACATTGATTTTACTTATGGGTAATAGGTGTCTTAGCTCCAACTTGGGAAAAATTATTGAACTTCTTGGATTTTAGACTACACTTTGATCAAGATGTAATTGTTGAAATGATTGGATCTTACTTTTGACTTTTGGTTAACTCTTATAAATCTGATGATTTTCTTAGATCTAAATCTAAAACGCACAAAGATTCTATAGTTGTTCGGGCCTCCTACCTATATCTTTCCAAGAAAACCCATTCTTGATTTCCATTAAACCAGCTGTTTAGCAAAATAAATGGTGATTTCTTGGTTCAACTCTCGTAAAGTTTCTCTGTGTGAGACTCTCATAGAGTTTAGCTAATGGTAGAAATAGGGTTATACAAACATACTGAGTTCAATATAGAGAAACAATCTAAAAAAATGACTCGTTGTATATTTTTTGCATATATATCTCACAATTTGGTATGCACCATGAATGACCTTTGTTCCAATAGGATATTGAAAATTCGTTTTCATTGAGAACTTTCATGAAAGGGCAAAATCAAAGATATATTCCTCAAACAGAGGTGCCAACCAATGAAATGAAGGTCCTCTCATGAAGATAATCAATGATAGCTCAGGTTTTCTAAGGACAAGCTTCAAGAGTAGTCAAGCTGATTATTTAAGATCCTATTTTATATAACCAACTTACAAAATAGAAAAAAGAATGTTTCAAGAAGAAACTTGTGACCAATGACGTTGAAGTGACAAATGGATCTACTGTAAGGGATCAAAATGCTTCTTATGCTTTACAAATCCTTAATTCAATGACGGATAAAAAATACATTTGGTTTCTTTGCAAGCTTCTTGGATCAACAAAAACCAAAGGGTACTCTCCATGCATGCATAGAGTCATCTAGGGTACTTGTTACCTTTATAAAATGTTGATTTCAAAAGATTGACATATGATGTAATGTTAGGTGATGAATTTTTTTAATGGAAGACAATGTGGTGTCTTCAGATTGAGCATGTGGTTTGCATACCTTGTGAGTTCATGTAGTTAAGATAATCCTTATTGCTAACAATTCAATCCTTAATATGAGGATTTTAAATATAATTAAGTGGAATGGCATTTCAATAGAGCTGCAATAACAAGAAGATATACACACCATATTCCAAATCCTGTAATCACAAAAATATCTAATAATAACCTTTCCACTCAATTTTCTTCAGTATTTCATAACATGGGCATCATAGATATATGCACATCTGAACTATCTTGATATACCTCAAAGAGCTATTATGTTAACATGAAAAATGCTCACCAAGCCCATCTTCTCTCTCCCTCTCTAATGACCATGATACAAAACTCCCTTTCAACAAAAGAGCATAAATTAAAAAAACCCAATCCTCATTGGCAAGGTATCACTTTCCAAGCCTGAGATGGTGAAGGACTTGGCGAAATCCTCAAACAAGTAGGAACCACCTCTAGTATTAGGTTACATCCCAGAGGAGGAGAAAGCTTAAAACACAGACTCCTACTACCTGAAATCATCAACTTAGCAAAATGCAGGTATCCCTAGAACATAATACCCCAAGGTCAAGGATCAAGGAAGGGACTGTGTGCACCCAAAGAAAGACTGGAGAAATCCGGCTTCAGATTCACGACCCAATCCACTCCACTAACTGCAAAACGTTGTTACAAAAGGAGTAATGATATTTACACGGGAGACAGAGATCTGTACGAGGCCATCAGCCGGGCGGCAGAGCCTGGTGGGATGACCGGCAGCAACCAGCAGCAACCAGCAGCAACCAGCAGCAGGTACGTCGGCCCATCGACGGGCAGCACTGGCTGCTCATGCTGCCGCGGCAGGTCGTATTTATTCTTCTTCTGTTACACAAACCCACCCCAGCATGGGATCCATCACCTTCGCCGCACTCCTGCGTGCAGATGCTGCATCTGCTGGGCCTTGGCTATCCTGTCGGTATACATGGGGAGCTGAACGATCTCTCCTATCTCATTCAGCAGGACCTCCTCTGTGATGTTATCCTTTATGCTCTTCATCACCTGTTGATAGCAATGTGACTGTTTCAGTAAAACAGAGTACTGGGTAGGCAGGATGATCTTCGAGGGAGGGAGTAGACAGAAACCTTGGTGTAAGTGTTTATGTCGTTGGGTGTAGCTTTATCTGGCCTCGTGCGCATGCAGACCCAGCACTGCTCCTCTGGATTCCATGAGCACTCGATGATATTCCCCGAAAAGCTCGACACATCTTCCACATCTGCAAAGATGAACTGTTCCTCAAAATCTCTGTATACAATAATGTTCTGGTCATGTTCTCTGATCTCGTCGGCGACCAAGCTTAGTCGCCAATTCGGGCAAGAGAACCAGCCATGGGTTGAAGCTCACCGGTAAAAGATACTCGGGCACCGTCCATGAGCTTCTTCTTCCCCCTCTCGAAAAGAAAAAGCAAGTGGCGATCGTCACTCCCCACCTGATACCAGAGACGAGAAAAGTACTTTAAATAGATGGTATACAACATCAAATAATAATAATAAATCAGAAACTTACGCATAACGGGCCAGAATAGAACCAAGAACCTGGGTGAGTTTCTTCTCATCTTTCTCAAAAGGTAAATCTTTCCAGGATTTGTCTACTTTCAGAAAAGTTTTAAATTCTTTCGATTATAGGAAATGCCAAAGCTAGACATCTGGAGATAAGAAAGGTGGCGACGAACCTCAAATAGGAAGTCAACGGAGTTCATTTCAGGGTATTTCCACTTCAGAAGGCCTTCGTGTGTGCGCGGAACATACGGATCATCCCAGCCCTAGAACAACACAAGGAACAAGCAACATTAGTTCAACATGGAGTCTAAAACACATTCGACGTTCCATGGATAGCTTCATTTCACTTGGTTAAATCTAGTAATGAAAGCACTGCAGAAAGAGGACACCTTCAATCTAAACTACTTAATATGCTCATAAACAAAAAGAATGAAAGAGATAAACGATAGCCGAGTTATAGATACTCTTAAGATGACAACAGAAGAGACTATGATTATCAAGAAGAGTTTATTGATCTTTGCCCCTTGTCTATGACTTTAATTTATGAGGTTATCGATTACTCGCGTCAAGTTTTATATTACAGAACACAAAAGGAATTGTGCACCCACATCATGCCGTGTCAAATAATTGAAGTATCATTATAAGGCGAAAACATTTTAAAAAAGAACTAGAGTGTTCGACTCTAAAAAAGGTTATCATCAACATCAAGGTAACCAACATCCAACGTTCCGATGACATTTACGTGAAGAAAGAAAAAATCTTTCTCATTTGAAAGACTATCTAGATTACTTTTGGTAAAACTTATAAAAGAAGCCAAAGTGAATTATGTGACTCTTTTACTCAGAGATATATATATATATATATGTTTAATGCCTTAATGAAGACATCAATGCACTACTGATCAAGAAATTCACATTCCTTGCGGATTGATATTAACAGAACTACACTTGTAGATTAACTGCAATAGATTGAATTCAAAGATAGAGTAAGAAATATCGTCATTCATGTGAGTTTATTGATATTCTACTCGTGTACAATTTTTCATGAAAAAATTAATAATATATTTAAAATAACGTATTTCAAATGAAGTTTTATTAAATACCACTTTGAAGATAATGATCAAGGAAACAAACAGACAAACCAAGACACTAATGTAGTCAAGGAGAACTTTGCTGCTTCCTAATCATCAAATAGTTCCAAAATCATGTTTTCCTAAATCAATTCCAATCTTGTTTTTTAAAAAACTTTCCCAGAATCACCAAGGAAATTTCTGTTGTCCATAAGAAGAAATTGATGAATACCACGTTCTCTGGCTATTTGATCTTTTCCCACACAAATTGCTCATCATGATGGCCCATCTGAAATGATGGAAGCTACACTAACATTTAGCACATGGTTCAGATGTGTAAGTTGGTTAATATTCACAGGAAGAGAACCTTTGAATCTTTGAGGACAACCCACTTATAAATGAAAAAACTACAAAATCAAAGCTAAAATAAAGAGGAATGATCTATTCTCTAAATGAAACATTTAATGAAGGGGTAGGGCCCCACAGAAGCCACTGCCAAGAAGAGCAAACGAGGGTTACAAGAATAGAGTTTCAGCTAGCAACGGTGAACCTGCTCTGATACAGGCTTAAATTTCAGTAGCAAAAAAAGACACACTGAACCCTAGATTGCAAGATAGAGAAATCTCTCAAACACCTCCTACCCAAGCAGGGATAAAAAATGTCGCATTCAATATAATTGTGTCGTTGGAGGCAGTCATTGGGCAATACATACACCCAAAAAATGAGTCGCAAACATGCAAGGGCCTCACTCTCAGGAGCTAACATTGCAATCTCCTAAAGCTACTAAAATGAAAATACAGATGAATCTCCGAGTTGCAACAAATTTGGTAAATATGTCACCCATCTATCTTTAAGGGCTACCAAAAACCACAACAAACAAAAAAAGAACCAGGAAATATGCATTTAACAATTTTACATGAAATCTGTATTTACTCTGCCGAGTGATACATTGATTCAATGACAGTTTAGCAGGGGCTATTCTTTTTTAACACAATACAAATTTTCAATTGAAAATATCTTGTTTCAAAATTAAAGCCGAACATTTTCTTCCCGAACCTACAAGCTTTGAAGGGGAAATCGAACAGCAACAATCTTCGAGGGGTCATATTTTAAGTTACAGTACAAAAACTATCTCTTTACAAATTAAGCCATCACCTGAAAGATCAGACCATCAGCATCATGAGACAAGGCTGGAATGAATTCTTTTAGAAGCTTGGTAACAGTAGATAGCAACCAAAAATCCTTCCTCCTAACCTGATAAATGTCGCAAATAAATAAAGAAAAATTAGAATACTGTAGTTTCCCGATAACTTCGTGATTAACAGCATTTTAATTCCCTAGAGAAAAATTAAAATGTATACTCGAAATGGCTCCAAGTCATATCTGTAGATAGGATTTTGCCGTCGATCAAAATTCCGTGGTTCAATTACTTCCTTTTCTAGTAGTTTCCATCTTTCTGAAAAAGGCCTCTGCAAAAGATTGTAATGCCTATCAAACTCACGAATATACAGGAGTCTCTAAAGTTTATAAATTATTACATCTGAATAAAGAGTCATAAATATGCACAAAAATAAACAAATGAATGAACATGAAATTATCAAGGAAACATCCAGCATGGAAAAAAGTAACGATATAACATAATTGAGTTAACATCATCACCTACAGAAGAAATCTACAACAACCAGTGTCAGCATACGACTGATCGAGAAAAAAAAGCATCTCCCGGGAGCTAACTTACCCCTAATCATTTGCCATGGTAATTACATGGAAATACTAATATGCTCCTAATGTAATTTAATGAGAAATACAAGATATATGCATGAGTTACTTTCCTCATATTTATTACGCATGCAGTTGAAACACACTACTTTCCTCTTGAATGAATAATTGTTATAACACCTGACAAGCCTCATCAGGGAAAGAAAGTTTTTTTTATCCATGATAATTTTTATTTAGAATACTCCATTGCGAGATTTACTGCATAAGCACAAAATGCGTACGATTACTAATGACTTTAACGATGGTTTGGAAAAAAACAATGGCTAAGCCAATTTGGCACTCCAAGTGAGACCCTGATCCGGGTCCTGTTTGTTTCAAATCATGTAATGATGTTGAAGTTGATTTCCTTATGAGAATCGAAATTGATTGAACACAGTGAACAGGATCAATTGAGTTCTGGGATTTGTTTTGTAGAAAATATAAATGAGATGTTGCCATCTCAAAAGTAATCATTGGCACTGTTACAATGTTAAAATTATCAGGCCATCCAATTTTAAAGCCATTTGGATACAAGAAGAGGAACCCCGTTAACTTAAACACGCCACTGTAAAACTATTCTACTACTACAAAATCATATCAAAACCACAAAGGCTGTCCAAAGCAATGGTAGGCGGATTATATACCATTTAGGTGTCTCACAACCAGTCCATTCTAAGCGAGGAAAACCCCAACATCAGCCTTCGAGATCGTTCTCCTCACCACTCCAAATGCAATGTCTTAATTAGAAATGCACATGATATTTATTGGGGAGATAATGCAATGATTTAAGCGTTAGTATATTGGCGAGGTAAGGAAGTACTGTGCCCCAATTCATAAGAAACCTTGAAGGCGAACAAGAAAATCCCAATGCTTGGCACCAACAAAATCCCGGCTGGCACAAATTAGTCACCAAACAAAACTTCAGCCCAAGGTTTCTTTTTATGAACATGGCAAGTGAAATCAAATATGCGCCACATCGTCGGCCTAGTTTTTGTGCATACAGTAATTTTCGAGACTGGCAAGCAGTGTTAGTTTATGGGCAATAAACAGCAGAAAATTTTTGCTTCATATATTTAACCCACTTTCTTCACAACGATATGTTTTGAGAACAGAGATTTCCTATAGTGGGGAACAAAATCTATGAAGACAAAAACAATTGAATGCCGCATGCAGTGTCATGAAAATCCAACCTCAACAACAGATTCTCCGTTAAGGGCCATTAAATCGTAAGCCAGATATCTTCTTTCCATCTTCCTTGTATTGGGAATAGTGTCGATGATCATCTCACCATCAATTAAAGTATAGTTGTGCACTCCCTTGGTGAAATAAACAAGATTAGTTACAACATAGAAGAAGGAAACAACTTGTTTCCTCATAAAATAAACAAGAATTACGCTACAGAACAGTCTAGAGCACCTACATCGACTCCACCCTTTGAAGGAAAGCGCAATTGCACTCTACGAAACTCAAACTTTCGATCAATTAAATAGCAACCGTGAGTAGTGATAAGCATCATGTATCGGGTCCCATCTGCTTTCCACGTGGCATAATAATACCGCTGTCTAAGCAGTTGAAGATTGTCCCTGGATAGTATAAAAATGAAGACAGGTATTCTAAAATTAAGAAGCAAACCCGCACAAAAAAAAAACAGGGTATAGAAATAATGTCGAGAAGCTCACTGAATCAAACACAAATAGCTTATTTATGGCAAGCACACAGATATTCTCAAAAAAGGTTGCAAACACCAAACCAGATGGTTAACAGACATTTAAAAAGCAACAGAGTGCTATGCAGTAAATTGACATGGAGCTGAGTCTTCATAATCACAAGAAAGGAAAAGATACTTTGAGAAAGAAATGCAGCAGCAGAGACGGGGATGGGGAAAAACAAGCATGGTGGATCTTCATGTGAATGATAAAAAACTTCCACAGCGAATGTCTGCTATAGCAGATAATAAATGATAAAAAAGCATATTACATGTCAGAAAAAGACATAATACCCACGACAGGGCCAAAGAAACAAATGAAAAAAAGATTGAATCACACCAGTTGTCGCAAAAAGTCACAATAATATAAACAAGCTAATAGAGAATATATTAATCAGAAGCTTGGTACACGTGCTAATGTGTTTTTCACCTTTCAATGTATCCCAAAAATAAAGATTATCTGCCTAGGTGCATATAAACATTGGCAATAAGATATTTTTATAGATCAAATATTTCTGATAACAGAGAATATAAATAAACACAGAAAATGGATGAAAATTTTGAACATGAAATGCAAAGCAATAACCTGTTCAAAGACACAGGATGTGATCCTGGAAACTGCAGCCTGCCCCTACCCTGAAAAGAAAATAAGAAATCATATGAAATGTCCAAAAAGCAAGACTTTTCTATAATTCTGAATATATGTCTACAAAACGTCATGAACAGCCAATGTGATATTACCCATGAATTAAGTTAAAATGGTTTATACCAGTTACGGTATCAGAAACCATTAGGTCATCACTATTCTGTTAAACAAGGGAGGAATTCAAGCATTTCTTATCGGATCATCTTTCTTAAAAGGAAATGATATGGACAAGCTAAATGAATAAGGTGAATTATTATAAGATGCAAATTTTGACTCAATAAAAGAATAGTGCTTTTCGGTTATAATTCACGTAAATAAGATTAGCATTATCATTAAACAGGGTAAAGATTCAATTTGCAAGTAATGATCAACTTCTTACTTCCTATCAAATTCGTCATGCCTGCAAGTTTCCACTGACAGAACAGCTGCAAGACTCAAAAAAGCAAGCATCTCTCACCTAACACTGCGTTCCCATTTCCTTTTCTTGTTTCCATTTTCTTTCTTATCATGTGCTTCTATTTTTTTCCTTGATTTCTCCCTTTCGACCACTAAATCCCTGCTTTTTACCGTTTATGTTCAAAATTTTATTTTATCATTCATTCAGACTATGTTGGCATCTGCTGACCATAAAAAAACCTCATCTCCAAGTTGATAATCTCCTGAATCATAGTCCAATTTCCAATTTTCAATTTCGCATTTTTTTTAAGGTGAAACTCAAAAACTAAAAAATATAGAAAAGATATAAACGTAAATGAAAGGAGAAGGACCCAAAGTTACAAAGCATCGATACCATTGGAGCAAGCCTAAGTTGATGACAACAAAACTGTTGAAAACCGTCTCTCTGATCTGGAGGTATCGAATCGCCCAAAACATCATCATTCTTCATAGCTTCATTTTCAATATGTTCCTCGTGCTGTGGACGAAAGTAAATAATGACATAAAAATTAGAATAAGATAGTCATTATTATTAACGTCATGCAGAAACAATGGAATCAAACTCTTCATTCAGCATGAAATAATAATATCTCTAACTCTACAAGTTGAGAGAGCAATTCAGGTCGAACATATCCGCCCGATGGAACATCACTATACATGATTTTTGAAGTCATGCAGAGGATAATGTAGCAAAGCACAGATCACAGAATGTGAATCTACAAATATATGGTGGTCAACGTAACAAGGAACCCATCCTTGGGATTACAACACTTGCATTCCATATCTTCGAATTAGCCTTCACAATTTTATTTACTGACTAAACACATTCTCCGTAAGTACGGAAGGATAGAGAAGCAAGTGATGGAAGCAATCGAAAAAACAAAGACACGAGCTTGCAGTATAGTATTCTCAATTACTGTTTGATAATACTAGATGATCTCACTCAGTTTGATGCGTCACTTTAACAAGTGATGGTGCAAATTGAAAAGTAATGAAATGTTAGAATGTTTGAAGTTGTTTGTTCAAAGAATTGCAATCGGGATAACTTTTTTATCTAATTCTCACTCAAACATCCATAACACTCAGAAATCTGAGGGAAAAACCTGATTATGAGATAATATTTTACATATTTAAAGTATGAAAAGTGAGTAGGATACTAAAAAAACCTTAACAGAACTACAGTATAAATTTTAGTATGATAACACTCCTCATCCACAACCACAATTTACGTCCAGCGGGAATGGAACCAGAGAAGAATCATGCAATCGAAATGGACAACATCAACTTTTATGTTTTTTCCCCCTTCTGACAAGGCTCATTCCCCTTTCCTATCTTGTCCACATCTTCCTCTTTTCCCTTCCCTATTTTTCTTCCTCAGCGATTAGCCAAAAAAGTGTTACACTATCGTCTACCTCTGGTAGGAGCATTGGTGCCAGACACTGAGTATAATCCGCTAGAAAACAGCTGGCCTCTCTACAGTTTACAAATTTCGCTCTATACTGTCCATAAATACAATGATATTGGCCCAATTGAAGGTTTTACTAAAAGTCTGCGGAAATATTTGCTGATCACAGCTCCAAATTCGAACACTTGTGGATTCAGATTGAAATGACCACATTCAGATCAGGGGGACAATTCTAATCAAAATTTAGACAACATCACACACACCTCAAACTTAAACACGAAGGAATCCAAGTCCTCGCATTGGTTCAATACATGGTAACCACAACGAGGGGCTGCCTACAACTAACCAGACCGTCCCCATTCACTAGGATTCTTCATCAACAGGGAGAATTTTCTAAATGATTGTGTATGGCCCAACATTAGGGTTCTTAATCCAAACTTCATTGCCTGAACGCCAGACCTGAGGAAATACTTTACCACCCATCAGCCCAGAGGTGATGGATATGGCATCAGAGGAAAAACTCTGCCAGTTCTGAAGCAAGTTACCAGAGAGCATCTACATCCAAGCTGAAAAGCATAGTCTTCATCTGCTATGTCAACAGAGGTCACCAATTGTCCTCAGGTCTGGCGTGCAATCAGATGGCTACCAATCTAAATTTTAAGCCACCAATTGTTCAAATTGCATTGTATCCCCAGCAAGAGACATAAGAACTCATGATCTTTGAATACCAGTTATGTAGAGGTTGATCATCTCTATGATCCATACTGAAGGTGGGATGCATAATCAATGAAAGCATTTCATTGTTGAAAGTCCTGTTGTGCAACATATCCACACATCACTTAAGCACTCACCAGTGCTGAGACAACTGCGCAACTAGGTAACACTCACACCTGATATTGTGTATGCTCCCACACAAGGATTCTAAACCTAAACTCATCCCCCAAAATATCTGATCATCCGTATGAAGAGGGTATCTCTGCCCAAGATACAACTGTAATGTACTAACGCTGAAAAAGTTGGTGGGTTCTAGCGTTCATCATTACTGCGAAAGACAAAAACTGTAATCTATGAATGAGTATTGGATGTCATATATGGTAGCTGATGGAGTTACCCTGATCGGAAGATGAAGACAATCAAAAGATGACTCGAAGCAGAATCCTCAGCTAAAAACTATTCCACAGCTAATAATAAAATACATTCTATCGAAGCGTGAAAAGCGATACTTGAAAAAACAAATATCATCAACTGCAAAGAAATAAAAAGTTAAAAGGCTCATAAAATTAGAGACATTCATAAATAGAAATTTCCAGCAAAAAATGGATACCGCCACCTGACATTATTGATCAATAACAGAAAACCAAATGACTGAACTTTTAAAAAAACATATGAGACCCGTTAGCAGTACATGGCCATAGAAGCAACAACCAAATATCAAACAACAAATAAGGGAGATTGGAATGTCATCATAAACACATACATGAGACACTGGAATAGCATTGCCATCATCATCTTCTTCTTGCATGGCTTCACCATTGAGATCAAGTTCAGAGGATCTTTTCCATTCGGGAGTGGAAGGACATACTAATGATTCAGGTTTCCTTTCATGATAAAGCTTATATAATTCATCAATGTAATCCAGCTTATAGATCCCAGGAGGCCTTGACAAGGCGAATGATTGTATTGCCTGTCCAAAACCGAACCAAAATAAACAGAGGGAACAAGATGTAGGTGAAATTAAATATCTAAAAAAATAATCAGTTATTGGTCATCTCAACAAAAGAATCGGAATTACAAACCTCAGTAACAGTCATCCCAGGGTGTGATCGCAGGAGGTAATTGATAATCATAAAACCAGTTCTATTATGCCCATGGGTACAATGAACGAGAACATATTTCTTCATTTGCTTCTGACGAGATATAAATTGCATCACCTGCAAAAAAATGGCAAGGGAAAATGTCACAACGTAAAATTGAAATTTAAAACCTCAACGAGAAAGTACAGATGTTGAAATTTAGCACCAGCCAAAGAGTATCATTTTTCCCCTTTATCCTGTAGATATGCTTACCCTCTCAGTCAACATAACCCCCAAAGTCAAAGTTTATGCAGAGATTGGGAAGACCAGCGAATATTAAGAAATATTGTCCACCCTCATTAAAAGGTTCGTAGTTCACTCTCTTGCTATAATACTAATGATAATGACCCTCTGCCAGCAACTCTACAATAAAAAAAAATCAAATTTTGATTCTTAAATATGCTCGCCCCATCTAGAAGAAAAACCGGCAATCCATGAAAATTTAATGCAAATAAAGCGTGATAAGCCGAACCATCATTGGGCTTCTATTTTCAGCAACTCGTAGGAAATAGCACAAAAATGGTAAGTTGAATAAATAACACACAATTTCAACGACAACATCTGACTTTCAGCAAATCAACTTAAATTCTAGGGCATTGGCATTCTGCTCGCATCATTATTGGTGCTCTTTGGATCAAGAAAGGCAAGAACCCCAAGACTAATGATGGTTACTTTGTTCCCTGAGCGTCACAGGAAAAAGCCTTCCATTCAAATCTAGACCAATCAGTCTGATTTCAAGGGAGGATCCAACTCCACTCGAAAAATTAAATTGAAATAAGAATAAAATATTATAACTGTTATTCAAATGCCCAAAAAGTAAGAAAACTAGGCATCAACTGGCCACCATTCCGAAATGTCTTAACAACAAACCCTAGAAGGGGCAACTGTATCTCCTTATCATAGGACATCTCAAGATACATAACAAATGCCAATGTCCTCTATGCTTAGTACATCCACACTATTCTGCTGCCGTGTTCAAAAAAAATTCTTTGAGCAAGTATAATGGTAAGAATAAAAAACCAAGCAAAAAGGACTACGTTAGATATGACTTTCAACCTCTACATCGATGAGTCCTGCCCAATATTAACAAGAAGTTCCAAGTAAACCATACATGCAGGATAAACACGCCTTCGACCCTAGGATCCAGTAAAAAAACAAAGATCCATCAACGTTCCAATACCCATTGCTAAACATTCCACCGCATGGGTTCAATATTTTGGATATTCTAGAAATGATCTCATCTATAGTGTACAAAAATCTGTGCATTAAAAAGTCAGCAAGGTCATCATTCTCATTTTCAAAGAGTGCGACTAAGATATCTAAAAAAAATGAAACAAGCATAAGTATGACTATATCCGCATTCTGATTTATAATACCATAAACACTATGCCACAAGGAAATAAAACAAAAGAAACCAACATAGGCATATCATTTGAAAACGTATCTGTGCACGTACCTCAAAAAAAAATCTGTTAACTAATTCATTATCAGGTACATCATCTCGGCCCTTGCAAGCAATCTAGACAGAAAAAAGAATTTCAAGTGTCAGCCCAGAAAAGATTAACATAACGAATTGTTGAATTATGATCAGTGGAGCAAAGCAAAGCAATATCTCACCTTAGAGTATTTAATACCTTGTTTCGTCCAATCTGATGATGGATAATACCGAGATGTATTTGTCAAGTCAACCACAAAACCGATCTGAAAAACAATTAAACGTAACTTTAACATAGAAACTTCTTGTACAACGAACTGTGTATCCTTCAACGTGATTTAAATAAGAGATAAGCTGAGATAACGTTCAGTCAAAAAATAGCCCCTCTTCTCTTGGATCCCCGTGGGTGGTACACACTATGCTTTTCCACAACATGGCATGAGTCCCTGGGTGCCAGGACTCAGCGGGTTGTCTTAGGGCTCGTATTTGATAAGAATGTGTTCACCCAAGGTCAAAACATGCCATATCTTTTTATCTTATAATAGTAGTTCATGTATTGATCTGACAGTAACGTTTTCCAACCACCAGGAACTAAGCAAAAAAAAATCAGTTACACCAGGTCATCGTACTTTCCCCATTGCAGCTACACAAAAGAAGGTATGAATCAGATACTCGGATAGCCATCTCAGAAAGCAACTAGACTGAAATCCAAGTCCATTGGATTAAATCATACAATCAGAGGCATCATTACCCATTGTCAACTAAGTTCACCCATCACTGTTATGAGCTCCCTAGTCCCCCACTCCCAATCGGTGGTAGCATGACTGGATGATCTTTGAAAAAAAATTACAAAAGTGAACCACTACAATGGAGAATATTAAGGCGCGGCGAGCCTCTCCAGAAGAAAGGACAAAGATTCATTGCAACACCCAGATGTAGTAACAGAAGAAGCTACTTCAGCAGAACTGACATCCTCCCCTAATCCTCACCAGTCAGGAAACCTAGCTCTAACTACTGAGAAGCAAGAGAGGGAAGTTTCACCCAAGGATGAAGTTGTCCAAAGACAAGCTAACGAAGGCAAGTAACTCCAAGTGCAGTGATGGGCAATGGAAGAATAAGAAGCAGCAGAAGCTCGCCATATGTTGTGGCCAAAACCCTCAAGGAGCCTAAAGCTGATCAATGCCCAAACCTCATTGAAATCCTAATTACAAAAGCAGTCAGACAGGAAAAATTAAGATGCAACAAAAGATCAAAACGCCAGCTCAAGCACCAGATAGTGACACCAGATCAGAGCAGCATTTTCAAGTCCAAACACAGAGATATGAATCAGCCAGAAGCAGCATGGAGGGAGGGCCCCTTACCAGCCGCTCTGCGGCCATCCCTGCCTTAACAAAGGCATAAGGCTCAATGCAACCCAAAAAAACAAGGTGGGCCCATCCAAGGGGAAGATTACAAGTTCTCTTGTGACAAAATTAACGGAGACTGAGTGGCCAATCATGGTTTTTTTTTCACTTTACTGGGCGTAGATTGCGGATCAATAATGTGAAAAGATGATGGTACAGAAACAACAATTATGATGCCCCCTTACCTTTTCTATGTGACTCACTGAGGCTTATAGTCCTTTGACTATCAAAGGACATTAAACATTTCTAAATGTCATCAGACACATGAACACAATAGCTCTAAAGGAACCCTAAATTTCCAGCAAAACTCGTATCCATGTACAGGCCTGAACTCCCAGAAAAAAAATCATGAGTCCAACTCCTTGTAGAACTCGTAACGAAGTACATACATAACCTTTATAGAGTTGAAGAAAGCCAGTCACTCATAATCTTCATCAAAATTCACCAAGCTGCCCCAAATCATAATTAATTTGGCATAAAACACAAAGTATGTGCATTGTCTGACACTCAGTACATGATTCTTTCTCAGACAATCAATTTCGGGAATAAATCATTAGGCCATGAGATTGCAATGCCGGGAAAGATCACAACATGGTACTTCATTGTCAGGTCAGGAAGTGCATTCTCATGTTTCACTAGCTTCTAAACAAAGAATATGGATTTGATATATTTCATTCATCAAAATATTTACCACTGTCACAGAGATGGGCAAACAAATAAAAATCACTGTCGTATTGAAATCAATAAAGCAATCACAAAAAGACAGTGATAAGTAATAAAGTTGGTTGACAAATGATCTGAGTCATCAGAGCTCATCCAATACACTTACTTCCCTCCCTGCCCTCCTATTTTGATGAATCACTTGTTTGGAAGAATATCTCCTGCCAGGTGGCACTAAATCATTAAACGATTCCCCCAGAGGAACTTTTGATGGAATCATAAAGTCTATGCAATGGCCAAACGAAGGGCAGTCTATCCAACCTGTAATAAACAAGACAAACCAATAAGGTCATCATTCTAACGTTATTGTAGGTAACATTGCAAAGGCGGCTAAAATTATCATGTGACTAAAGAACGATCAGATTCGACCAAAATTGTACAAGAATCACCTCCATGTTATTATAAAAAACTCAAGTTTAAACATTCATCACATCTAACAAAAAGGTCATAGCAAATAGCTGCTTTTGAATATTAATAATTGATCTATGCGCATCACTCGTTCTACAAATAAATTCATGATTGATAATGTAAATTAAAAACTTGCCTTCGAGATAAATGTAATACCTAACTAAAGGCGAGATAATTACTTTCCCAAAAATTACTATAATTTTATGTAAAGACCGAATTTAGTCATTGACACAAAGGCTACCCTGTGCCCAAAGATATTAGGAAGCAGGATGTGCTTTTGCCAACAATCTTGTGGACTATTGGAGTGAGATGAGCAATAGCATATTCCAACATTAAAAAAGAACATGAACAAAATTATAATATATGTGGACCGACGACCCAATGGAAGAGAGCTCAGTAAGTATCATGTATGTGAAGAGTAGTGTGTGCTACTCCCCTTGTTCATACCTAGAAAAGTTAATGAAGAATCAACTTTTTAAAGAAACTTCGAGTTACATTTTCTTTTTCGAAAGTGACACTTTAGTTATAGATTAGATGGTATCCGTCGTGATACTAGATCAATTTAATATTAGTTGTACTATTTTTTCTAAGATGTTAAAAATTATGAGAATATTGGCATCCTAATATGAAAGAATTTAGAAAAACACACTGAGGCTACGTCTTTACTTTTCTCTAACCAATTGTGGCATGGATAAATGGATTCACCATGTGTATACCCCATAATTACAATTTGCACCAAATCTGAACTAAGTAATTTCTAACCAGAAGCTTCAAAATCCAGAAGCAAGTCCAATACCATATAGAACTCATTTGGTAAAAGATAGATCAAAAAATCATCACAAAAAAGACCACATAATGAACCCAATCTGAATGACAACAATATATAACACCCGCACCATCAGGAAGCCGTCTTTTATCATGATGCCCTGAGTTCCAAGGTGGGGGCGTATAATGATTCAAATTTGGCCGTACAGCTCGAGCTGGGACCTCATTTGTGTTTTCTCCTTGCCGCCGGCGTTTTCTTTCCTCACGTTCCTAACTCATGTTGCAAAAAAAAAAAGGAAAACTAAGGTTGAGAAAAAAAGCAAGATAACAGAAACACAACCACGACCAAATTAAATACCACGAAATACTAAATCAGTTACAAGTGAATAAAATAGGAAACGTTTCGAATCAAAATGAGCATCCCAGAGCAACAGAACTTTTGCCACAATATTGTATAATCGTAGTATCATTTATTTATTTTAAAAATTCATATTTTATGGCAACGAGGAATACTTTTCTTTCCCTTTCACCAAATGGTAGGACCAAAAGATCAACAAATAAAGAACGAAAATATGTACAGGTGTGTAACATACAGGCTGCTGAAAACCCCTCTACACATTAGTTACGTCCTCCCCCAAGATGGTTTAAGCTCTATTACTAAATCAACCTTCCCACAGAACAGGCATTTCCTTGAGATAAAAAAACCCTTACCCACTGTTCAATCTTTTGATTCCCCTAATTAAAGAAAAATGTCAGATGGTCTGCTTTCTCTTTCAAAAATATGCTTTAGTTTTTCCATCCAAATAATCTACAGAGTTGCACCGACCCAGCACAGCTAGAAATCTCCATTCCATCAGTGGCACTCCTTCCATCTTAACCACAGCTTATTTAACTTGCTTTTGTGATGCCATTGAATACCCAGTGAGTGGAGTAAAGCTACAAAAGCATATTGGCACAATCCTACCAGATTTTTTATATCATAATCACCACAATGCGGTAATATTTTCAAGCTTATAACTCAGCTAGCTCAAGAATTTAAAACAGAGACCATGAAAAAAAAAATCTTGAAATATCAGAATAAGAAACCTCATCAGACAGTAGTGAATGCCGAGGCAAACCCATCAGAATAAGAAAGAGAAATGTACCCTGCGGAAAGTCTGTACAGCCGTCTCTATGCGTTCTTCCACTGGAGTATTACCCCCAATGTGCTCATAATCTTCTTCCTCCTCGGGCAGTGGAGATGCATTTAAGTCCATTGAAATTATCATTCAAATTTGCACCTGAACATAAAAAGTCGCGCCATTAGAAGAAGTGATGCGAGACTAAAAGCATCCAGTCACCATTCAAGTTATCATCATAGATAACAATTTAAGGTACAATGTAAAGTAAACTTTTGCAGTATTAATAGTACATTTTTTCCAAAAAAAATAATCCACAGAGGTATCGTAAAGTATCCACTCAAGGAGAAACCATATATAGCCCTCATTGCAGGGATGCATTGATGAGTGAATGATTGAGTCATAGCAGTCTAGCCACAGTACAATATGACAGGCCTCAATTATCGGTTATTCTTGATGCAGGAAAGAAGAGAAAATCCGTAAATAAAAGTTGTCTGATCGTTGTTTCTGAGTTCCATCCAATGACAGTGTCGAAGGGGATTCAATCACTACTGACACGCCAATAAATTTTCAGTCACCAAAATATTAAACAACTTCTAAGCCACTAACCAGCAGGACTAAGGTGCTTCTTACGATTCAGTGACTTCTGAAGTTTCCAGAACCCAGCAGGCCAAACCTTCCTGGTTTTTTCTGAACTAGTAATTCCATGGGGTTTCATGAACTTCTAGAGTCGCCAAATTGTCCGAGTTTTACAGTAGTCAGCCTCACGAAATGGCTGCTGACTTCAAAAGTCAGCTCTCCATTCCCATCACCAGAAATACAGACAATACCCACCATAGTGGGCTATGCAGCTCCCAATGGCAGAGACCAAGTGCTAGGCGCAAAAGAAAAAAACTCTGGTGTTAAATCACTAGAAATACTAAACCAATTAAAATGTGAAAAAAAACTGCAATGTTGCAAACCCTAAGAGTTTCAGTTTCCCCATTGACGTTCTTTATGCTTGTTGCATCATTGTTCCCGTGGGTAGGCAGAGCCCTAACTTCAAAAATTCTTTGCATGGTACAACGAAACAGCTACAATCAGGGGCAGCAGCATTTATGTTGGCAGAGGGAACCACCATGCAACACCCAGGCTACGGTGAATCGCATCCACCGCCCGGGTTCACCTTCGTCTTCAGCCTTCCTCAGTTCTTCCTCAGTCTCCTAGTACCCGTTACTCTTCCTCCTCTCTGGCTTACAAGGCAGCTCCTCAATTGATTTCCTATAATGAGATATCTCTGCCAAGCGAATAATCCACCTTCCATGATAATTGGTCGACGGTCATGTTTTGGGGGGGAAAGTTACTCGAAATATCGGTCGTTTATTTCTTCCCATCTTCACACCACTCAGACCACACCCAATGACAGAGTTCTCGCAATGCTTCTCGGCCAATGCACTGGAGAACTAAAGAAAGCGAGAAGAAATATTTTCACTCTCTCCCCCAAAGGATATAACGCTCGAAGAACGATGGGAATTATCTGCCGAAGGTACTTCAATTTTGAGATGGCATCATCATGTAATTCACCGTAGTATGACAACAAATACGTCAGCTCTACCCACAAGTGTTCATTGTCATCAGACGAGCTGCCGTCTACGAGAACTTCGATGGAATCTAAATTCACGCTCGCAAACTCAAATTTACCTCGAAAACGGGGTCTCGGGAAGCAACGAACTGGCCTCGAGGTCGCCGGGGCGAACACCGGAGGAGGTCCTCAGCTTCCAGGGCGCGAAAGGGGACGGAACAACGGGGAGGTCGCCGGAGCCCTGGCAGCCGCCGGATCACCGGGGCAACTGCCGGAGGGAAAGGTGACGGCCACCTACGTGGAGATCCCAACGTGAGCAGGAGGCTTCGGGGCCAAAGGAGGGCTCGCGAGGCGACGGGGAAAAACCTGGAGACCTCCGAAACGCAACGTCCCCAAAACTAGGGTTTGGTCGGTTCCAAAGTTCTGGCGAAGGGGAGTTGGGCGGGCAGAGCACGGCGGGGGATTGGCTGCGAAAGTTGGTGGGCCACCACCCAGCGGCCCAAATTGTATCTAGAAATCGGCCTAATAATGGATTATATGGGCCCCTAAGGCCCATTATAAACCCAATTATCTAACACACGAAACCTCTCTCCCTCGGACCCAAAAATAGAAAACCCCGGAAATAGAACACGGCCATTCCTCTCCCATGCGGTTTCAGCCCATTATGGCACATCTACATGCACGCGCCTCCTCTCTCTCTGTCTCTCTCTGTCTCTCGCTTGCTCTCTCTCAGGAGGACGCCATTGACGTACGCCCTGAGAGCTCCGTGGTGTTTAAAAGGGACGAGGGGGAGGGGGGTTAGAGAGAGAGAGAGAGAGAACCTTCAGGTCATCTCCTTCCTCCGACAAGTTCACGTCTGATAACCCGCCCGTGAGTGAGGGAAGAGGGCCCTCCGAAGATGAGCTCCTCATGCAGGAAGAAGTTCGCCGCCATCGGGGTGGCGGCGGTGGTGGTCGTCGCTGTCGTCGCCGTCGTCGCCGTCACCGTCACCCACCGTGGAGGGACGTCATCTTCCTCCCTTGACTCTGAAATGGAGGTCTCGCAGACGGTGAAGGCTATCCAGTCTATCTGCCAGCCCACCGACTACAAGGAGGCCTGCGTCAACACCCTCACCGCCGCCGCCGGGGCAAACGTCACCGACCCCGCTGACCTCGTGAAGCTCACCTTCACGGTGGCGATCGAGCACGTCAAACAGGTGTTCAACCAGTCGGCGCTGCTGAAGGAGGCAGCGGCGGACCCGAGGACGAAGCACGCGCTGGAGAACTGCGAGGAGCTGCTGGAGTACGCCGTCGACGACCTGAAGAACTCCGCCGCCCAGCTGGGGGCCGTTGACCTTTCGAAGATGAACAAGGTGGTGGAGGATCTCAAGGTCTGGCTGAGCGCTGCCATCACCTACCAGGAGACCTGCCTGGACGGGTTCGAGAACGCCACCGGCGACGCGGGGGCCGCCATGCGCAAGGCCATGAACGCCTCCATGGCGCTGACCCAGAACACCCTCGCCATCGTCAACGACGTCTCCTCCGTCTTCACCTCCTTCCAAATCCCCTCCTTCACCCGCCGCCTCCTCTCCTCCGACGACCAAGAACCAGAAGACGACCAGCAGCCGCGGTGGGTGGACGCGGGGCGGCGGCGGCTGCTGGCGCTGGAGGCGGCGGAGTTGTCCGCCGACATCGTGGTGGCCAAGGACGGCAGCGGCAACTTCACCACCATCAACGAGGCCCTCGCCGCCGTGCCCAAGAAGAAAAACACCACCACCGTCATGTACATCAAGGAGGGCTCCTACGAAGAAAACGTCCAGGTCAACCGCAGCCTCACCAACCTCATGATGATCGGCGACGGTCCCACGAAGACCAAGATCACCGGCGCCCTCAACTTCGTCGACGGCACCCCCACCTTCAAGACCGCCACCTTCGGTAATCTAATCCTCCTCCCTCCTCCCACAAGCAAGTTCCCAACGTGAACTCTGTACTTCCATGGCGCAGCGGTGATCGGCGACGGATTCATCGCCAAGAACATGGGGTTCGAGAACACGGCGGGGGCGGCGAAGCACCAGGCGGTGGCGCTGAGGGTGCAGTCGGACATGTCCATCTTCTACAACTGCCAGATGGACGGGTACCAGGACACGCTGTACGCGCACACGAAGCGGCAGTTCTACAGGGACTGCACCATCTCCGGCACCATCGACTTCGTGTTCGGCAACTCGGCGGTGGTGTTCCAGAACTGCCTGCTGCTGGTGAGGAGGCCGCTGGAGAACCAGCAGAACATCGTGACGGCGCAGGGGAGGAAGGACCGCCGGGAGCCGACGGGGATCGTGCTGCAGAACTGCACCATCGCCGCCGACGAGGAGTATTTTCCGGTGAGGAGGAGGCTGAGGTCGTATCTGGGGAGGCCGTGGAAGGAGTACTCGAGGACACTGGTGATGCAGTCGCAGATCGACGACCTGATAGATCCGCAGGGGTGGCTGCCGTGGATGGGGGACTTCGCGCTGAGCACCTGCTTCTACTCGGAGTTTGAGAACAGGGGGCCCGGGGCGGTGACGACGCAGAGGGCGACGTGGAGAGGAGTGAAGAAGACGAGCCACGAGCGCGCGGTCAAGTTCACAGCGGAGATATTCATCCAGGGGAACCGCTGGATCAAACCCTCCGGGGTGCCCTACTTCCCCGGCCTGCTCCCCGCCCCCGCCGGCCTGGAGCCGGCTCCTCCGGCCCATTCGCCGACTTCATCTCCCTCTCTCTGATCTGATGCATCTCTCTCTCTCTCTCTCTCTCTCTCTCTCTCTCTCTCTATCGAACGAGCACCGTGTGCCACATTTCATTTGATCACCCATGAATTCACCTCAATCATTAAGAGATTGATATTGTGGGCGTTTCTGCCGGATGGCCCAATAAGAAAAAGTCAAACTTTATTAAAAAAACAGAAAAAAAAACGATTGCACATTGGTGGAGGAGACAGAAGGGGCATGTAAACAGGGAACATTAGAAGAATATATATGATTTCCTAGATTAGTGAAATGATCCCTTCATGCTGGTGGTCTTTCATAAATAAAGATGAGGGGAAGTCTGTCTGTCAAGTCTTGCATCACCTCGAAAGGAAGACGAGAAGAGAAAAATGGGGCAAAAACGACGAGAACAAGTAAAGATCCTTCTTCAACAACTAAACACCGATTCAACTCAACTAGAAGCAACCTGGAGATGCTCGCGACCTGGAGCGGCTCAAACTCTGAAGCCCCTGCTGTTCCTTCGCCCTCTGGCCTTCTCGAACTTCCTCCCCTTGGCACGCACGTAAGGCTTGGTGTGGCTGTGCGGGACACCGGGGGCCTTCCCAAAGTGCTTCACGGCCTCCCTGGCGTTCTTAGGCCCCCTGAGCAGAACCTGTGGGAAGAAGAAATGACACAGATTAAGAGTGAAAAAAGACTACTGTCAGGTGAAATGAGAGAGAATTTAAGCTATCAGGAAACAAACAGCAAGATGACGTTCGGGGTTTTCACGTCATGAGGGTTATAATACACACAGGAAGTCCATTACTATTCATTGCTCCCACCATGTGGGATAGCTATTATTGCCGTTCTTATTTTTATTGAACAGCTGAATATGCATGCCACTGTTAGCTCGAGCTGATGCCCACAAATGCTGCACATCACACCATCAACAAGAAGTATAATCAACTGAAGTCACGTCATGTAGGAGAATGTTGTGTGTTGGAATGGAATACATGACAATTCAATCACCCGATTGCCTCTGCGGCATCAGTAGAAGTGAAACATCATGGATTTCCAGTTGGGTCTCAACCGAACAGATGCGCAAAATTATTTTTTAAAAACTGAACTCGGAATATCTACCGAACATAAGCTCAGATATTGTATTTGAATCCATTCCTAGGTCTTCCACGAAGGAGGCCCTCATAATGAGCTGGGATTACAATTATATCATCAGAGCAGTAGAGGAGTGCGCCTAAAGAATCAGCGCCTTCAGCCCCCAAAAAAAAAAAAAATCAAAACATTGGAGTTATGGTACACTGTATGGACAGGTTCAGTTTCTCCGGAATTTTCGAAATATGCTTCCAAATACTTGAGGAATCGATGAAAAAAGACAAACAGCTATAGAAAGATACTCTGACCCACTAAGCATAAACGGAAAAAAGTCCATGTTTGCTTGCAGCTTTAGAAGGCTAGTGCACATGGATATTGAACAACAAAGCCCTGAAAAAGAAAAATATTGGACAGAACTCTCGGAAAAACCGCTCGAACACTCAGAATATCAACATGAGCAGCAGATATCAATCGTTGATCGACGGAAAGATATATTTTTCTCTCTCGAAACCATCCTATAAGGAGATCAACAAAAAAAATTCATCAGTAGTATTACTGCGAATCAGAGGAATAGGAATTCAGTACGAGTTCTGAAGCAAAACTTTTGACACATGCTCATTTCTCTGTCATGTCTGATCGATCTCATTGAATAAAAAAGTTTAAAAGATCAGGATCTAAGCTTCCGCCTTCTCAATTACAGTTCCCGGATGACTATGACAAGAGAAGTCGAATGACACAAACCACTAAATGATCTATAAAATATGAAGGCAATCGCATTTTCCGAACGAACTTCGAATTACAAATGTTATACCACCATTTTCAGTACAGAACAAAAAAGGGTAGTTAATCACGCGATTCAAAGTTTTGATGTAAAATTCTAAAATCCAAGGCCATCTAAAGAGAAATATATCAAATATAGTCTAATATTTTACGAGTGAGCCAATTTAGGGAGAGGATATGAGTTTCCTACCGTGCCCTGTCCCAGTGGTGCACGAAGAGCAAGCTGGTCAAACGTTAAGCACTCCCCTCCGGCTTTGAGGATCCTAGCTCTTGCTCGCTCTGTGAATCTCAGAGCAGTCACCTTCAGCGCAGGGACATCGTGCACCCTCAGATCATCAGTAACCGTTCCCACAATCACTGCAATCTTGTCCTCCTGGTACATGGAAAACGAAAATAACTATTTAACAGAGAGATAACGACTACGAAGGAATAGAAACTAATCAAGACAAAGTAAAATAGAAGATAAGAAAGGTAACGGTTAACCAGACCTTCCCCTTCATGAATTTGAGGAGCTTGGACAGAGAGATGGGCGGCTTGTTGATCTTACTCATGAACAGCCTCTTCAGAATGACTGCATTGAACTTGCTACCGGTCCTCCTCACCAGAAACCTATACAGCTGCACCCACAAGAGAAGATTTCAGCTCGAACGAGAAGACGGACTAAAACAAAGAACACGAGATATCACCGTGCGAGATAAAACTTGGATTTATGTTCAGATCTCGTCCAAACTGACCTTAACAAGGAGCTTGAGGTAAATATCATTCGACTTGGGCGCAGTGCGCTTGGTCTTCTTGCTCTTCCCACCGGCGACGAGATCAATACCCTGCAAAGACAAAAATGCAGAGGCGTGACCGGTTGCAGCCGATCACAAATACGAATCGAGGAACCTTCCGCTTCCCCGTGGCGGCTTGCAGAAGAACACAGAAGGAGGATGACGATACCATGGTCGCCCCTGTCGCCTCCGCCGGCTACCTCGACCGCTCTAGGGTTTTCACTCCGCTCCCAGGGAACCTAGCTAAGATAACGTGCGGATGATTATATAGGTGCCTCGAGGACTTCGGATCGCAATCCGGATGATGGCAATCGGGTTCATTTTTACTACCGGTTTCGGATCTAACCGTCCTTCGTAAACGATAATCTTTTTGTAATTTGCAGCATTAATTAAAATATAAAAAATGAGGAGAACTCAACGGCCCGGGCCCAAGCTTATTCGAGCCCGAATGTCCTACAGAAGGCCCACTAAACCCCTAGAAAGGAAAATGGGTGCTGTCAAATCAGAAACTCCTTTTCTACATAAACTTGAAAGATTTAAAGTTTAAATTTATCTTATTTTTTATTTTTTTGGAAATTCATTAGATTTAGCTGCAGTAGTAAAAAAGATGTCTTGATTTTATTTACTTTTTGCTGACAATGTTTTCTCAAAGGATAATATATTAGCATATTTTGCAAAATCTTGAGAGTGATATTGATTGAAGTCTCATTAATTCCTTGTAATCCAAGCATAGGTTTGAATCATAGGCTAAAATTTCTTAACTACATCTTTGTCAAAATAATTAACATCTATTTGATAAATATGAAAATTATATCATCAATAGAACTAGTTATTAACAATGTTCCTTGAATCAAGAAACTTTTTTATCTACTTATCTAATTTTTCAATTTTAATTGAATTGCACAACTTGATATTATGGATATTATTTACTAATCAAATGTAATAAACTATTGATCAAACAAAAAATTTCCCACTTTGCATCTCTCTCTATCATTTTCTTGTAGGTGTATATAGATCATCTCCCTTATGATGCCCACCTCCATTTTCAAATCCATTTGATTATGCAACTATCATTCCTCTCTCATCTCCTCCTCTTGCACAATCATCTATAATAGAGAAAGTATTGAAAGACTTTCATGATATCTCAATTTGAAAACACATTGGTTTTCTCAAAACTTACAGAAGCACCACACACCAATTTTATTGAGTCTGGATGGAGTAACAAATCAAGAAATATGTGGATGAGTACTCAACATGTCAACAAAATAAATCTTCTTCCTTATCATCAATTACTGCATCCTCTCTATATACTAGAGAATATTTTGGATTATATTCTCATAAATTTTATTAAAAGTTTTATTTGATCTAGTTGTTATGATGTTATATTAGTGTGGTTGTGGATTATCTAAGTAACACTTTTTCCCCTTTAAACACTCATTTATAATTATGGTTGACAAATTCACAAGAAAAATAATGTGCATGCAAAGAATTATAAAATATATTATCTCTTATTGTGACTCCATTCTCATGAGTTTATTCTAGTCATAATTATTCAAGCTTCAAGGCACCTCATCCTCAAATGCATGAGTAAATAGATGTAATCAACCTTTGTTTGGAAAATTATTTTTGATGTTTTTCCTCCAACAATCCAAAAATATAGTACAATTGGTTACATTGAGTGAATATTTGCTACAACATGCCTTACCACAACATCACTGAGACAATTTTTGTAAGATGTCATGAGGGAGAGATCTATTGCCATTATTGTGCTATGGATCACTATTGACTTCAATAATTGTATAAGGACAAAACACTAGACCTACTCAAACATTATCTCAATCGAGCTCAGAGTCAAATAAAGACAAAGGCAGATCAATCAACCTTTGTGGCATCCTTACAATTGCGGCCCAATATTGCCTTGACCTTCCCTCAACATCTTTACTTCATCCCATTGTTTATATATTTTAATTATGTAAAGCCTTGAGACTAAAAGACCACAATCAACCTTTGCTTGAAGGCCTCAATAACAAACTTCATTTGAAGGTCCACCCCAAAGAACAATTAGATCTAGTTTGATCACCCACTTTGACATTCAAGATCGATGCTTGGAATTCTACCTTGAGGATAAGGTGCTCAATAGTCAAGAGAATATTGATACAACTTTGCCAATTATTTACTTCAAACAAAGGAGAAGACTTTGTAGTCAAAAGAAACAATATGCTTAAAAGGGTGGTAAGATGCTAATTACAAGATCTCTGTAAGAGAGTATTAGGGCTCAATTTAGGGAGAGAAGGGGAGACCTTTGGACAAGTATGAATTTAACGAAAAGTAAGAACTTAGTGGATTATTTCTTCTATTAATCACTCTATATTTTTGATCTCCTATATGCATTTGATTTGGAGTCGAATCATTATTAGACAATGCTCAAAATGAAGTTGTAGAATCTTCTTTCATGTCCATTCTCTAGTTTGATAAATGATCATATACGATGCAAACAAGGACAATTAATAAAATTTTCTTACAATATTTCCACTGTGCATGATCTTGATATTTTTTATTTTGTCAATAAATAGTATACTCCTACAGAGTATCATTTATTCATTTTATGAATTTATCATTTTACTCTTCCTTGATAAGTGAGAGGTGGGGTCTTTAATAGGTAGGCTTGATATGGAAGCCCATAACTTGTGTTTCTTGTCCACTTGAGTGGCAACCCAGCCATCTTATACAACTTTGTCCCATCTATAAAATCTCTTCTATCTTTTGTTCAGGTTTATAAGGGAAACTGGGCATCATAAGAAAATATTTGGAAATTTATAACAAATTTATATTGCTAAATTAGCTGTCATTCATAAGTCAAATACAAAAGAGTTCTCATTGGAAACTGATGGAGAAGTGATTCACTTGAATTTGTTTTGTAAAAGACAACAAAAAGGTTGTAGATAGAGGTTGTATGCCCACCTTCTAATAGATATGATGGTAGCCTGGTACCCTTGTTTTAAGGCCATGGCGTGCACTCATGGTCAATGAGAAGCAGCCCATTGATGACCTAAAACCTGAAAGTCGATCACTTCATCCACGTGGAAAGCATCATCAATGCTTGTTCATGGGTGAGGTGCACACCAACTAGGATGACCCACACAGGGCTTAGGCAAAGAGGCAGAGGGTGGGGGAGGGAGATAGATAGATACAGAGAGGGAGAGAGAGAGAGAGAGAGCGAGAGAGAGAGAGAGAGAGAGAGAGAGAGAGAGAGAAACTTGGAGGGAGGAGCCCAGAGGTGGCAATGAAGAAGTCTTGTCGTCTGGAATCATCAACCTACTCAACAGAAGTATTATTTCTCAGACACGGGAACCAGGATTACATCAGAGAGGAGGAACACGGGGAAGGAGGAGACAAACTAATTAAGGCTAAGGTTGCAACACGCCCAAAAAGCATGGGAGCAGCGAGATTTACAGTGCCACAGGTGTCTCCCTGGATGAGGCTTGCAGTAGAGAGGCACAGATATATCAAGCCAGAGAACTTCTCCCGGCCCTTGTCAGCCCGATTTAAACAGCAGGATGGCCTTCTGGTCCAAGTAGAAGTAGATGAAGTGATTTGTCTCGTGCGTCACATATGAGCCTGTCCCACATTACACAGAATAACTCAAATCACATGCTTTCGTTTAGCCTCAATATATTTAATGGCACACACATGTATGCATATTACAGATATATAGATATATAATATCGTCCTGGGATATTCAGTGTCATTAGCATAGTCACCATGCCAACTTCCCCCCGGGTGAGTCAGACTAAGTCCTACCTCAGTAGAATATTATGCATTTTCCTCTCAGATCCAAATCTCACCATCCAGAAAGTGTGGTTCCTCATACGCCCTTCGCTGGTTTCCAGAAGTACATCAAATCTTCCTAAAGCTCTTTCTCTCGTTTTCCAGTTGAATGGACACCACCACTGGAGAAGGCTACCACAGGCCCATAAGGCCAGTTCGTAAAGGTTCAGGAGTTATGTTTTCGAACAAATAATGCCATATGAGGACTATAATTGTACTATGTGCAGGGATAGGTGGAGAGAGAGGAAGCTTAGCTAGCGGGTTCTTCACACAAAAACTGCTTTTTATGTTGAACCTTGGGACGAAAAAGGCACTAAACAATGCATCATGTAAGTGAGACGATAATTAGTAAGAATGGACCAACATGTAGTACAAAATATGGATGGAACATGCATAGCACTGCAATTAGAAAGGAAAAAAACTGTGCGCCATCTCTTTATTTTTCAACAGAAAATGAATAGAATTTTTTTTTTACTCAAGCTCTTCTGGTAAAATGTCATTTCTTTTACAATAAGGGACTGATTTTCCCGGTTCTTGTTGAACATGGAGGACTGATGTGTTAAACTCATTTATGAGTCCTTAGGCAGCTATCCTCACCACAATATTCATCTGTTCCTGGCACAAAAAGAAGACTCTAACGAAACCTCCCACACCAGCACCTTTCTATTCAAGATGAAGAAGCCAGGACTCCATAGTCGAGACAGACTCCAAAGGGAAAAAAAATGTAAAAGATGCAAATAAAGCTTGTTTGGACTTCTATACACATCCCCGTAGTTGACTATGCAAGAAACGTTCAAATAAGGCAAACGAAAACTGGTACCATCATCAATTATTTTAAAGAAAAGGAACATATGGTCAAGGAAAGTCCGATGCACACCTGGATCTCTAGAAAAATGCATAAAAAAGCCCTTACGAAAATAGGCTACCTCTTCCTCAGTTATAACTTGAGTGCAGGAGACTAATTGCAATCAAGCTTGCACTAAATTTCTTAGAACTGAGTGCATTAATACGAGTTACACTCAATTTCTACAATAATTATAGGCACAATAATTACAATCATTAGAACTAGAACTCCAGTAGTGTAGATGGAAATATTTTGTAAATCGGATAAACAAAATCTGCATTATGAGACATATACATCTGTAACTATCGTAAATAATTCTCGCTCATCTGCTTCCCAGTCATACAGGTGAGGATTTTCTACGATAGTTTTCCAAAACACCAGATTACATGTAGATTATATTCTGCAAGTCCTACGGGTTTAAAAGAAGATAAAGAACAATATGAAGTTAAATCAACAGAGAAAATTCAACAGATAAAGAACAGTATGAAGATAAAACTCACACAGAAATTTCTAACAGAGAAATATAACAGAAAATAATTTTTTTCATGGGTTTTGAATCAAACACAACCAGTATAACGCCACAAGTCGCGATAGCATATATTCAGATGTAAGAATGTGCAAAAAAATATCACAAAGTCAGATGAAGTTGATAAATAAGGAGGCAGAGCACTAATCCAGGAAAGTTGAACGATAAACCAAACCAAACCAAACCAAACCCTAAAAGGACAGAAATTTTATAATTTACAGAATTCTACACGTCCAAAAAATCCACAGATCTAGCGCATACGGGTGAGAACAAAGCAGTCGCAAAAGAAATCCGACAAGATATGATGGTTAATAACTCAGTCTCCACATTCTTCTGGTCAGGAGAGAGCATGAAACAAACTCGAACCCAAAATTGTGGCAACCGTCGAATTTTCACAACGAAACATGAAGTTCAGCGCAGGGTAAAAGTAAACGCTACCAAAGTTGCGGCCGACAATGCAATGCCAGGTAGAACCATGATTCTTATCAAACTCCTTCTTGATGTACTCGGCAATGTCTTTCTCCACCCCGTGCTTCTCGAAAGCCTGTTCGATCCAGAGAGCAACATAGAAACATGTGACGAAGGGGATTACGTATTTGACACGTCGAGGAGACCGATAACCACGACGAATAGAGACAGCCGCGGCGAAAGCAGAGCAAGGAGAGTGTCAGTACGCCGACGGCGCAGTCAATGGCCTCCTTCTGCATGTCCTCCTTCATGTCGGCGCTCTTCACGATGATTCTCCTCTTGGAGTTCGCCGTCGTCGACGATGTGACCATCGAGGAACTCTCATCCAGCGACACCATCTGGAAGGCCGCCGACGGCGGCTCACCGCCACCGATGCCTCCTTTCCTCCTCTCCTCCGTCATCATCGCCGCTTCCTCTGATCTCTCCGGCAGCGGATGAAAGCTACCAGAAGTGGAGCTTTCTTCCCCCCTTCCAGATTTCCCCGCCTTTACCTTCACGGCTACCATAATACTACCGCCTGACCGAATGCATAATACATATCTGACCCTTTTGCATTCATGACACATTTTTCTGAGAAATTGTATAATTATCCAAAACCCCCCCGCCCAGCTACCCCTTATAAACGGAAGGTAAACTTTTTATACCAGTTTTTAAACAAAATCATATAACTCTCCCCCGCCCCCCCCCACCCTCCCTCCAGGGAAGGATTTTTTTTTGCCCAGAGTCGTTCGTTTGCCAAACGCATTCACTATCTTTCTTGAGTGGTCATATTTTTAAATAAGATTCAGAGGAGGGATATAAGCATAAAAAACCCACGCCGCCGATTCTTGTCACCACAGTTTTCTTTCGGCCAAGATTAAGTCAGCCGCTTTATACAGCTATTTTTCTCATAAAACCCTCTTAAATTTTAGAAACGCAGAAGAGCATTAAAAACTCACATATTTATATCCGCACCGTGAAACCTACGTCATCATACCCACGCAATATCTAAAAGTTTATGGCTAAAAGTTAATAATATTTTCACTTTGAACACCTCGACGTGAAAAACACCACCACAGCTCAGGTGATAGCGGCCCTACCACGTGGGGCTCCTCATTTCTTCACCCGCACCAGATCTACAATGATTATAATCGGGCCGTGGGCCGAGCCCGAACTCAGCTACCGTTCTGGGCTAGGATCCGGCCCGAAAAAGGCCAAGCCTCTGTATTTAATTTCACATAGAGATATCTAGCGAGCGAGAGAGAGAGAGATGAATATGAATGAAGTCTGGATGATTTGAGGGCGAAGAACAGACAGGCATCATACCTCAACAGCACAGTCATCAGGGGAATGCATGCAGACAAATACCCCAATGCTAAGAGTTCACTAGATCTCGGAGCTGGATCGGCCATGGCAGAGGGGACTCAGAGCAGTGCTCCGGTGCAAGCGGTGGCGGGTACGGCCTCGACCTTCTTCCTGGAGCTGTACTTCTTGGTGATGAACCTGGAGATGGATACCCAGAGAGAATTTCCGCGATTATGGAAATCTTCCAGCAGATGGCCCAGATATATTAATTTCCTCGAGAAGATCTAATCACCTGAAGAAGTCCCTCCAAAGCAGCTCGAACATCAGCCAATTCATCCCCCCCTTGTTGGGAGCAGAGGCAGCAGAGATTGTTCTAAGAAAATCGAGACAACAGAGATCAGGAGTAGAATCTGGGCATCCTTATTTGGCTGAATAAAAATTCGAATTCGGAGGCATTTCCCAGTTCTTGCGGAATGGGTACCTTGTGGCCGTCTTCTTCAGTTCGTCAAACATGAAGCGTGGGGAGAGGCAGCCCGTGGCTAGCCATGGGGAGATCTTGCAGGAAAAATTCGCACCATAAATGCTGTCCTGGTTGCCATCCTTGTTTCCCTTGTTTGGATGAGTCCGGAATTCAGCAGCGAACCGCTTGAGTTTCTCCAGCGCTTGGCTTTCGCCACCAATTAGAGATGCATTGCTGGCGGGCCTAATATCCTAATAATTCACCACGAGGGCATATGATCATTTTATCAGAGATTTGACTCTAATATGCGGGAAGTGTGAATCGTGAAGAGATGAGAATCGGGAATGGGTTTGAATAAAAAACAATTGTACCCTGAGCATGTTGATTCAAAAGGTAAATGTGCGTTCCAACTATAGCAAATAATTCACGGCCAAAGTCTAGAACTCGATCTCAGAGATTGTGTGGTTTTCCTCAGCACTAGTTTTAGATTTAGAGAAATTATTGACTCTAGGGATATGGTAATATGTAGAAGACAAAATGGTTTGAAGCAGGGACGGAGCTGGAAGCACTGAACAAAGCCACCAATCTCTGAGATGGAGGATTTCTTTGGGCTGCAAAACATTCTATCAAGAGGAAGCGGGTTTCAGTAGGAGAGCTATGGTGGCAAACGTAGATAATAAAAAAATTATCGACCTTCATTTCTCAGAAAACATTCTATCAAAATTGCGAATTAAAGACAAAAGAACCACAGAATATGAATCTGGGACTTGATACCCATTAAAGTCAAGCATGGGGCGTGCAAATCCATTGAAAATGCATCATAGTCGTCGCAAGTCAGAGGCTAGGACAGCAGGTCAAAAATAAGATTGCGTAATTCACCACAATAAGCATCTTATTTTTCAAACTAAGATTCATATATTGCACTGAAAACGATAATTGTGCTCTCTTTGTCGTGTATATGCAAGTTTGAATCATGCAATCAGTTTACTGCGTACGAAGATACCATTAAAACAGAATCATGGCCTGCTTGAGGTCCAGCAATAAGAATAAGGAGAGACCGATTCCCATCAAAGATATCATTCTTTCTAATGCGGATTCAACAGTTATTACCATGTATATGTGCATGAATTCTATGGAAGGAATAACAGTGGAAGCTCATGAAGAGTTATGGCTTTCGCATGGCCTGTGTTTGAAGCCCAATAATAACAACCACGACAAGTCTACAACACAAATTCTATACTCGGGTTTGGAATGGATAACAGTTGGCTGGAATTGGCTCCAGTGTCTCGTCACAGAAACAGAACTTCATCTCCAGCATTGTTGGGAAATTTTTCAGTGTATATTTAACCGGATTTAACTTCCTTCAATCTAAATGGTTGGACCAGCCCCACTATGGCACCATAGAAAACTTTGAGATACTAAAGTCTTAAAATCCATATCGTTCTAATATATCATAGTCGGAACCAGATCACAGCAATCATGGAAATTCCACGTTTTTAAAGATATATAAAAAAATAATACAATAGAGTTTCGATCAGAAGGTCAAATAAGAGAACTTCAACAAGGAAAAATGAGGCACCTGAGTCACTGCCGTCGGTGAAGTAAGGCCAAGGTCCATCAAGGTTGGAATATCCCCTGGTTCTACGTCCCCTTTTGCTGGGATTCCCTTGAGTTGATCCAGCGCCTCAATCGTCTTTCTCACCCCCAACCCCTGCACCTTCTCTCTGAAACCTCCATAGTTCGATGGCATCTGCTGCAGATCGAAAGGTAGGTCCTCGATGTGGTATAATGTGCTTCCCCAGAAGTACTTCACCTCCACGCCTTCCTCCTCCATTGCCTTTCCCACTCTCTCCTCCGTCCGTACCTCGTCATGGGACACTTCCTGGTGCGCGTATAGCGCATCCGCCCCCACCGCCCGCACCAGCTCCCCGAGCACTGTCTCAGGCCGCCCGATCCTCACGACGAGATCTGATCCACGAGCTTTCAGGTTGTTCCGGAGGTCGCGGACGGACTCCAGGAGGAAAGTGGCGCGGTAAGGACCCGTCTTATCGAAGCCAGAGGAGGATTTGCCGTAGTCCCGCGGGTCGAAGAGGTATACGGGGAGGACGGAGAGGGAATCGTTGCTGGCTGTGGTCAGGGCCTCGTTGTCATGGACTCGCAGATCATTACGGAACCAGACAACCGTGCAGCGGCGACCGCCCGCGGGGTTGGTGGGCTCACCCGGGCGGCGGGTGATGTGACGGAGGGGGTTCTGGAGGGGGAAGGCGGATATGGCGGCGGACCGGGAATTGCAGGACGGCCTCGAGGCAGCGGAGGAAGAAGAGGAGAGGGAGAGGTGGGAGATTGCGGAGATCTGAGACGGAATACTGACCTTGGAAGGGAGGGCCGCCACAGAAGGAGAGACCTTGGGGGCGGAGAGGATAGAGGAGAGGGAGAGAGAAATGGAGGCCACAGAGGGCCTCAACGCCGGCGACTGCGACAGTTCCTCCTCCGACGGCGCCGGCGACGCCTCCCCGTTCTCGCCGGCGGGGGTCAGCTGCGGAGGCGGTGGGAGGGTGGTGGGGTTGGTGGAGGCCATACTGCCGGCGAGCCTGGAGAGACTACCCGCTTCTGTTTGTGGCTGCTTTTGACGAGCAGATAGGGGGGGCAACTCTATGGCCCTTTCTCTTCTCTTTTCCATCAGAATTTTATAACAGCTTTATTCCTTTTACATTTATACCCAAAAACATCCATAAATTGTATGAAACCCAGTATAGTGTTTTAATACAAGTGCGCCATTTTTTGTAACTGGGTTCTTTCGTAGGTATTATTGGGCTTATCGGATCTGCTTTTCTTAATGGGCCAGTAGACGGTCGTGTCATAGACAAATAAGATCAGTTCAAAGGTGTATCGAAAGTTTAAAATATTAGAGGGATTTATTCAAAAATTGCCACTCTAGGTTGTGAGACCCGCATTTTTGCGGGCCCTCTCTGACCCAGTAAGCCTTATTGGGCTTATCAGGTCTGTTATCCTGATGGGTCATTTGAGCTCATCGGCTGTGGTTCGTTCATCCATTCACCAGTAGTCTCCGCAGGAGCACAGGCCGCAGGAGAAATGGTGGAACCTGCTGCAGTCTCTGACGACGATCTCCCGCTCGTAGAGCTCCGCCACAAGCTTGAAGGCGGCGTGGCAGTCGCCGCACATCCTAAGGTTCTTGACGACACGCAGCGGCGTACCGGGCTCCGTCTTGAGGAAGCAGAAGGCGAGGGCCAGCTTCTCGCTGTGCAGGGCCAGCGCCGCCTCCCTCCCTTCCTCGTCCAGGTCCAGCAGCGCTTCCCCCGTGTTGGCCACGTACCCCGCTTCCCTCAGCCTCCGCATCATCTCGCCTAGCATCCGGCGTATCTGGTCCGACTCCGGGTAGGCGTCGTCGCCTGCGGAGAACTCGTAGATGGTGCCGCCGAGCTCGACCAGGCTGCAGCCGGGGGGCTTCCTGACCCCCCTGGCCTCCATGAGGCCCCTCACCTGCCGCGCCGCTGGCCATCTCCCGAGCTTGGCGTAAAGATTGGAGAGAAGGACGTAGGCGCCGCTGTTGAGGGGCTCCAGGGCGATGAGCTTGGTGAGGGAGAACTCGCAGGTGCCGACGGCGCCGTGGAGGCTCGAGCCGCTCAGGAGGGCCCCCCAGATGAGCACATCGGGTTCCATGGGCATCGACTCGACGAGCTCCAGCGCGCGGCGCACCAGCCCGGCGCGGGCGTAGAGGTCGACCATGCAGCCGTAGTGCTGGATCGAGGGGGATATCCCGAAGTCCACGCTCATCCGGCGGAAGAGGGCCGCCCCCTGCTCGGCGCGGCCGGCGTGGGCGCACGCGCAGAGCACGCCTAGGAAGGTGACGCCGTTGGGGGTCACGCCGCGGGCGACCATCTGATCGAAGAGCGCGACGGATTCCCCCGTGCGGCCGTGCAGGGCGAGGCCGGCGATCATCGCGCTCCAGGCGGGGACGTCCCTGTCGCGGGCGTCCATGGCGTCGAACACCTGCGAGGCCCTCTCGATGCTGCCGCACTTGGCGTACATGTCAATCAGGCAGGTACCGAGGACGGCGTCCACCCGCATGCAGCGCCGGCGTATGAAGGCGTGCGCCCACTTGCCGTGCTCGAGCGCGCCGAGCCGCCCGCAGGCGGAGAGGACGGCGGACATGGTGAACTCGTTGGGGGCGGCACCGCACATCCCCTGCATCTCCCGGAACAGCTCCAGGGCTCTTCTATCGTCGCCGCACTTGGCGAGGCCGTCGATCATGCAGGTCCAGGAGACGACGTTCCGCTCGGGCATTTCCTCGAACAGCTGGGCGGCGGCCTCGATCGCGCCGCGCCGCAGATGGGCCTTGATGATGGAGTTCCAGGTGGGGAGGTCCGGGCGAGGGACCTCGCCGAAGAGCTTCTGGGCCTCCTCCAGGTCGCCGCAGGTGGAGTACATGTTGATGAGGGAGTTCTGGACAAAGGCGTCGGAGATGAATCCCGAGAGGAGGAGATGGCCGTGGAGGCGGCGGCCGGAGGGGAGGTGGGAGGGGGTGGAGAAGGACTGGAGGAGGAAGGGGAAGGTGTAGAGGTCTGGGGAGACGCTGTGGCGCCTCATGCGGATGTAGACGAGCAGGGCGGCGGCAGCGGTGGTGGCGGAAGTGCCGCCCGCCTTGATGAGGGTGTTCCAGACGAAGCAGTCGGGGGTCGGGTGGGAGAGGTTGAGAGAAGGGTGAGAGGATGAGATCAGCTTGACGGTACCTCGCATCTGGAGGCAAACAAGTTGGCCGGATCAGGTCTCTGAGCTCGTTGCTCGCTACGGAGAACATGAATCTCGAAAATTCGAAGAACCTGTAGCGGGAGCTAACTCTCTGCCTTGATGCTCTACCTGGCTGAAAACACAGAAAACCACTTGTACTTACTTGGTCAACGGATATTTTATACACCATATTTGGTAAACTATATATATATATATGTCATATTAGTTGGATAGTGCATTTTTAAAAAAGGAAATTACTTTTGTGTATAATCAATTGAATGTGTGCATACCTTCAACGTATTCATTTTGATGCCTAATATGTAAGTGACTTCACATTTTATATTGAAAAAAATGATACTTTTTATAGAAAACGTTATAATCGAAAAATCATTTGATATAGTTTCCTTCTGTAACTATGCAAAATGGTTTTCTTGGCACATCATTACATATACATTGAATGTTAGAATGGATATATTATGGATGTGATGTAGACTATAATATGTTGTATTATACTAATTCGAATGAGCACTCTAATGAAATGAAGAGAAGCTTAACAAATAGTGCTCACCTAATTATTTATAAGCATGCAACATTCTATTGAGAAATTCAACCTGTATCCCAGGAAAATATTTATACAATTATCGCAATATTCACATGTTGACTTTATTATTACAAATGGATATAATCTCACTGGTCAAAATTCGTTGTATTACCATTATTCACCGCTAACATTTCCATCCAGAATAACAATGTATTATGACTTTGTTTAGTCTTGGAATCCATCAGACATGCCACGCCATCTTGTCGTGAAGTTATGAAACCAATCTATCGGTGGAGTTAGAAGAACATGCATATTCGGCAACTTTATGATAGAAAAAATCACAATTTCAGATTTTCAAATTTATTACGAAGATTTAAGGATTACTCGATGTACCCAAGTTTCAAAAGTGCGTTTTGAAATTTCGTTTTGTCATTTTTCAATAAATTAGATCGTCCAAATAGCCGGGGGCAGGGAGTACGGCAGAGGAGTTGCATCCTTAAGAGACGAGGAGGAATGACCTCGAAGATGGCGTTGCCGTGCCGGCATTTATTTTACTTCCATGGTCGCTGAGATCCCCAAGCTCCCGTCATCGGCCTTCACTTCGCATTTCTGCAATGGTCTTTTGGCAGATTACGCTCGGAAATCGTGGATCTCCGCTGACGATCGGTGCATAGACTCGGCATACATGGCGGATCTTACTGGAATCCACCGCGCGGGGTGGCGACGAGGAGTGGCCCACCAGCGCCTCTGCGAATATGGCGGCGACGATCGACCGCCAGCTTCATGGCGAATGCGGCCGCGAGGACCAGGGGGAGATCTCTTCTCTGGTCCCCAGTCGGCGAGGGCCTCGGCGTCTATGGCGGATCTCCCCGGAGGGAGCTCACATTGCGCGGCGCCGGCGCCGGCCGCCTGGCTGATCAGGCGTCCCTCCGCCGGCCCCTCGCCGAGAGTTAAAGAGCCCCGCCCCGCGGGATCACTGTCTGGGGAGGTAATTAAATATCGAACTGTCGATGGATGACGTCTGAGCCGTGCGATCCTTTGTTCTTGGGATCTGTGAAAATGCGGCAACTACCTCCGCCACCGGCTTCTCGACCCTCCTCATCACTAACCACGCCCCCCCCCCCTCCCCCATCTTCTTCCCTTCCTCCCCACTCAACCTTCGGCGTAGTTACACTGCGGAGGAGTTGAGCATCTGATGTGTAGATGGCGGTGGAGTACCAGGAGGTGAGCTAGCTCCTCAATCTGATTCAATCAGTCCTCAGAACCTCCAATCGGTTTCGTGTTCACATGAATCCGGATTGATTGTGGGGCTGGGATTTGCAGGAGTATACCACGAACTCTAGAGGTGTGCAGCTTTTTACGTGCAGATGGTTACCTGTTTCCTCGCCTCTCAAGGCCCTCGTCTTCCTCTGCCATGGTTAGTAAGATCTCTCCGCATCCAGTCCTCCCTCTCCTTCACGTTGGAGAATCAACCGGAAGCTAGTTATTCTGGCCATTACTTTTATTCACTTGCTGATCTGTTTTCTCTCTCTTGTTCTCCAATTGCTTCTGGGATGCAGGATACGGGATGGAGTGCAGCGGCTTCATGAAAGGTATATACTACAAAACGCCTTCTCCGTACATCTTAATAAAGAAGGAGAAGCATCTGGGATTCTCCATGTTCTATGCATTGCAGCCATCGCCTGTGCCCTTCCGGATCTTTCCTCCCTCACATCCGCAAATTGGGTGTCTCAAACTTTTCGACATGAATGATCTCGCTTGTCGTGATATTCATTCAATACTGATCTGATTGAGTACACACCGAGTACAGATCATACTACTCTCGGCTCACTCTTGACTGGCTTTGATTCACAGAGTGCCAGGAAAGTTCAAATTATACGTCGAAGAAATTGTCAGACCACCAGCTCAAGTTGAATTCGATTTCACCACCGATACTTCCGAATTCATGCTCCATGGTAGAGATTTGGCCGGAAGCTTCCAGCTCTTGTCCCTCCTCTCCCAGGTCGTCTTCCTCCCCGCCGGTAGGCTCCTGATAGCAGGCACATAGTCGGATGATGGCGACGTGTGTGGTGAGAGATCCGTCCACATTCTCTGACTTCATCCCATCCTTATCCTCGTCACCGCTGCGTAGATGTGTGCGAATCGCCGGCGTGTGGATCACCTTCTCCATGGTCGTGCTTCTCTGGTAATCCGTCTGACCTAGCTCGGGATGACGGCATCCCCATCCACCCCTAGACCGTAATCAAAGCATTCTTCCGATTCAGAACGGAAAACCGCATTCACTCTTGATGCTCTCTTAGTGTCTTACGTCTTCGTCACTGTCAGCGCCGTCTAGAGTTGAACATCGGCAGTAATGGCGATGTTAGGTGAAATTCTTAAAGAAGAGCATAAAGTAATACGATCCTCAAATTTGCGTCCCCGGAAGTAATGGCGGCGATGGCCCCCCCACCGTCTTCACCATGGGTCCCAGGAACTTTCCCCCACCACCCCGAACAGCGATGTCTCACAATTCATGACTTGATGCTTCTGTACCTTTGATGGGGACGGCGATGAAGGCTGCGGGACGAGACTGGCGACGGCGGGCTACGCCGTGTACGGCGTCGACTACGAAGGGCACGGCAAGTCCGCCGGCGCGCGCTGTTACATCAGGAAATTCGACCACCTCGTCGCCGACTGCGATGCCTTCTTCAAGTCCGTCTGCGGTTGGTATCTCCCTTTCTGTATCTATCTCTGTGTTTTCTGGGCTTGTCGAGCTCTGTGATTCTGAAAGTGGCCGGCTGAAGATGGGCACCGGGAGAAGCGGAGGTTCCTGTACGGCGAGTCCATGGGAGGGGCGGTGGCGCTGCAGCTTCACCGTAGGGATCCCACCTTCTGGGACGGCGCCGTGCTCGTTGCCCCCATGTGTAAGGTGGGTATCAGCGTCCTCCTTTTTTTTCCCCCTTCCACGCCGCCGTCTTCTCCCTCACCCAGCGCGCCGCCGACGCAGATCTCGGAGAAGGTGAAGCCGCATCCGTTGGTGATCAGCCTCCTGACCCGCGTCGAGGAGATCATCCCCAAGTGGAAGATCGTCCCCACCAAGGACGTCATCGACTCCGCCTTCAAGGACCCCGTCAAGCGTGAAGAGGTAGAATTATCCCCTCCTTCCCTCTGGTAAACAGAGACTGGTTCTGACGCCATGGCCATTGGCGCCCAGATACGGAGCAACAAGCTCATCTACCAGGACAAGCCCCGGCTCAAGACGGCCCTGGAGCTGCTCCGCACCAGCATGGCCCTGGAACTCTGCCTCGGCGAGGTGCCCCGCTCTCTCTCTTGCTCTCGCTCGCTCGCTTGCTCGCTCTCCCGCCACCCTCGCCGGAAAGGCTCAGTTCGGTGCGGCCCCCTAGCAGGTGACGCTGCCGTTCTTCGTGCTGCACGGGGAGGCCGATACGGTGACAGACCCAGAGGTCAGCCGCGCGCTGTGCGAGAGGGCGGCGAGCTCGGACAAGACGATGAAGCTCTACCCGGGGATGTGGCACGGACTGACCTCCGGCGAGCCCGACGCCAACGTGAACGCCGTCTTCGCCGACATCGTCGACTGGCTCGACCGCCGCAGCGCCGTCCCGCGGCTTGCCGCCCCCTCCCCTGCTCCCCTCTCCGTCCATAAAGAGGTGGTCCCCCGCCACCGGTCCAGAAGGCGCGGCGGCGGCGCCGCAGCCCGGCTGCTGTGCCGCTTGAGCGGGCGGATGCACCATCACTCCGCCATTTAGCAGAACCAGCGCGTCAGACGAAGGGGACAGAACAGCTGTCGTGTAAATGTAAGGGAGCTCAATAATCTTATTATCTTCGAAAAACCGATAATATATCCCGCCGGAAAAAGCCATAAAAAATCGAATGTCCACGTGCCCATGCAAGTCATCACGTACTTGACCTTCTTTCCTCCCACACACACCCACACACACCCACACACAAATTCTTGACCTTCTTTCCTCCCATCCATTGTCACTTCATTTTTCCTCCAACTTATTGACATGTAACTGAGCTTATGAACCATATAACTAAGTCAATAATATAATTATGAATAGTTGGGCGAAGTGAGCCAAAGTGGGTTGATCTCAGCTGAGCCTATTCCAACATGATGGGGAGGAGCTAGATGGCATTAAGGCCTTGAAACAGATTTTCGAGCTCAGCCCGAGGCTTAGAAAGGGCAAAACAATTGACATTATAAGTACAAGATGGTATAATTGAATTTTCTTGCTCTTAAATTGTTCTAAGAAGTTTACAAAAGCCTATTGCCTATCACATGTCGATTTGGGGGCTAGACCAATCCTCTTATTGCTTAGGTGAGTTGGCATGCTAATTCTCGTGGGGTCGATCCCTTGATGGAACCTTGTGAAAGTAAATGCTAGTGGGTTCACTGTTTGATCTCTTAGTTAGAGGTTTTGATTGAAGTACTTTTCTATTTGATCATGTGGTGGTTGTGTTTAAGTTTGGCTAGTGAGAGTTCATCACTTTTGTCAGTGGGAGGGCTTATATCTTAGGTTTATTTTTTCTAATTTTACCACTGCTTTTGTTATGAGGTCTAGTGACTTGGAATTAACTATATTCATTTATTTATTTTTGAGAAAAAATGAAGTTTAAATTTTTTTATGCAATGAGTTGTCACATCTCACTCAAATATTGTTTGATGACTATACAAATCCCTTTAATGAAATATGCTTACATCATGTTGATATATGATTTAATAAAATTATTCAGTGACTTAACCGAAAAAAATATTTTATCTTTATATTTTTTTAGCTTGAAATGCCTTGCTTTGGACTATGGAGTTTTTTTCCATGAATAATAAGTGTTCCAATGATTCAGTTTTGAATGACCTTAGTTTGAATAATTTAATGTTAATAATTCTCCCATTGGCATTGGTTGAATTATGGCTCTAAAATTTTAATGGGCTAGAATATGTTTTACAAATTTCATGATCTTTCAATGCCTTGTAATTATGAATTCATGAAACTTCTTATTTACGGCCTAATGTTGTCTTATTTTGTAGTTTAGCTTGGTTTGTGTGGAGATTGCTAGAGCAAGAAATGAATGAAGAGGATCTAAAAGAATAGTTATAAATTGCTTAGAGTATGCTGATGAATTGCCATTACCCAACTACAACAATACTTTCCATTATCAGGGCTGGCCCATTGATGACCAAGTTACATTTTCTTCTTAGGGCTAATGTAGATAAAAAATAAATAATAATTATTATAGTAATAACTAAGCCCCCAATTGAGTGAGCACTATCTTGATAGTGAAAAGGATTAAAGTTGAAGCTACTCTTGATACTAATGTCATCAATATTGATAACACATCTTTTCTATGTTATAAGTAACACATAATTATTATATTTGTTACATTAATTAATACTTGATGTAGTAGTAATGTAAAATATAATAAGATCAAGGCTTGAATCCACATGAATCTTGAGGAATAAACTAGCTTTTGAATCTATAGAACCAAAGCCTTAAACCCTTGAATTCACAAAAGGGGGTACCTTGAATCCACAACATCAATGGGGAACCTTTGAGAGCACTTGAATCCACAAGTAGGAGGGTGAACCTCAAAGGAGAAAAAAAACTTATAATATCATCTTCAAGTTATAATGAGGCCTTTATATAGGCTTAAAAGGAGATGGGGCACTCCCAAAAGGAAGATCCAAAGTAGATTTTGGAGATAGACTTTTATTAACTCTAAAATTGAAGCTTTGACATATAGAGATTATGATCATATCCTAAGACATACTCTAACTAGCTCTAAATGACATGTAATATATTGACATATAGATACCTTGAATAGATCTAAAAGACATGTTTTGACTAGCCTTGAAATGATTTGAAATAGACTAACATACTCTGTTCTTGAATAGATCATGGGGACAGACTTTGATCAACATTTAAAATATCTTATAGAAGAAAATAAATAGAAAGTAAGTTTATAGAAAATAACTTTCCTAAAATAACTTTTTGTGACTTTATTGGGCCTAATAGTTAATTAGGTCCTCCGAATTCTAAAGTTGTTGGACTACTAATTTCAACCTCTTCTTCACTTTTTTAGTATAGAAGTACGTCAATCTCTGATACTTCAAAAGAGCACATCCTAGAGTCTTCATTTCAGGCATCTTAGTATTCGTAAATATCACTTAGATTGAAAGTATATGAAATTATATTTTTTTCTAGGAGCTCAATAAGATAGGCATTGTTGTTAAATTTCTATAACATTCTAAAGGGTCCATATTTCTTTGATTTGAGCTTGTAATAGGTGCATGTTGGGAAGCATTATTTCTGTAGGTAGACCATTATAAGATCACCAACTTGAAATATTTTCTTACTTCTCTTTTTATCTACCATCTTTATGTCCTTTTTACAATTTTTTGTAAGATTGTGCATGCCTCTTTCATGAATTTTCTTAATGACTTCTTCGTATTAATGTTGACAACTTCAATAGATCTAAAAGAAATTTTAGAAGAAAATAATATACTATTAAAAATAAAGATTTGTTAGTATAATAGTTAATTATTGGCTCCTTGTGAGACCCAACCCACTTGCCAAAAAGGTCATGGTTCACCTACTTACAACTGAATTTGCATCGAAGATGGTTCAAGAAGACCTAATAACTTAGAAGACTCTAGTTCAAGAAGACCTAATAACTTAGAAGACTCTAGTTCAAGAAGACCTAGCAGTCTAACAAACCCACTAACTCCAAAGAAGTATGAAAGCTATTCAAGACATTTAGAGGGTCCTACCATAGTGTATAAATAGACATGGAGAAGTGAGTTAGAAGCATGATGAAGTCAACAATTACCTCCATTCCTTTCTCTATTTCTTTTTCTTTCCAAACAAGGGCTCGAGCTTGATTTGAGAGCTTCCTATTCTTGTAATAGTCTCAAGATTTAGTAGAATCTTCTTTCATTTCTTCACTTCACGCTTGAAGATTATGAGGTCTTATCAAGTTGATATTAGATCATACAATGCCTCCAAATATTTGGAATAGGAGTTAGAAGAGTTCCAAATGAGCTCTTAACAAACGAACATTATACTATTAACATCTAATAGAAAAATATGGAGGAGGCTCTATCACATTCGATATATTCTAAAGAGGTGGCGATGTGTCTCCTGACAGATCGTCTTGTTCTTGATGATGACACATTCATCGATCAACTAGAGATGATTTTCTTGATGAATTTATGATTATTTTATCTATAATTATTGTTGATGAAATTTTTATTGATGATCAAGCATTTACGACGACTCAATCATTAGTCAACACTATGTAGGAAAATCATAGGGTTAAAATAGATAAAAACTATAAATTTTGGCCTTAGTGGGACTTAAACTTTTTGTTGGTTGCTTGGCTGTGTGAGATAAAATTATCAAAAGACCAAACTACCCTTAAAATAGTGAGCTCATGACCATGTTTCCTTTTAATACCTTAAGAATATTTTCGACATTATTTTGTCAATGTGTTCCGACTACATTTTAGTCCCACATCATTTTTTTTTAGATGTTCAAGATGAATATAACTTTGTACACCCTTCTCTCTCTAAGTTCCCTCTCTCAAAAAAAAGTAGACAAGATCACTTAAGAGAGGGCTAAGTCAAATGGCCTGCTCCCACATACACATATGTACAAACACTCATTACCCCACACTTGGTTGACCCCTAGTGATATGAAAAGGGAGTGACGCACACGTGCTATGTGTGGGTCCTTAGCCACCCAATCTCCTAGCTTGTGGCTTGCCTAATCCTATGTGTGGTGTCCTCTAGGTCAGATGCTAGGTCATGGCTGGGAAGTGGGCTTGCTTTTTTTTATATTTTATATTTTATATTTTTTTCATTTTTTCTAAAAAAATATGAATATAAAAATTATATAAATTCACATAAAATCATGTGATTAACCAAAAATTTCTAATAGTCACTAAAACTCTTTTTCTCTATTTGATTCATATAGTGTATATTTATCATGAGTTAATTCATAAATGATTATTTAAACAATTATTAACTCATAATAATCAACACTTATGAGATGCCATATTCCAAGAGGTTGTAGAAGCAAAGAGTTAATTCACCTTTGTCTTGGAGATGGGGTGTTTCACTTGACCTTGTTGAGGGTTAAGTTGCTCGTCTAATTTGTGGGGTTGAAGAAATAGTGGCTGATATTAGTCAATCTAGTTGAAAGTTTAAATTCTGGTTGCTTTAGTTTCATTCTCTAATCCTCCCTTTTTCTAACAATGACTCCACACATTTTGCTACCATAATCACATAATTAAGTTTAAATAATAATTGTAGAGCTACCTTTTCCTTGATATCTCACAATGCTTGAATATTGAAATCATGTGTGACTCATATTCAATTAAATCAACTTGGAAGGATAAATGATAAAATTCTTTGACATAGTTAGAAATAGATTGACTTCCTTATTTATAATCTTAATACTCTTGATATAAAATCTACTCATAATTAGGTGATAGAAAATGAGATTTTAATAATTTCTTTATTTTCTCCCACATTCATATGAGCTCTTTGCGAGACGTAGCATTTGTGTATATTTTCTCCCACTTGAGATCACTCTTCAATTTATATGCCAATAATTTTACTTAGTTTTCTTCTGAAATCTTCATATATTCAAAAAAATACTCAGCTTTAGCTAACAAATCTAAGAACTCTTCAATTCTTAAATGGAAATTAAAACATGATAAATTGACTAAGATCCATAGCTAGATCCATAGCTAAATTAAAACACGAACCTTGAAGAAATTAGCTTTTGAATCCATAGCTAGATCCTTAAGCCCTTGAATCCATAAGGGAGGGGTGACCTTGAATCCACATGATTAATGGGAGACCCTTTAATCTAAAAGTAGAAGGAGGGGGAACCTCATATGAGAAAAAAACTTGTAATATTTCAAAAGTGTCATTTTAAGCTTATAATGGGGCCTTTATATAGGCCTAAAAGAAGGTTGGGCTCTCTCAAAAGAAAGATAAGATCTTGAAGATATGCAATAATTTGCTCCAAAATGACTTGAAACATACTCAAACATATAGAGATTTCGAACAGATCTTAGGGGCAAGCTCTCAAATGACCATAAATAAAAAATTAGACTAGGATCTTGAATACATAATGAGAACATTCTCTAAACAACATTTTAAACACCTTCTAGAAGAAAAAATAATATAAAACAAGTTTACATAAAATTAGCTTTCTCAAAATAACCTTTTGTGCCTTTGTTGTGCCCAGTAGTTAATTGTGCCTTCTTTGAATATTCTTCGCATGATGCCCCAATTTTAAAATGGTTAGGTCTTTAGTTTCAGCCTCTTCTTTACTTTCTCAATATACGACTACATCAAGTGACATCACGTAAAATATATTCTAGATTAATTACACAAAATACATGCTTATATTTATAACATATTTATACTTTAAATATTTCATTATTATGTATTAGTATATTTTACTTGTCATTTTTGTCCTTAAGTCTTTCATAATTATGGTTTAAACTAGGATTTAACAATTATAATTCATTGTGTTAGATATATATAATTTTTTTAACGATTTTTTGGAATAATTTGTAAATGTGTGTTGATTTCTAAGGGCAATCTAGGTTGATTAGTGACCCATTAAGGAAGCCCTCAAGAGGCCATTTAGGACGATTTAATTAGTTATATTAAAAAAATTTGAGTAGAGAAAAAACACATTGAAAGAATTATTCTTGTGGAAAAAGGGACAAATAAATGAAATCTTGATTCTCATTGAAAACACAATCGATTTCTAAAAAGCATGATTCCTAGCCATCTGAAATCAATACTAAATCCAATTTGAGTATAAAAACTTCATATTATTAGGGTGAAAAATGATCCCTTCTCCCTCCTACCACTTGGTGCCCACCAACGGTCTTCTTAGTATTCCTTGTTGAATTTAATTTTTTTTCTTTAAATTTAATTTTACTTTGTTTTAGAATTTTTTCATTGATTCAATTATGTGATAGGTTGATGAACTAACGAATCAATTGATGTTTAGAAATTTTATTTGTCATTTCACTTGAATTTTTTCATCCTCCTCATCCCCAGTGTTAGATAGAGATCTTCTTTTTATTAATTAATTCGAAATTTACTTTCAACTCTGATTCCTTCTATTTTCGCATCTAATTTTCACATTTTTTCTCTTAAACATTTAGTTTGTTTCTCAAACAATGGGAGTCCAAGTCCTTTTTATATCTTTACATCATAATTTTCTCTTTCTCATGATTTCTTCCTTCTCTCTCTTCCCTTGATCTTCATATGTAGATGAATCTCTTGCATTCCTTTAATTGATTCTTGCAAATCTAAGTTGAAAAACAATACATATCTAAAACTAGATGTTAACAAGAGAAGATCATGAGCTAAACATCATAGTTGAGGTAGATTAGGAGTAAAAAGATTAATGGCGAGGATTGTAGAAAATCTCTTCTACTCTCATTCTGTTTTGTTCTCTTTCTTCTTCTATCTAGATCTAAATTTACTTGTAAAAAATTAAAATTGTCACCAAATTCATCTTCCATGTGGAATCAACCTGAACTCATTGTAATTGTCTGATTTAATTTGATGTGAATTCAATTTTTTAAATATTAAAATTGACATATCTTAATACAACAATTAAGAGACAATAAGACATCATAAAAGAGCCTTTTTATAATGTTATAGGGTTGTTGTTGTATAGATCCATAAACGTTGGATCTATAGTCTAATATTTAGAGCATGGGCTAATGTTATTGGAACTAAATTCACTTTTACAATAAATAAATAGTTGCAACATGTCATGCTTAGTTTTTCTTTCATAATCGGACATCGATATACATTATGAGCTTTTCAAGAAAGTTAGGCAATTCAAAGAAATTTTAATACAACAAGCCATTGGAATATCTACACTTTCTAAGCATTTAGTGATCAATTATGATGAATTATGGATTATGGACACCATTAGCATGTTAGCTTGCAGTGATTAATAAAATAAATCAAGCATTGAATTTGTTCATTCAAAATTCACAGTCTTTACTTATTTAGATGTAATTGAAAATATTGCATAATTTTTTTAGTGAAAATTAATTTAAGACAATTGAGAATAAACGCAATGGAAATGATTTTTTTCTCTGATTATTAAATTATGTGCAACATGTAAGCCAACAATACTTAGAGAATCTGTTACTAATAGGTCAACTGATGTTTGATTCAAAGAAAGTTGAGATTTGTTAGATATAATGTGCAATTACATAATATATTAGAAAAATGAGAATATATAGGTTGACAGTTAAAAGGATAAGTGTATTCTCGTGGTTAAAATAATTGACGAGGATATAAAATGAATATCCCCATATATCAATCATTTCTGCTGCACTTCTCCACAATCATATCCTCATGACATTTTCGGGCCGGGCTGAATCATCCAGCCCGACCCGGGCAGCTTATCGCTGCTTTCGATTAGCCGAACCGTTCGATAAGGTAAGGCGACAATCTGGGCGGCACCGAGTTCTCCACGTCATCTACGTCGGAGCCGGATCGATGCAATTTAAGGTCGGTGCTTTATTCCATGTTATTTACGCGTCTGCCACTCGTTTTATTATTTACGTAGCCCCATCACGCGGCTCAGCCGGCGGCAAAACCCTCGTTGGCGTCCCTACAGAGCTCCCTGATATCTCTCAGGTCTAGGGTTTCATCTTCTTGCTCCTCGTGTGCGTTTACTCCAGTCCTCGCATGCATCTTTTCTCGTGCCTGAAATTTTATCTCCATCTTGGGTGCTTTTATAGTTCTCGTGGGTTTATTCTCTGTCGATCTTTTGTTCTTTCATTTGTTTTATTTCTTTCGACCTGGGTATTGGCCATAGTTGTGGTTTTATCTTTTCATATTCAAAGGCGATTTCTTTTTCGTGTCGTGTTCTGTAGAGTCATTCCCCTGTGACTCCTCGTGCTCTGCTTTATTTTTACTGAGAATTAGAGACATCTATGGCCATTATTAATCCGGTTGAATTGGCCTCTGTACATTACGTTCGAATTTCAGGACAAGATGAGTAGTCGGACGAGCCGCACTCTCTATGTCGGGAACCTTCCTGGTGATATTCGGGAAAGAGAAGTCGAAGATCTCTTCTACAAGGTTCGTTCGTACTCGTCATGGCTGTCCTAGTTTTTTCTTTAGAAACTTTGTACCGTGAATAGATGTAGAGAGTTTTTCTTGAGAAAGTCTTGCCGTTTATAATCCACTCTCCCATCGATCTGGAGAGATATTAGGCGGATATTCTGTTCTGTCTTTGCTCAATTTTGTTGTTCATCTTTTTACTTCGTGTAAGCTTCACTTTTCTTCACGCATGATCCGCTTTCTTTCTTTTGGTCTTAATTTTTTTTTTATATATGGATTTAAATGTGATTTATGTGGGCAATGGCATATGCTGGTGTTTTTGTGGGAACTTTAAAGACTTTCATTTCTTTCATATGTTATATGGTACCTGCTGTCAGAATGCACCATGCTTTTTTCTCCTCATTGTTGAGTCACTTCTGATTTTTGATTTCATGTTTCTGTGAGAAAATATTGCGTCTCGCTTTTGTAGCCTTTTTTGGCTGATGTATGTGCTATGAAGCTTCTTATTGGTTACTGAAACAGCTGTGATTATTTTTCTCGTTATTCTTGTTTCACTAGCAGTTGACTTCAAGCAAATATAGTCTTCGATTTAAAGAATATATTGGTTTTTGCGTACAATATATATGATTAAGAATCATTTTCTTTTTTCTGTGAACAGTATGGCCCTATTGTTGATATCGATCTGAAGATTCCTCCGCGACCTCCAGGTTATGCTTTTGTTGAGGTAATTTAACCATCTCAGAAATGTGTGCCAAGAAGCGTTTTTTAAATTACATACTTGCTTTCACTGAAAAAATATGCTCCTTGGTGAATGTCAGCATTGAATATGAGCTCCTAGAATCATTTTCTTTCGTTCTATCTTAGTTGTGTGGTTATCGCTCTATCCCTTTTATATCATAGCAGTCTTGTACATCTTGATGGTTGTAGGCTTATAAATTTTCTGGGCCTTATGAAGCCTGGCAAGGACGCATTCGATTTTTACTAGGTCTAAACCTGGCCCTAGACTAGCTGGAAAACAGAATCCAGGCTTATCCCATGGGAAGGTTAGTGCCGGTCAGGATTTGGGAGAGGGAGGCTAGTGGGGAAGTTTAAATTCTAGAAGGGAAAGGTGGCTTCTGTAGGGGAGGCTGAATGCGGTCGGGTGGCTGTTGTCTGTTTGTATTGGAATGAGGCCCCTCAACACCATGGTGTATTCTTTCTGTTCAACGTTCGTTGTTGTCTTATCACAGTTTGAAGATGCTCGTGATGCGGAGGTTGCAATTCGTGGACGTGATGGCTATAATTTTGATGGTCATAGACTTCGGGTATGCTGTTTTAGTTATTTATGTTTTCCAACTTTTCTAAAAAATCGTTAGGTTTAGACAAGAGTGGTCTTTTTGTTATTCTCTTTGTGATTTCAGGTGGAGTTTGCTCATGGTGGACGTGGCCTTTCAAATTCAGTTGATCGTCGTAGCAGCTACAATAGTAGCAGTAGTAGTCGGGGAGTTTCCAGGCGGTCAGACTATCGTGGTGAGTAGTATGGGCAGGATTACGATATCTTGTGTGGAATATATCATGGCTGCAGCTCTACTTATTATTACTTTTTTTTTGTACAGTTCTGGTTACTGGGTTACCAAGTTCTGCTTCGTGGCAAGACCTGAAGGTAGCTTTTATTTTTTTATGGTTTGGTATCTCAAAATTTATTATCCAACAGTGGATTGAGCTGTATTGCTTAACTGATAGGATCATATGAGACGTGCTGGCGATGTATGCTTTTCCCAAGTGTTCCGTGAGGGTAATGGTAAGTGCAGCTTAATTGTTCTGATGCCTAGTTGTTTTTCAATATTTCTAAATAGTATGGGTGGTTGATAGCCGTAGATTATTTTTTATGAGTATTAAGAAAAAAGTTTGGACCAAGTTTAGACCACTTACAAGAATGCAGTAACTATGGTTTGAACCATGGCTTTTTGATGGCCAGGAAATATTTCTAGTTGTTCTTATATTAAAAATTAATAACTGCATATCTTTAGGGGAGGCAACGAGATCATGGAGGAAAAGGTGGGGGTATGCCCGTGCTTGATTTGGGGTTCTCAGTCAGATGGAAAGGAAGGGGATAGGTCGTTCTGCTTACCAGTGGAAGGGAAGTCACTGGGAGGGTGTGAGGTGCGTGTCAGAGAGAGGAAAAGAAAGGAGGGTACCCCATAGGAAGGAGAGTGCATCTATGGGAGTGGGAAAAGGGTGTCGGTTTAAGATCATACAAGGTCTTATTTTAGCTCTGGACTGAATTTGACAGCAAGCGCAAAGAGGGAGGAGGGACTATCTTGGCCTCTGGTTGGCGAAGCCCTTTCAAATATGTATGCGAATATGTATGCAAATACACACTCACACAATTTTTTTCCTAGGTGATGCCCTTAAAACTTAGCTTTCAATGATAATTCATTCTGTCTGATGCAAATGATTTATCTGGCACCATCACTGGAATGTCTGGCGATCTGTTGTATGGTGCAGTAGAAGCCCATCTTTGCTAGTTTCTATATTTTATTTTCTTTCTGTTGGAAGTAACTGGATTTCAAAAAAGTTGCTGAGTTGAATCATAGTTTGTTAAGGTGACCAAGGTGAGTAAGATGATTTCTAGATTAGATATTTTTAAGTAATTCTTACTAGTTAACGAGATGAATTATTTGGAAAATGAGATGAAGTATGAGACACTGTTCCCGTGGTGTTAAATTCCCAAAGATAGATATGCACATAAAGTTTCCGTTTTTTTTGAGAGATCAATATTCATTTGAAATCTGAATTTTATTTCAAATCTCAGGTTTCGTTGAGGGACGATCTGGTAGTGTAATCTCTATCAGATAATATGAATGACGTGAAGGAGAGTTCTAATTGGGAAAAATATTTTGGCTGAACGTGAGAAGTGGGTTGAAATGGAATAGCCTACTCTCAGACAGCTATTTACATTCTGTCATTCACGTTTGGTTGAACACAGGACTCACGAGAATATGCTCATTGTATTTCTTGTCAAATGCAAATGGCTACACTTGTCCTAGTAAATGGCCGTTCAGTACTGAAGCTTGGATTGCCCAAATGGTGCAGTCTGAGTTCATGACCTAAAAAACGAACTCATGTTAGTGCCTTGTTGGTTTGTGTTTAAGCTTTGTTAGTGCTTAGGCATTGCCGTTATGGTCTAGGCTGGCTTTTTCCCTTGAAAAAAACAGTTCAACGGATACGATTCCTGATCATTACAGAAACAGGTGCTGGTATAGGAATTGTTGTGCGTCCCATAGATTTCTCAATTTTATTATTTCACATTGTTTTGGTTCTTTTCTTACATTTTTCTTAGGTTTGATTTATTTTCTTTGGTACCAAATTGTTTGTTGGGCTTGATACATTGCCATAGATGTTACTTTTATTTTTCTTATTCTTCAGAAATCTTCACATAACATATTTATTTTTCCAACATATCTGGTTGAAAGTTCCCATAAAGTCATTTTCTTCATTTATAATTCTTATTTTTGCCCGAGTAAAATACTGTTGGCTTGCCTTTTTTGCGTTAAACTTAAATTTATCATGGTTTACTCTATATGCTTTTGTTTAGCAGGAACCACAGGGATCGTGGATTACACTAATTATGATGATATGAAATACGCTGTATGTTAGTTAATCTTATAATTCATTGTTCATAACTTGCAGTGCTATCTGTACACCTGTCTTGAACACTTGACAAATCATCTTTAATGTCAAATCCTGCAGATTCGGAAACTTGATGACTCTGAGTTTCGAAATGCATTTTCGCGGTCATATATACGGGTAATTTTCATGATTTCTTAAAAACTTATTCAATGTGATCACATTATGGAAGAAGGCATGTGTAATCAGATATCATATGCTTTTCTTATGTAGGTGAAGGAATATGATTCGAAGCGCAGTCTTTCCAGGAGCCGCAGTCGGTCCTACTCCAGGAGCCCTAGCCCAAGGCGCAGTAGAAGCAGGAGTCAGAGGTTTTGTGCCAGTACTTTGTTATTTTTCTGGTAGAGAAGGGTTGCAGGTTGTCAATAATTTTAATTTTTTTAGCAGCAAGTCTCCCGTGGCAAAATATTCTAGGCGTTCTCCTTCCAGATCTCGATCAAGATCTGTTTCGTCACGTTCTCCTTCATTATCGAACAAACGTTCTATGTCAAGGTTCGTTTACCATCTTATACCCTCGGAATTTGATGCATTCAATTTAGGTTAACCAGGAAACTCATTGTTGCTCGTTTTTTATCTCCGGGTTTTGTCTGCATAGTTCCTTCAGCGGCAGATTTTACTCCTTGTTTGGAGGCTTTAAATAATGTGCTTAATTAGCATTGTAAGCAGTGACCTCTGATGCCTTCTGATTGACGCTGTTGGTTTGAAATGATGCCATTTGTTGTCCGCAGATTCAGTGTTCCTCTAACAGTTATTGCAGCACCTGGCTTCCCCTGTTCCTCCACTAAATACTGTTTTTTTTCCTACTGCACTTATCTTTCCTTCAAAATGGATCTCAATCGTTGTCTGAGCAGGTTCGACGTAAGGTATCATTTAACTTTACTCTTTCACGCCTTTCAGTGTATGGCCTCAATATAATAGTCATCGGCTTGAGGACAGTCATTGAGAAAAATGTGCCCTTTGGTCAGAAATCAGGCAACACATCTTCCGTTTTTTGAAAATACTAAATTTCGACTGTCTTGATGAACGTCACGGTGGATGTTTTCACCTCGTCCCATGTTATTTCTCCGTTTGGAATTTGTTTCTGCAGAAGTCAAGCGGGATCTTTAAGAACCTGTCAAAAGCTGCCCAATTATCCTTTGCTGTGTTTTGAAAATTGTCTTGTTTGCTTTCTAGATATGGGCATATGCGGCGATGTGGGGAATGCGTATTAGGGGACTTGGGATTTGGCGCATATGCCTGCAACTCTTGGTTGCTGTTGATATACGCTGTTTCATGAGTGAGCAGCTCTGGAAACACAAACCCATTTCAATTTTTATTCTCATCAAGCCATATAATTCGTGCCCTTTGGAGAAAAGTGAGGCAAAGAGGATGAACTGTGTTTTCTCAAAGCGGGATGTTATTGCTTGGATATGGATGGGCCAGATGCTTGTTCAAGCATTCTCGAAAACGATCACACCCGTAGGAGTGGCTCTCCGCGAGGAATTGTTTATCAAAATTTGGATGCTATATAGTTCGAAAAAAATGGATCGAGATTTATCTTGCTAGATATGGCGCCGTTGCAATTTTTTCTTAAAAAAACGGTGGAGTTGGCTGCATCCTTTTCGTGGCTCATAGATGATTCATATTCTCTGCCACTCAGGTGAACTATTCCTGCATCAAGGCATTAGAATAGTTCAACTGCCACGATTCTCTTTTATATAAAAGCAATTGTTCAAGTAATGTGAACTTTATTTCTGTTCCAATATAGTAAACCCTGATGTGGGAGGGGCATCGAGGATCTTGGATCGAGGTTCTTAAGGTGTCGCGGATATTGAAATTCGGTTGTTTCTGGAAATTTTTTGCAGATCTCGATCAAAATCCAAATCTCCGTCACCTCCTGTAAGTGGTTATCACTTTACCCTGCCAATTATTTCTCTCGTTGTTCATCTAATCTTGAGGTTCTGCAGCAGCAGTCCCCTGTCAAGCAGGTGAGCAGAAGCCCCAAGGAAAAAACTCCCAGCAGGAGCAAGAGCAAGAGCAGGAGCAGGAGCAGGAGCAGGAGCAGGAGCTTGTCAGGTCCTCAGCCTCCCTTCCCCCTACACACCCACCCATACCAGCGAAATTTTCTGTTTTATTCTGATGCGTGGTATATCTACTTGTGCAGGTGAAATGTAGTCCTCCATGTAGAACCCGTTGACTCTGGGCGGAAAAAGACGGAGAGGTGGTCTAGTTCCCACTGGGGATGGACGGCCACTGAAGCTCCTCAGTTACGTTCTCCATAATATCGCACTGTTTGTGGTCTAGTCGTTGAAGTTCCTAGCCGCTATGACTGGTACTCTGGGCCTTGCCCTCTCTCTCTCTCTCTCGCTCGTTTTAGAATGATAATACATCTGGGTCTGTGACTCTGGGTATCGTTTTTTATGTTCTGATGAATTGTGGGCCTCTTATCGGAACACTGTCAGGTTTATTTCGATGGTATCATAGCGTTGACCTAGATTTCAAACCAGTCGGGCGAGCTTACAGAAACCCTAAATCACGCAGACGTCAAGAGGGTCTATGAGTAGCAATCTTGATAAGTAGGGATATATCAACGAGGAGGTTATTGGAAGAGTGTTTCCCCCGCAAGATTTCAATTTTTTTATGCTTGTAGGAAACCATATGCCAAGCATATCATGGTTTTATAAGTAATTTGGGCAAATAGTTTGAATTTCTTACAGGGTTGGACTATTCGTCGCGCATGCTGTGTCTCACAAAGCCTAGGTGTTGTATTCTGTGGAAAGAAAATTGAGGGAAAGGGGAATCCACAGAAATACATTAGCTCTCATTCGAAGGATTTCAGTGCGCGGGCGAGACCAACGACGCCAACAGGGTTGAAAGCAGGCGGTGGCGTCAAGTACCGTTTGGAGCGACGTTGGCATGGCTGGAGGCACGTGGAGGGGTGCAGTACTCGGCGAAGTAGTGCCGGCACGGCTGGGGGCGCGCGGTAGCGTGCAGTGCTGTGCTGAGTGGTGCCGACACGGCTGGAGACGCGCTGTGGCGTGGAGATAATTGTTGAGCGGCGACAGCACATTTGGGAGGCCTGACTGCACGCATGCGACGCATGCTGGAACGGCGCGGAACAGCGCTGGCCGGGTACGGTCGCAGAGTGGCCTGTGCGACGGCGGTAGCAGGTGGCCAGAGCGAGGACGATCGCTGGACAGCCAGGCGAGGATACTCGCGGAATGGCTGGTCGACGACGGTCGTGAATCGGCCAATGCGACGACGTCGCGGGAGGCCTGGCTGCAAGCTGGCGGCGCGGGCTGGAACGGCGCAGAACAAGGACGCGGAGTGGCCTGTGTGACGACGGTCGCAGGTGACGCTCGCTTGACACGTTGGACGGGCGTCGGACGGGCGGTCAAGGCTCACACGTTGCAGCGCGTAACCTCGCGATGACAACAACCTTGGCGCTGGACCGCGCAGCGAGATGCGCGGCTGCAGGGACTGTGCACACGACAAGGGGAGTGGTGCGTTAAGTTAAACTGTGCCGAGTGCCGGAGAACGCGGTGCAGTGCGCAGTGCACACAGGTGGCATGCGGCCTATTGAGGCAGCGCTCATGAACAGACACGAGAAGTGGTTTGTGTGGCGCGCATAATGCAAGTGGGTGTGTGATGAGCCTCTTTTTGTGAGAAGTCAAAATACGGACGAGTTTAATAGATAAACTGTCTCGTACAAAAGCTTCGGAAGCCCCGGGGCCCGGATACTCCGCCGGAAAAGTCGAGAGCGACTGAGAGCGGGGCGAGAGAGAGAGAGAGAGAGAACGATATTCGTCGGGGGAATACAGGGGGTAGAGAATAAGAGGGGATAATGGCCAGGACCTCTCGGGTCTTGGGATCGCCGTTTCGAGAAGGCTAGTCTCCACTCCGAGAGGAGTCTTCGTGAGGTTCTCCCGACCTCCTTCTCCTGTGGCCGCTCGGGTTCTTTTTATAGCCGCAGCCTCCTGGCGTCGGCCACCGCCTTCCGTCTCCTCCGCTCGGGTCCTGGATGCCGTGCTCCGTCTCTGTCGGGTCTGCCATGGTTCCCCGCCGAACGAAGTCTGCAGCACACGTTTCCTGTTCTGCAGGATCCCCCGTGCGGTTGTCGCCTTCGGTGTCTGGATGTCGTCCGTCCTGCTCCGATCCTGGGTTGGGCCGCCGTCTTCGAGGCCCCTTTTCTTTCTGGGCCGTTTGGGATGTTAGGATCTCAACAGTGCGGTGCACAGGAGACGCAGATAGCGTCTGGCGTGGAAAACTTCGTGCGAATTGCAGGCGACGCGGACAGCGTCGGACACGAGCGGAAGCATCGCGCGGCGGCGTGAGGAGATTGTTTTTCTTTCCAAATGGGAGATTGTTGTATTATGTGGAAAGAAAAATGGGGGAGAATAACATGTGGTTAGAGATAGGATAGAAGAGACTTTGTAGTAATAAATTATGAAAAACGAAAGAGGTACGGAATAGCATTGTCTCGTTCTCTCTCCACATTAAATGCAGTTCCTCTTCGGCAACGTGCTCAATTCAGGAGTTTCTTATCGTTACAGATTTTGTCTGGGTCCCGAAGGGAAGGTTTGTACGGACAGATGGATTGACAGACAGAGTAACTCTAATACAACCTTTTGGAAGAGGGCCGCAAGTACTTCAGCCCAGCACGGGGCGGAGAGCGTGAAGAACAGGAGGAATGGGTGGTTCTATCGCCCGACTTCCGTCTCTGGTGGTGGTGGTGGTGGTGGTCGTCGTCGTCGTCGTCATCGTGGTGCCGCCGCCGCCGTGTTCGTCGTCGCCGTTTCTCTCGGGCTCGGAGTTCAGCAGGGCCGATTTCCCTCCGGACTTCGTCTTCGGCGCAGGGACCTCCGCTTATCAGGTGAGGAGGGGAAGCACTGAGGAGCTAGGGCCCCGCCAGTTGCTGTGATCTTTCCTTATTTGAAGCAATCTTTGTTGCTGGTGGCGAATAAATTGATGTTCTGTGTTGATGATGGGTGGGGGGGCAGGTAGAAGGGGCAGCGGATGAGGATGGGAAGGGCCCTAGCATCTGGGACACTTTCACACACGAAGGTCACTCGGGGCCTCTTCCTCCTTGCATCGTCTTCGTCTTTTTCCTCCTCATCTTCGTCTCCTTCGTCCTTCCTCTTCCACTTCTTCCTCCTCTTCTCACGTGGCCGGAGACGGAGAAATGCAGGTAAGATGAACGACGGGAGCACGGCGGACGTGACGGCCGACAGCTACCACCATTACAAGGTAAGCCTTTTGCCAGCTGCGCTTTCTCTTGCTATTTTGTCGGAGATCCTGTTTTCATGGAATGTGTGCCCTTCAAAATCCGGCCCGGGAAAAATCTCCTCTTGCGCTGGCGACGCTCTCTCTCTCTCTCTCTCTCTCTCCACTCTTATCCATCAATTGCCCCATGCTACCACGTCCTACTTGACCACAGCCCGGACCGGCCCAAAAACTCAATTTATCAGCTTTACTGGGCCCCGAACGGAGCCCAGGGTTTGCCAAAGAAACAGTTTTGCGTATAAACCAACCAAACCACAAGAGACCTTGTATCCACAAAAAATAAAACGGGTTTTTTTTTATCCTTAATGGTGTCCATGGTGACCCAAATACAAAGGGCTTTCCTTTAATTAAAAATATTTCTCGATAGAACATCTCATCTAGTCTTTAGACCCTTCTTTTCTCTGGCGATCACTTGGATATCTTTTGTTCATCAAGATCGGAGAGTTTGAAATTATGTATGCATTAAATGATTCTTCTTCAGGTTCAAAAAACTAAGCATATTATTTATCGTAATAGTTTTGTTGTTATAACCACAGGTTGTATGCATGTGGGTTGTATTCAGCAGGGTATATGTGGGAGTGATTAGATCTTAGCATCGACCTGTTCAGCCAGCGCCCAGGGAATTTTCGCATGTTCTGGACCCCGACTGTCATCACGCCGAACAGAGAAATTAGGTGTTATGAGGATCTAAGCTTTATCGCTTTCGCTCCCCCTTCCTGACCTCAGTTGCTGTTCAACAGATGCTGAGTAGCCACACCAATGTGTGGCAGCTGACGAGGCCTCATGGTAGGGGTATTGCTCAGTCTTTTAGGACAATACACTACAGGGAGACAAGGGGTTGGTCATAAGTGCACCTACAACCACCTTGGGCAATTATGAGGTGGTGATGGTCATGCCGGCGGTTGATTTAAGTAATACCATAACCGCCCTACTCACTACAAGAGGACATACCCATATTCACAGTAGTTAGTACACACTGCGCTGTGTAGTGCTGTCACGCTCCTCTGGACCACTCACCACCTAAGCTGTGTGCGTCTTGGGCTATCAGTGCACTTCAGTGTGTGTGCGCCAGCTGTTCCGTTCCCTATCAGTGGTCCCACATTGTGCTGACGTGCACCTCTGTGTGAGCATACTGGGCCATGCCAACATGCGCCAATGTATGCACATATAGAGAGAGTAGAAGATGAAGACAACAGGGAGATGCCAGGGGAGAGAAGAGAGAGAGTTGACCGTGGCAATGAGGTTAGGTATGATATGCTAGACGCTCCACGATGCCTTTACGGTGCACTTCACAGAAACTTTACTATTTCCTTATTTTGGCTGAATTTATATTGATTATTAACTGCTCCTTAAATGATTAATCTTAGAGAATGTTTTGATATAACCACATTGTCTAGATGCTTAAATTCATATGGATCATATTTGAATTATCCACAGTTCAATTCATTCTATTCCCTTTAAAGACGACCAAATTTATTAATTTTCAGTTCATATCTCGAAATCTGAATTTTATTTCTTAGTCAACAATATGAACAGATGATTCTTGGAAGCCCATGTGACTAGCCGTTGTAGTAGTTTCGAAATATTTTATTTCGGATGCTTGAAGTGAAAACCTTTATTGTCAAAAGGGATCTTAAATGGAAACAAGTGACTTCACTTAATTTCCTTTATTAATTAAGAAAATATGAACAGATGATTCTTGGACTCCCTAGTGACTAGCTGAACTAGTAGTTCGTTAATTTATTTTTTTTGATTCCTGATGTGAAAACTTTTATCAATGGGTGTGATCTTAAATAGAAAGTTCTCTGCGCAAAATTATGCAAGTATAACATGACCTAAATATGTTGATCCAAATTAAAAAAATTATGATTATAATTATGCTGAAGAGCTAAAAATATGAAGGGTATGCAACCCAAGTCCCACCGATTGTGAAAATGAATGTTTTGATGGGTCAATGAAAAGAGCTCATGAAGATTCTTCAAGTTTCATTCGAGGTCTGATGATGAATGGTGCTTTAAACAGGAATAAAGTAAAATTTCCAAAAGAAAGCACCATGATTGAGGCTCTCTCTCTCTCTCTCTCTCTCTCTCACTGGTATCCCAAGAAAAACGTCATTGAAAAGCACTAGAATAAGCACACCCTTTCCCTCTCAAAATATTTTAAGTGCAAGTTATGTGATTCATAATTTTTAAGTGTACCCACTGAAGACATTTATGAAAGAAATTTTAAATAACATAAAATAAATCATGTTGATGTTTTGAAACCCTAACATGATAGTTTTAATACTTGGATTCGTGACCTTAAACTTATTCTTCTATAGGAAGATGTAAAGTTTATGAGCGAAATTGGGCTGGAGGGCTACAGATTTTCCATCTCTTGGGCAAGACTTCTTCCAAGTAAGAAATTCTCGCCCATTCTGTTCAGGTAGACGAATAAATCATATTTTCCTTCCTCTTGCTTCTTTTCACCGATATGAGGTTTCCACTTTTGCAGATGGCAGAGGAGCCATCAACCAAAAAGGGGTCGAGTACTATAATAATCTTATCGATGAACTAGTCAAGCACGGTAACCAGATTGTAAAAGTTTCCTATTTTTTCAATCGGGTGAAAAATGATGTGTACACGCTTTCGGAATCATCACAATTGTTTCTCATTGGTTCAACAGGGATCCAACCACATGCTACCTTGTATCACCTTGATCTCCCCCAAGTGCTTCAGGATGAGTATGGAGGCTGGTTGAGTCCCAAGATCATGTATTTCCAGAAACCTTGCATCTGTTGCCTCCTTTGGCTTATTCGTCTTCTAAAAGTGATGATATTTCATTGCAGTGATGATTTTTTAGCATATGCGAACATTTGTTTCCAAGAATTTGGTGATCGGATTTCACATTGGACCACACTTAATGAGCCAAACATTTTCACGCTTGGCTCGTATGACCAGGGGATACTACCCCCTAATAGGTGCTCTTACCCATTCGGGCTCAGGAAGTGTACGTCTGGAAATTCTACAGTGGAACCGTACATTGCCATGCACAACATTGTTTTGGCTCACGCAAGTGTTGTTGAGTTGTACAGAACAAAGTACCAGGTATACCCCAACTGGAGACAAGTCAAGAGTTTCATGTTCCTTGATCTTAGTTTCCACAAGGTTCACCTCTATTTTTTGGTTTGATGGTGTAGGCAACTCAGAAAGGTTTTATTGGGGTTAATCTATGAACCTCTGGAATTTATCCACTTACAAACTCAACAGCAGATCTAGAGGCAGCCCAAAGGGTATTTGACTTCTTGTTCGGGTGGTTAGTAAGCAATTTGTTTTCACTTTCTAGTACTCAACACTCTTGTTAGCTTTTCACTACTTGCTTTGTGTTTTACAAGTGCATTTCCTCTTCAGATTACTTATTCTCATTCACTTAACGATCAATGGCAGGGTTTTGAACCCCCTTCTGTTTGGGGACTACCCGGAGAACATGAAGAAGATAGCAAGATCGAAAATCCCATCTTTCACAGAGAGCCAATCCAAACAACTGAAGGGCTCCATTGATTTTCTTGGGATTAATCACTATTCATCTTTGTATGCTTCAGATAATCCTAAGACAGATCAGACAGGTGTCAATAATTTCTATGGCGATATGTCGGCTTCACTTTTAGGTTGTCCTTACATGCTCTCTCTCCTATATTTGGGTGGTCGTCTATTAAGGTGGAAGGAAATCCATGTCATGCAATTAACTAAACCGATTGTGTTCCTTATTGCCGAATGATATTCAGTTTAACATCCGAATAAACTCCGTAGGTATCAGAGCACATGTTTATAGCTTATGTATGCGGTTCCTGTAATTTAAATCGCGGTTAATATGTGGGTAGCTTTGGAGGAGCAGGGGTGAAATAATGCGGGAAAAATAAGTTCTTTCTGACTTTATTCGTACTAGCATCGAGTCTGATGGCTTGATTATCTATCTAGCTCCATCTAACGCCACCTTTTTTGATTTTGATATCTTCTTCTTATTGCAATGATCGATTACAGTTTCAATGGATACTGGACCGGGTAAAGAGGTAGAGACTTTCTTTAACTACTTTTATTTTGTGGTTTGTGACCTGATGAACTGAGGTGCTTGATTGTCCTGTAGCCGCTTGTTCCTGATTCCCTTCCTATTGATTCTGCTGGCTTGGAGAGTTTTCTACTGTGCTTGAAGAGCAAATATGGAAACCTACCCATCTACATTCACGAGAATGGTTTGCTTTCTATATCTATTGCAACCTAATATCAACGATTCCCCTGCAAATGGATACTGGTAACAGATATTTTTCCTCTTGTCCTTTGCATCAGGTTTTCGAACTCCATATAATGCTGTGACGTTTAATGACACTGAACGGATTAATGCAATTAATAGTTAGCTCGGTGCACTGCTATCTGCAATTAGGTGAGTCTGTCCCTCGTAATCTATGTCGAAGCTTCTAGATATGATATGAACTTGTTCGAGTCATTGTAAAAGTCTTAACGTGTTTGTCTTCCAAATGTCTGGTTGTTTCAGGAATGGATCGAATGCTAGAGGGTACTTTGTCTGGTCATTCTTGGACGTCTTTGAGATTTTAACAGGGTTCCAAGTTCGATATGGCCTCTACTATGTTGACTTTGACGACGAGAACCGAAGGCGCTAACCGAAGTTTTCTGCACTCTGGTACAGAGAATTTCTCAAGAAGATCCAGGACGTGATGGCTTTCTAAAGCTGCACCGCAACCAGCAACCGAATGGCTTTCTTCTTAACAGCTTGACAATAAATCGCTTCACAATAAACCGAATGCAGTTGTTTGTTACGTTTCTAAACTGCAACGTAAAAAGCAACTGTATGTTCTTAGTACAAGCATCACAATTAATTGCTTGATTGGTACTATTGTTTTCGAGATTCATATGCAGTTAATTGAGGCATCCAGCTCTAAATAATCAGGGATGGCAACTGTCAACTACGGTAAATCCGTGCCAACTGCTACGGTAATCAGGGAGCTGTGCTGTAAACTTAAAACATTTATAGCCCTTGAATCAGAGCCACTAAACTGAACTTTTTAGGAGATTAGAGTGCATTCTTACCTCAAACATAAAGTTTTATTGCACATTACTATCATGTTTTGAGAACCAGGAGAATGGCAATGCAGGTACTCCATATGGCAACCATCACAACACCAGTCTTATTAGAGACTTCTATCCCATGGATTAGAGAGATCCGGACCCCATCACAACACTGGAGAAGCCCTCTAAAATGAGGCTTCTTGGAAGTCTTATTAACCTCGGCAGCACACAGGAGTGGAGATATGCACAAATATCTTAAAAAGATTGGCCGCCCCGATGTTGAGCGCGGACCCATTTGTATTACACAACCTCATAGTAGAGGCAGAGGGCGGGAAGAGAAGGGAGAGAGAGAGAGAGAGAGAGAGAGAGAGAGAGAGAGAGAGAGAGCAGAGTAGGGAGAGCAGAGTAGGGAGATGAACTTTTCGTCATTGAGAGAGAGACAGATAAAGAGGGGGGACGGAGGGAGGGAGGAATAGAGGTTTGAAGAGATAGAGGGATAGGGGCAAATGTGGACAAAGAAACAGAGCATGAATGATGAAAAAAGGCAGTTTATCTTACTTGAGATAATCCTAACTCGATCTACCATGATATTCAGGTCTTGAATGTTCTCTGTTCCAACGTTAGCAGTTATCAGGCATCTTTTTGGGGTAACCCTCCCCTCCTAAGGGTACGCTTGATGCCGAGGAGCTCAGGCATTTATTTTAATACCCACAATATGTCAAATCTTGTGTGTATTTTTTTGGCCGCTCCTTTTATCCGAGGTTGAAATTAAATATCAAGAACAGAAAGTTAAATAGTTAGCATCAGAACGCTGCAAAGATGGAGTGTAGTTTGCGGTGCATTAAGCCCACGGCAATGACGCCTACAGAAGAGCTGGGTAGGCCCACGGCACTGACGCCGTCCCTGCGAGCTTCGTGACTTCGTCTAGAATAAGATAACGCAGAGCGAGGAAGAAACAGAAAGTGACGGAGACGGAGAGAGATCCAGATCATGTGACAGGGTGTATACTATTATTGAAGGGATAGTTAAATGCGTGAGGGATTGAGCTCATCTCTCTAGATTTCGCCGATTCGGTGCAGCTAAAAACAAAACTTCGCCGACAGTGAATTCAAAAGTGGTTGAATAGATACCCACAGCTTTTATGTCCAATGAAGACAGCTTCCGCTGCGAGTATTCGTGTGGAGGGGCCTTAAAGTCCTTCAACCCAGAGCATGGAACGACGCGTTAGGAGAACAGGAGGAATGGGTGGTTCTCTCGCTGGACTCCCGGCTCTGGTGCTGCTGCTGCCGCCGTGTTCGTCGTCGTCGTCCCTCTCGGTCTCAAAATTCAGTAGAGCCAATTTCCCGCTGTACTTCGTCTTCGGCGTCGAAACTTGCGCTTATTAGGAAAGGGGCACCACGGACGAGATAAAGCCCTTGTTGAGACACAAGCATCCTCCTCTCATCCACGTTGGAAAAGATCTCGACAGTCCGTAGAAGACCATGGTCCAAAAGATAGATGTGGTCCGTTAAGGCTGGAGAAAGGTAACTGAACACAATGGCATTCGAAAGTTGGGCGTGCGTATTTTTGGAACATCAATCCCATTGGCTATAAAAAGAGCTCCTTGTCCTCCAAGGGAGGTAGTCCTTAGTTTTGTATATCTCCGAGCAGAGAAGGGAGATTAGCCATCTCGAAGCAGCCCATCTCAACGAAGGTCCTTCCGCAGACCCTTCTCTCTCTCTCTCTCTCTTTCCCTCTTGTGTTTCCTGTGTCTTCTAGTGTTGTCGGAGTGGAACATTTCTTAAATTTCATCCCCCGCTCCATTTGACTTCGGTTCTCTCTCACCTACCTCCGGGGGGCTCCCATTATTTGGTATCAGAGCCAAACGATGCATCCCAAGCGAAGCGATGCCATATATGAGTTCGTCAAAAAGGAGTTAGAAGACTTACGACGGGATGTAAAAAACACCACCGCACATCAGGCAAACGAAAAGGAATTTCGAAGCGATAATGCAGCAATCAAACAACTGGTGTTTGTCTCCCAGACCCTCGAAGAACTCCGTAAACAATTGAGTCTCTTGACCATCCGGTCCGGCAGAGAAAAGCTTCACACAAGCTCTTCGGGAGACTGAGTTGTGGGCGAGTTAAGCCATGGGCGACACACTCTGGGCCCGAAATAAATTGGGGATCGAGATCCTGATCAGTGGCCTCATAGCCCTCACCATAACCCACGTTGCCCTAGGCTGTCGAGAGTCTGATGGAGTCTCCTTGGTTGAAGCGTCAAAACACGAACTGGTTTAATGAAATAAACCTGTTCCCTACAAAACTCCGAGAACCAGGGCTCGAGAAGACTCCCACTGGAAGGCCGTGAATGGTTGAGTTAATACAGAGAGAGAGAGAGAGAGAGAGAGAGAGAGAGAGAGAATATAATAACCAAGTACTTATTGAGTCTTGGGGTCGCTGATGGGAGATGGCGAGTCTCCACTCCGCACATTCTTCACGAGGTTCTCTCGACCTCTCCTTTCCGTGGCCTCCCGTCTCATTCTAATTGGGTCTGACAGGACCTAAGACTTGCTGTGCTCCATCAGTGTCAGGTCTGCCACGGTTCTCCATCGAATTCTATCTGCCACACATGTCTCTAGTCCTCCAGGCTCTCACATGCAGTTGTCTCTTTTGTGGATCTCATCTGCCTTATTTCATTCCTAGGCTAGGTTGGCTTCTTCGAGACCTCTTTCCCAATGAGCTCATTTGGGTTGTTAGGGTCTCAACAATACTCCTCCTCCCTTCATTTACGCACCTTGTCTTTAAGGTAAAAATCAAAAAATTATAATAGGATGTCGTGGGCATTCTCCCAAGTGACAAACTTGAGTGGCAGTCCATTCCAATGCAGTAACACATAAGGTGTGAGGGCAGTAGCAGGCGTCCAAGACCCAACTCAAAACTATTATTTAGCATAGATCACCATCCATAAGTAACTCAAGCATCGATAGGGGCCCCTCCTATTGATCTGCCTTCTAAAGTTGGGACACATGAAATACTAGATGAACTTGCACTGAGGTGGGAAGGTCCAAATGGTATGCTGCTAGCTCAATATAGTAGAGTACTTTGAGCGGACCATAAAAATGAGGGGCAAGTTTTGCACAGAGTCGTGGCACGATCATGGTCTAGTGATAGAGTTATAGACGAAGGTAGACCCATTCACCTACCTGGAACTCGAGTTTCCTTTATTTGCAGTCAGCGAAGTGCTTCATTTGAGCTTGGGCGTGTGCTAGATTTTGTTTGATCTGTGTGAGGGTCTCCTCCCATTCTTGGAGCTATTGTTCTAGATTGTTTGGTGCTGTTGATTCACTGATGAAACCGATTGGGTGAGATTCATTCGTAGAGTATCTAAAATGAGGTCATCCCTGTGGAATGGTTGAAGTTCGTGTTGTACTAGAATTTTGCCCATGAAAGCCACTAGTACCATTGTTTCGGGTGTTTGCCTATGAAACAACAAAGTATGTTTTGAGCCCGTAGTTGACCACTTCTAACTGGCCATCAGTCTGCAAATGATAAGAATTGGTCCACGAGCATTGTCTTTTGTTGATGGAAGAGAACTTACTAGAGGCCGCTCATGAAGATCCTATTTCGATCGATAAGGATGGACCCCAGAAATCGATGCAACTAGATAAATTATGGATGACCACTTCTACCACTGTTTGTGCTATGAAAGGGTGACAGAGGGCAGCAAAATGAACTTCTACATGGGAGATGGGTGATAAGTCTTCATTATCATGAGTTAATAATTAGTAAATAATATATTTTTAGCCTTAACTCATGATAAATAGACTTATATTTATGTTAAAGTGTGAAAAGTGATTTTCAATTGATTAACGTAAATTTTTGACTAATTATGTGATTTTTTACAAATTTAGATGATTTTTATAATCTTATTTTTGAGATAAATGAAGAAAAAGAAATAAAAATAAAAATATAGCAAAATGGGGAAGGGACCTGTTGGCCAGCCGAGCCCGCAAGTGGGTCGGAAGCGCAGTCGAGGGGAGCTGTGAATAGAGGCTCGAGCGGCTAGGACCGATAAGGGCATGTGTGCCCCACTCCTCTTGCACGTCACTGGTAGCCAACTGGCTGTGAGGCAAAGAGTGATCATACACGTGAGAGAAATGAACTCATTACTTCCAAATATGATATTATTATATATTAGCCCAAAACTTCGGCGCATAAACGATGTGATACTAAACCCGTGTCATACCTTCATTTAAAAGGCTTCGAAGATTTGAATACCTAAACTACCTCTTCGTTATAATAGAGATATACTATGATGATGTCACTTAATAAGGGCATTAGAGTACTTATCTCAATCTCTCTCATACAGGCGGGCAATTAGCACAAGTTCAAATCCTCTTAGAATCAAAACTCATATTTTTATTTGATTATTGCGACTTTCCTACAGATCGCTGGTGAAGGATTAAGCCACCAGAATCGCTGAATCATCAGCAAAAATCTCATCAACGTAATTCGCAGAGCATTGTTACTAAAATTGTTAAATGATTCACGATAAAAAGATCACAAATCTATCGAGTAAATCATATCCGATTGATCGACGAACAAGCTATCGT